CATGCTGTTTGGGCTGCCAAAGCCCGGTATTTCAAGCACCGACAACAACCGACGGCCTCGAGGCGGGTTTGAGACGGGGAAGTACGAGTGGCTTTTAGCAGGACAATCGTCAGAAAATCATACGTCTCATTTGCAGTGCTGGAGGCGAAATTTCCCACCTTCTGTTTCAGTGAGCAGCAGTAGGCAACAAGACGTACAGAATTGAAAGGACGCCAGCAGCTCCGGATTTCGGTTGCGAATTGTGACTGCGAGAATGTGGGCATTCGAAGGAGTAGAGTACGGAGTAGGGCAAAGTTAAAATGCAAGGAAGCGGCCACCACTGACCAGCACCAGGTTGACCTGTTGGTGGCGACCAAGGTAGGGCAGGTACCACCGTCAACCCCCCTTCACCTTCACGGTCTGCTGCTTTGAGATCTTGGCAGTTGAGCGAGTTGGCGCCATCCACCCGACTAGAGCCTTCGGCAACGGGTCTCGTGCTGCCTTCGAATGCAGGGGCTCTCGCGGACTCGAGCATGTTTGGACTGGAGGATTGATCGTCACTAGTGTCGTCACCCTCTGTGTTCGCATCTGAAACTGGTACGATTGTATGGAAAGCCCGAGATCACGACCAGTGTATGAGCTCTCCCTTGAGGACTATGGATCTGCCCGTGGTATAGAATGCACTTCCGTTCCTCGATGAAGCGGAAGAGGAATGACAGTAATGCGATAGCATAATTTTCTGCCGTTGAGCTGTGGGAGCGAGTTCCGATGAGCGTTGTGGTCGGCCAAGTTGGCCCCTGTGCTAATCTCAACGGAACCAAAATGCAGCAAACCTTCTGCTCTGATCGTCACTATCTATGGTCGGAATTTGGAAAACGCTTCTTCTCCGACGAGTGCGGGACACTGGTCGCCGGCCCCTTCCTAAGAAGAATGAATGATCAAAATATTTTCCTTGTTAGCTTCACCTTGGCACCATCCCAGGCCATAAAGATATACATGGCAATAATAAGCTCGTTTCCCCTTATCTGCTCCGGACCCAGACCCATATGCATGCAGGATCGCACAACTCTGCCTGATTGGGAATGGTGATCTGGAGACGGGAAGATGGGACCAACTTCATCAGTCAGTTCGAGTCACGTTGTCCCGACTAATCTGTTTATCCGACATGCTCAAGGCTATTTGCCAAATGTTTAAGCCGCCGAGGGCCACAAACTACTAGCAATGCCTCGTCGCGCTCCCAGAGAGGCGATGAATGTTGGCGATGATTTGCTGCTGTTTGTTACGGAAATCAAGATTATTCTCAGGCCCTGCCTTTACCATGCACTTGGAGACGATTGTGCATGCATCCTTGCCGCGGGGGAGACTTCATAATGCATGGAACACAGGAAGAACCCGTAGCGGTTCAGCGGGACTCGCAGTTGTAAGACAGCCCGAAATGAGGTAGGATTCCTCCTTTCAGCTCGCAAGCCACGTCCAGCGAATGACATGGCAATTGAAGCGATTGGTGTAGTTACCCCGTGCGCGGATCTGTCAATGTACATAATGGAGGCCAATGTACAAGAGTATTGCCCACTAGAAGGAGACGATTTTCTTGAAGAACCCGGTGTAGAAATTCCATCTCCTTGGGCCGGGCCCCTGACATCATAGGCCTTTGTCTCGCCGGGGACGAGGTGCATATATTCAACCACGGACGAAGAGGAGTAGTAGTAGCAACAAAAAAAAAAAACTACTAAAAACCCAAGATAAATAGGCGTGTCAAGCAAGACAAGAATCTCGGTGTGCAGGGGCAAGCAGTTCTGGAGTGGCTTTTTTTCTTTTTCCTTTTTTCGGCTCGGCTCAAGGATATCACTTCGCTGAAGAGAAACCGCCAATCAAACACAGGCGCATCTGAGAGGTTTGTGTTTGTTCCTGTCAACGCCAGCGTCGATACTATAAATGAGTCTGTGGATGAAGCTCGGACAAGGTGCCGTGCCTCTTAAGGTCTCAAGAGCAGCCGGCAACCAACTCGGCGCGACTCCGCCACAATAACGGAGTAGACGTGGCGTCTCGTGATGGCATTTGGACATTGAGCGCGCCAACCAGCCTTGACAGATGTTCCTATTCTCTGTCAAAGGGGGCAGTGCGGCGCTTAGCAGCCCATGCTTGCTGAAATGGGCGTGCAAAATGTGGCAGTGAGGAAGGAAGCATAAGTGCAGCTCCAAAGTTGCAAGGAGAATGAGGAGGGGGCGGAGTGAAGGCATGCACACTGCATTGCCATTGCACTCACTCCGTAGGCGAGACAGGAGGGGGGTCGGAGGCGGAGAGGACATTTGCTCCTCATGATGGCTGGGCTGAAGATCAAAACCGGGGTCGCACGAAATGGCCAATTGTGGAAGGTTCAAAAAGGCACAGATGAGAGCGAGGGCGAGGGCGAGGGCGAGGGCAAGACGGGATGGATGGGCAGTCACCAAGTTACTTGGCAGCCGGCGACAGCTGATGGTAGCACCCAGACACTGCAGAACCTCCCTCCCTAAGCCCTCTCAGCCCGAGTTTACGGGCTCCGCGCCTGGGCGCTTGATAGGTCCAATGAGGAGCGACGGAGGTTTGACGTGCGAATGATTTGATGACCCTTGTCTTGTCAATTCCGACCCCGGACCTAGACCCCGACCTAGACCTAGACAGGCCGCAGGCGGGGCGGGCGGGCGGACCAATCCGAGCGCTGCCAGCATCTTGGGCAAGTTGTCGAGGGCCAAAAATAGGTTCATGACAAAGCAGGTAGGTTGCAGAGCAATCTGGCAGGCATTCCGGGCCATTACCATCCCTCCCGCCCTTGGGTCAGGCAAAATTAGTGGCACTTCAGGCAGCCGCGACCAACTTGGGGAGGCTTGCCGCAGCACCTGCCTCTGCAGTTCAGCATTATGTTTTATGCACATTTGTGCACTCGTGCAAGTCACTTGCATGCGCCTGCGCGGGCTGATTCCGGCATAGCCTGTGTCGCTGCCCCGGAACAGTTGCCAGTGGCTGCTTGCTTTGCAAGTCAAGACTGCACATGTGGTATTCCAAAGTCCAGCCAGACATTGGTTCAATGTTCCACGCCCGCAACATCCACAACCGCCACGAAGCAGACGAGGCACTCGATCCCGCCCGCCAAACGCCGCTTGTGGATTGACGGTTATGTATAGTACATGCGCATGGCTACCCCCATACTCACTACAGGCCGGCACGCTTCATCCCTGGCTTCAACTCAGTTTACAGGCGAGTAGACCGTCCACCCACTCTGAACGAGGCGGGCTGGAAGGGGGGTGTGCGCCATCAGTTGAGAAACGAGACCGAAGAAACCACTTGACGTCCTGAGCGTTGTCGCCCGCCGTGAATTCAGTTCTCCAGGCTGTGCGCGGCGAGTCCCCAGCCGTTGCTGTCGACGTCGAACGCGAAGGATTCCGCCCCTCTTGTGTTGTGGTCCCCTTGTGTACTGTGAAGAGCTGCTGCATGCTTGCACAACAGACATGGGCAAGGCAGAGCAGAATGCGGGAAGCTTGTCGGTCCCTGCTGCAAGGAATTAACAAGGTGCCGAATCAATCCTGCTCTGACTGCTGATATGTGGGACAGACAGAAACAAACCTCAGACCCTCCACCCTTTTAGCATCAACACCATCATCACAGCTTGGTAAGCTGGTGCTGGAAAATACACAAGTCAGGCCCTGCCAGGTTATACAATGAACGAGTACGGAGTACGGAGTATGAAGATGGGGAAACTGGACATGATGGAAACGTAGGCGCTCCTCTCGGGCGGGTGTCTTCTATGGCTCTCCAGCTCAGCCCGTCAAACCCCGACAGCCATCCCATCTCCTTAGTACTGCAGCACAAGGCACTTGCAGCCCCATTCCACCCCTAGGCATCTCCAGGCCCCTGAACAGAGATGGTTCTGACCGTTCTCTCACGATAGCCGGTAGTCGGTATCACGGCGCTGAGATACGACGGTGGTCCGAACCGTTCAGGTACCGATGTACATACTGGTATGTTGCTGTGGGCGCGGCACGCATGGAAGCCTTCGACAGAAGTGCTAGAAGCGGTATTGCTTTCGTCGATGGACGGCGTGCCATGTACAACAACCGCCCAAATCTCTGGGTTTGGGGGCCACCATTAGTTGGGATGCGTCATCGGCCTCAGATGCCTCCTCACAGCCCTACGCCCAAGCCCCAAACGACCAAAGATCGGCCTGGCAAAACTCCCGACTGTCTCCCAGGCTGGGACCCCTGTGAAACCCAAGCAGCTATTTCCGGTACCCAGGGCCCTCCTGATTTCGAGAGCACCAATGCATGGTGCAAGGTCAAATTTGCCCTGCGCCTGTGCGAGACGTATGAAAGTATTGGTGGACATTCAGGTAGTACTCTGTACGTCCAATGTTGGGGCGCTGACCATGGACAACTTGAGCTTGTTCCGGGGGGAATGGAGGGAGGGCGGTGCCCCGGCAGACCACACACCCTCACGATGCACGCGGGGACGAACACGCCCCGGGTGCCGTCGAGTCCACGCCCATCTCCACCCTGGAGATGCGCCGTCCCAGGGCGACGAGATCTGCCCAGAAAGGGCCAAGTGGGAGAGGGCGTGTGAGAGAATAAACGAAGGCGACGGACGTGGGTTGTATCAGGGTGTCCCTAACGTGGACTCGCGAGAAGGGTACTCTGGACACCGTCTGTTCTGGCGACAAGACGTGCAGTGCTGCTGGAGAAACCATGTCGAGGTATATAATCAACAGCCCTTCCACTTCATCACGGCCTACGGTCTAGCCCATCATCTTCACTTGCTCCTGTACAAAAGACAATTAGCTTGGCAAGTTGCTGGCCAGGTTCATTTGACCTGCACTCATCTCTGAACCAACATTGACCTGCTCCCAAGACGGTTTCGCGGCTCGCCGGCTGCAGCTGTCCCAAGCCTGGTAGCTCTCATCCTCCGGCATCGTTTCGTTATAAACGAAGGACATCTCCCCCCTCCTCTCCTTCTCATCCCGCGCCACTGGCTCCTAAGAATACACCTTCACAATGTCCATGTTCGCCATGCCACAGCACGCCTACTCGTACGGCGGACCGGCAGCTCCTGCCAGACATTACTCTGCGCACGGAACGAGCAGTGCCTTCAGCAGCTCTGCGCTTCCTGACGAAGATTGGACCAAGATATCAGACCTTGCTGAACGCCGGAGAATACAAAACCGGATCGCCCAGCGCAACTACCGTAAGTGGTGTGCCCTTCCGCTTGACCTGGGCCGGGAAGCTGGCTTGGCTAACACGCCTGCGTCTCAGGCAAGAAGCTCAAGCGCCGTTTGGAAGACCTCGAGCGCCGCGCCGGTTCATCTGATGACGGCGAGACGGACAACAAGCCTCAGTCAACCAGCCCCGGCAAAGCAAAGCGCCAGTCGGCTCCCAAAACGCCAAAGTCGTCGCCGCCTGCACCCACAGCCAAACCCGTTCAAGTGCCCCAGGGCCAATTCACTCCTCCCATGGACAACAGCGAGGACATTGTCTTTTCGGCAGGGTTTGAGAAGCGCGAGCGCTCCCACACGCCGCCCATGTTCACCTACCCATCATACCCTGCCCCGGACGAGCTGTTGTTGGATCCCTATGCCTCGACGCAACCCTATCCCTCCATCTCGGCCGCTGATCCCTACCCTGACTACCTGGCGGCCACCACAATGCCGGCAACTCTGCCAGCCATGACAAACTTCGGCGATCCGATGAAGCAATGCGACGACGCTTTAAGCCCATACCTCAGTTACGGGTTCGTCCATGGCGTCGACATCAACATGTCGACTCATTACGATTCCTCCTCTGCTCACGTGAGTTTGGCGCAGCGTCTCCCCGTATGGGCCCGACATGGCTTGCTGATTGTTTAAACAACCAGACACCCCCATTATCTCACTCGTATGAAACCTCCACGTCATGTTCCGAGGCTGGCTACGAGTACCCGACAACTCCGCTGTCAATGCCAGGATCGCCGGGGATGATGCAGAGACAGCAATAGGCTCGGCGGCGGCTGAAAACAACAGCACAAAACCCCCCCGCCGCCTCTCCCTCTGATGAGCAAACAAAGCACACAGGCGACGTGCACCCAGCCAACACTCCTCTGAGACGTGAGTGACATGTCCACTCTTGTCGCTTCACTGTCAATGGTCGCACGCGCATTTGGCAGCCCATGAGCTCCCTCGCTCGACGGCAACGGTGCATGTGCGCGTATGGGTGGATATGCGGGATTGTGATTGTGTGGCCTCGTCCGAGCCAGGCGGCTTACCTGTCGGTGACACCAAAGGACGAGCAAAAGATGGGCGGCGCTCAGTTGGTCGGGAAGGGCTGGGAGGCAATGGGAAGCAATCATGTGGTTTCGGCCTTCAGCCGCGGCGCAGGGACGAGACACAAGAACAAGAGGGATACAAAGACAACCGGGCAGGCATTGATTGCAGGGCGAGATTGAGACGGCTGATGTCCTTGGTTCACCCCCCTCTCGCGGCAAGACTTGTACGACACGTGTCATGGGGCCGTTGCCCAAGGGAGAAAAATAAAGACCAGGACCCGGGGGGGATGATGTGGAACTTTCTTTGACTGTAGATTATTTCCACAACCGATGAGGCGTTTCTGGGGAGTTGCTGCGCTTCGGCGGCACCTGGGGGTTATCCGTTTCTTTTCTGGAGGATACCAAGGTTTTCGACTTGTATAAGCCGACATGAGTATACGTTGACATGTATCTCGAATAATGAAGAGAAAAAAAAGACACGACGTGCTCCTGAGCCTTGATGAAAAGTGGCAAACCACGTGGGCGTGGGTGACTGGCGTAGAAGCAACAACACAGACGCAAAGAAGTGCTGAATACACTCGGCAATGTCGGCGTCTCGGACACACGGGACAGGCAACACGGGCAACAAAAACAAACAACAGCGTTGATGGATGGGCACTGGCAATGGCAATGGCAATGGCAATGCAATGGCACTGGCACTGGCATCGGCATCGGCATCGGCATCGGCATGGCACCGGCATGACATGGGATGGCGTCGGCACCGGCACAGGCATTCCCAACGCGGGTGACGATGTCGATTTGTTAAATTTGCGACGTCGACGGGCTCTCCCGCGTGCCAGCCTCCCGCCGCCAAGAAGACATTGTGAGATGATGATGCATGTACAGCGCAGCACAGCCCGAGTACCTGGGATATACTTCGTACGTGTGGGATGTACATGTTTTTGTTAAGGCCTCACACGCGGGTCTCTCCGCCGACGCGCTTGATTTTTTTCATTTACTCTCATTTGTTTTCACTTCATTCATCTTTTCCCCGTTCTATTCAATTTTTAATTTTTTTTCCCATTCTCCTTCTTCTTCTCCATGTCTCGGGGTCCGCGAACACATTGGAAATGTGTCACTTGTGACGAGATGCACGCCGAGGGACGCCTTTGCGCCTGCCCCTACGCCTACGCCTACGCCTACGCCTACGCCTACGCCTACGCCTCTGCTCTGTGGTGCGTGCGTCCCCTCCATTCTGTCCCCTGCCTGTCCCCTCCCTCCGGGGCTGCCTGACGGACGGCGACTCTGGTTTTATTTTTTCCACCCCTTCTTTGGACCGGACGCATTTCTAAGCCCTCCTACTCCTACTCCGTACTCCGTACCGTACGGGGCACTGCCATGAACCAACAACTACTGCCAAATAAATGCACTGCACTGCATGCTGCGAGCGTGCGCTTCCGCAGACCCGCAGCGAGGGTTTGAGACCTTGACGACGACCTGCATCCGCCTTTTCAGCCCGCTAGCGATGACGACGGAATGATGGCTCGATACATGGGCGAACGGGTGCCTTGTGCCTTGAGGCTTGGTTGCGGGAGTGCACACGTACACACACACGCACACACACACGCACACACGTACAAGGACATGGAGCCGAACCTGGAGGGCCACTCACCGCAGGGCGTCTGCTTCTGTCCTGCTGCAGCGAAGCGACGCGAGCGAGGCGAGCGAGGTGTCTGTCGTTGGACTCCAGTCGACGCCGCCTGGCATGGCCGAACTCCTTGCTAGTATAGTATATACTGTACGGAGTAACTACTTGGTAGAGTGATATGGGAAGCACTTTACGTTGGCCGCCGCGAATGGAAGACGACAAGAAAAGGAAAGAAAGAAACAAGCCAAAGTATAAGCAGCCAACCGCAGAACAGCAGCCGCCGGGGGTGAATCCACGCAGACGACGGTTACATTGCGGATGCTACGGAACGCCTGGAGCCAGTGTTCTGGAGGCCACAGGACAGGAGGCTCTGCTGGGAGGGATGCGTCACACCGGACGGCTACGGCACCATCACAGAGCAGCGCTGCACGCACGGCACCGACGGGAGGGCCAAGCAGTCTGCCCACGGAGTACGGAGTACGGAGCGCGGAGCGCGGATGGGAATCATGGGATGGATGATGGATGGATGGTCGAAGCTGCAGCGCAGCACCAGGCAGTGATCAGCGCCGTCGGTATGCCAGGCAGAGCCGAGCACCCGCACGTAGCCACGGGTGACGATTGAACTGTACTGTGAACAAAACCGCCAAATCGTGATTTGAGGCTGAAAAACGAGCCCCTCCCCTCCCCTGCCCCCCAGAGGATGGATGGCCAACGGGGCCCGGACAATTTCGACCGGGACATTCTGGGGCAACATGTTTCGGAAGAGTCCGGACGGGGAAGACCGACGAGAGACAGGGCGACGAGTTGCCATTTTGCAGGGTCCATGAGGTTGGGAACGGAAAAAACGAAGGGGGGAGGGGTGAGCGTTGTTGAATGGACAAGCGCAAATCATTTGGGATATTCGCAAGTCTTTTTTTTATTCCCTGCGCCAAGCCAGCAACAAAGGACGACATGTTTTATAGTTGCGATGACGGGGTTCTTTGAATCTTGTTGGTCACGGTTTACGAAGCGGCTGACAAGGCGGACCAGACTGCTCATCTGATCTGGAGAAGTGGCTTGGGGTGACGACAGAGTGGATTGTTCTTCTTGGAAGCCCGGGTACACAGTAACGAGTACAAGATGCAATTGGGGTGGAATTTCTCGACGGACGACCTGCTACAAACAAGCACAGGATACTGACTGTGTCGGTGGCAACAGTCTCAAGTCTCGTGGAATCCAGAATGTCCAAGCTACCTGCAGGCCAGGCCGACTGACAATGGACCGGCCGATGCCCCCAGTACGAAAATCAATCGAATACGCGGAGGTTGGACGGGGTCGCGAGTCCCGTGAAATCCGTGAATTTCGGCTTCAAGAACAAAATGCTGACTGCGTGTGCCGCCGAGGCAGGGTTTTGGCAGGGGAGCCACGACGACGAAAAGGCAGCAGCCCATGTGTCAAACTGTGGACACCCCCTTTCCCCCCCTCGTCCATGTACGTACATACATTACATGTGTGCATGTACGGAGCACGGTGGTTTGTAATCAATAAGTGTCCGTTGACCCTGCGGAATTAAGTAACTTACATACATGGCGGACTTCAACAAGGAAAGGCGGGAGGGAACATGGAGGAGCATCGAGCGGCAGGACAAACCATGGGCGCGCCGGAGCCGCACCGCGTGGGCGCAGACAGGGACAGGGAACGGACGTCGCAGCGAGCACGAATACTAGTCCATTTACACGCACGCCGCAGCTAATCGAAGGCAGCGTTGAGCGAACGAATCCACCAGACGGAGAGGTGTCTAGGTACGCCGCGGATATAGGATGTTGGCCTAGCAAACTGGGAGGCGGCCAGGCCAGACTTGCCGTCCATGGGACGATTGGCAACTCGGCCCCCAAGGACAAGCTAGAAGGGCAAGATGGCTTCGGACAGAGTCGAGACTCCAGCCAGACTGGAGACCGGAGCCAACCACCCCAAACCCAAACCGCAACCGCAACCCCGTCGATGATTTTGGATCGTGACGGCCGGCCAGCCATGTGGATGGGCTGAAGAGGTGGTGTCACTGCCAAGATGCAGACAGGGGGCCCTTGGGTTCTTTCTTTCTTTCCTTTTTCCTTCCGTGAAACCGTGATTTGAAATCAGAGTACGGAGTACTCCGTACAGAGCATTGCGTATGTATACCAACCTGAGGCGGCCGTACGGAGTTGACGGAGTTAAGCTGGCGACGAACAGGCAGACGAGCGCACAGATGTTGGCGGGGGAAGGACAAAAGACAAAAGCATGTCCCACGTCCCATGTCACCTTGTCGCCCATTTGCTTTTCTTCACTCCCCCCTTCCAATCCTCAATATGGAGGGAGGACGGAGTACAGACAGTGTACGTCGTTCTGCTGTGCTGAGCTGTGCTGGGCGGTGCTGTGCTGTGCTGGACCTGTTGACTTTCCTACGAGATCGGCTGCAAGACACGGCGACAATTGTGAGGCCATCATGTCTCCGTATGTATTTCGTCACGAGACACCGACAGACATCCAAGGGAGGGGCGTGCATCGAGTGCGACGCAATATCATGATACTCTTTTCTTTCCTGACAGAAGCTTCTGCCCAGCACCACCGACGTAGCATTCGCGAAGCATTTAGGAAACTCGTTGCGCCTCGCATGCTTGTTAGGACGGACAAGGGAAGACGCCCACGTTGGATCAAGGGCCCATCTTTTTGGTGCGTTGGAAAACGAGCCTGTATCCAATCACGCCGCCCAATGTGCGAGCCACGACATGTCAACAGAGTTCGACTTCACCAGAGTTCCAATCGATGCATGCCATGGCGTTGGAGTTTTCTCGGTTTGGGGAGGAGGGTGCTTGCCAGTAGTACCACTCGGTTCCACGTCGGGTGGCGTGGGCTCGTCGGTTTCCCACGAGAAGAATTGCCTTTGTCTCGCCAAGTCTAGCAAGGAAAACGGAGCGAGTAACATACGGACAGAGCAGGTGAGGAAACTTGAGTTTGAGAAACCCGACCGGGCTCCTCCGCCACGCGGCGCGCGGTGGCATCACGACCCATTGACGCCGCAGCGCACTCCGGACGGGAGCCAAAAAAAGTCGACGGCTTCACATCTTTGACATGTGGGGCCATTGACTCGGTGCGGAGTCTCTAATGCAAGTATCCGGGCTTCCCATGCAATTAACGCGGTACGATAAACGAGCCGGCCGGCTGGGCTGAAGCTTGTTTCATGTTTTGCACGTTCCAAGACGATTGAGATTTCGTGGCGTCGCAAACTCCGTACTGTTCGTTCGTCGTCCCCCATTTTCTCCCTCCGAACGCCGCGGTGTTGAACCAGCAGTGCAGGGAAATAGCTTGATTCAGTAAACGCCGGCTTGGACGAGCAGAATGCCCGACCAGATCCTTTACCTCTACGGTGGAGACCGGTACGATTGATGAATTGCCTGCCCTTTGCACTCATTTTCACGTCATGGCCCAGCCAGCATTATTAGTCGTCGATTGAAAATCCCGACTTTTCCATTTCCCTCTCTTCCCCGCCTCCCCCCCTTTGTCTATGCGCACGCCCCCTCCCTCCCCTCGGTCTTCGTCTCGAAATGGCCTCACATTTCATCCCAACGCTGAATGGATGGATGGATGCTCTAACATGGCTTGGCCTTTTTGCAGACCGTGGACCTCAGACGCCTGGGTAACCTCGGACGACCGCGTGCGAGGCGGCGCCAGCCAATCGTATCTCACGGTAGAGACTCCCCAGCATGCCCGCTTCCACGGTCACTTGGACACGACGGCTCTTGGCGGAGCAGGGTTCGCCTCGCAGCACTCGCTGGGGACATTGGCGTTGAACCTCGAGGGGTACGAGGGCATCATTGTTTCCATCAGAGGACCCGACAAGGCGGACGGCAAGAAGTATGCCTTGACGCTGAAGAATGAGATTCTGCCTCGGAGGGACGACGGCCGCGAACAGAGCACCGTGAGCTGGGAGGCCGAGTTTGTGGCCAAGAAACCTGGCGACGTCAAGCTGAGATGGGCTGATTTCAAAGCCACGTACCGGGGCAGGGAGAAGAGGGACGCGGGCGAGTTGGACTTGAGGGATATCAAAAGGGTCGGGTTGATGATGCGGAGGTGAGTCTGGCTTCACTGGCGTTGATGTGTGTTGTGTGTGTGTGTGTGTGTGTTGGCATCTGAGATGAAGTGGTGCTGACCGCGTACGTATAGTTACTTTGGCGAGCAAGAGGGCGACTTTGAGCTGCACCTGTATTCCATCTCGGCATTCAAGCACGTTCCGTACGAGGCGGACAGTCATGACGGTGGTGGTGGTGATGGTGGTGGTGATGATGAAAAGCACCATCCCACGGCACGACGGCACGGGTCATGGGAGACGACCGCCCGCACGGCTAAGTGGTGGAAGTCGTTGCTCTGCGGACTAGTCTAGACATTTGACACTTGGAGTTGTCGCTGCTGCTGCCCATCCACACCGCAGCATTAATAGTCATTCGAATTTCTTTTCTTTTACCACGGCGAAATGCCGCTGCACTGCCGGCGGATGCCAAATCTCCAAGACCCGCGTTGGCGTTCATCCACGATCTTCCCGCGCCCCGATCTGTGGGGCAATCGGATCGGAGCTAGCATCTCCCCAACTCCAGGCCAACAAAAAAAAAAACACGACGTTTGCCAACGTCACCACTCTGGCGCCACGATCAAGCTGCCGTCATGACTGGCCCCCATCACGACTGTCGCCCTTGACGCTTCTGCAGCACGCACGTGCAGGTAGCAGCCAATTGACCGAACGGGGTACAAGAGAAGAACAAAACAAACAAGACTCTTTCGTCTTCTTAAACCCCCTCTTCCGTCTTGCCCTCAACGACGAAAAACCGTGGACGACGTCAACTTCCGCGAGGAGAGCAGCCACCGCAACAATGCCCATCCTCAACCACCTCCTCCACATCACAAACTTCAAGTCGCCGCTCCTGCGAACCATTGTGCCCTCGGTGGGCGCCGCTCTCGCCATCCAAGCCGCCGCCGCCGGCCCCAGCGTGCTCGCCTCCACGGAACGCTTCTTCGACATCTCGGGGTCGCTCACCTTTCTCGCCGTCGGCGCCCTCAGCTTGTACCTGCCGCAGCTGCGCGGCAGCCTGGGGGCAAAGGCGGCGACCCCCAAGCTGTCCAGTCTGCTGGCCGCCGGCGCCTGGAACTGGAGACAGCTGGCCGTCACGGCCATGGCCATGACATGGGCCGCCAGGCGTGCGTCGTGCCGTCCCGCCGCCGACGCGTGCAGACTCCTTCTTCTCGGCACGCGGTGCTAACGTCCGCGCAGTAGGCGCGTACCTCTTCCACCGAATCAGCCAGCAGGGCCACGACGCGCGCTTCGACACGCTGCGCACCCAGCCCGGCCGCTTCGCGCTCTCATTCCTCATGCAGGCCGTCTGGGTGTCGCTCATGCTGATGCCCGTCATGGCCGTGAACGCCGTCCCCGCCGCCGCCTTTGCCGCCGTGCCCCGCCTCGTCCTCACGGACGTCCTGGGCATCGGCGTCTGGGCCGGCGGCATCGCGCTGGAGGCGGCCGCCGACGCGCAGAAGAGCAGATGGGCCGAGGGCCGCCGGAGGAAGGACCACGACGAGCCGTTTCTGAAGACGGGCTTGTACGGCGTGTGGTGAGTCTCTTTCTGCCCTGCGCCGTGCCGTACTTGTCCCTTGTGCTCCTTCCGGATCCGGGCGCTGGCTGGCCCAGCCCCCGTCGTCGTCCATCAGAGCACCGCGATGCTGACGGTCCCGGCCCCTCGCAGCCGTTTCCCGCACTACCTTGGCGAAATCTCCCTGTGGACCGGGCTGGCGACTACGTGCGCCGGAGCGCTCGCCCGGAAACCGGTCCAGTTGGCACTCGGGTTCGGCTCGCCCGCTGGCATCGCTGCCACGACGGCCCTTTCGCTCGTCGCGCCCGCCTTCTCCGCCCTCCTGCTGACGAGGGTGTCTGGCATTCCGCTGACCGAGGCACGGCACGACGACAAGTACGGCCACAGGAGGGACTACCAGGATTGGAAGAGGAACACGCCACGGCTCGTGCCCAAGCTGTGGTAGGCCCGCGGGTCCGCTCGTGCGTGTGTGCATCATGCCCTCGACGGGAATGTGATGAGAGGCTGCGGATGTCAAGGCTACTACTGTAGAGATGTCAAGGCTACTACTGTAGAGATGCCAAGGAACGACGGTGGCTGCGCGGCTCTGTGCGACGTCGTTCCATTCACCTCTGCGCATGTGCCAACGCTAGTCGTCTGTAGATGCATCACCGTCAACGTTTGCAATACACGGGCATTCAAGTCAACATTTTCATTCAAGTCGGGTTCGGCTACGTCATGTACATTGAACGTCTGGGTTCGCGTCTACTTGTGAAAGGACTTGACCTTTTCAATCTCGTCGTAGCTGCCCATGAAAATGCCCGAGCGGTCGTGGATGTGCTCTGGCTCGACTTCCATCATGCGCCTCATGTTGCTGTCAAGAGCTTGGCCGCCGGCTGCAAATCCACGCACGTTAGCACATCTGGTGTCGGGGGGGGGATGCTGCCGCCGGGGACCCCGACGGCGCACCGTCCCCGGCAGGTAGACGGCTCAGAGGCTCACCGTTCTCAAACACCATGGCCATGGGAGCGCACTCGTACAGGATGCGCAGCTTCCCCTTGGGGCTCTTCCTGTCGGCGGGGTAGGCGAAGATGCCGCCGTACAGCAGCGTCCTGTACGCGTCGGCGACCATGGAGCCGATGTACCTCGAGGAGTAGGGCTTGCCGTCGGCCTGGGCCCGCTTCAGCGAGTTGAAGTAGCCGACGGTGTTGTCGTCCCAGTACAGCGAGTTGCCCTCGTTGACGGAGTAGATGGGCCTGGACCTGGGGATGCGCATGTCGGGGTGCGTCAGGATGAACTCGCCGATGCCGTTGTCGAGCGTGAAGCCGTTGACGGAGCTGTCCTTCATGGTGAGCACCAGCTGGGACGAGGCGCCGTACATGGTGAAGCCGGCGGCGATGAGCTCGGTGCCGGGCTTGAGGATGTCCTCCCTGCGGCCGCGGGAGCCGTCGGGGAGCTTGTGGACGGCGAAGATGGTGCCGACGGAGACGCCGGCGTCGAGGTTGGACGAGCCGTCGATGGGGTCGCAGGCCACGGCGTAGCGGGAGCCGGTGGCCTGGTCGAAGTAGATGATGTCTTCTTCCTCCTCGGACACGAGCAGGGCGCACTTGCCGGACGAGCGCATGGCCTCGATGAAGAGGTCGTTTGAGATGACGTCGAGCTTCTTCTGCTCGTCGCCCGTGGTGTTGGAGGAGCCGGCCAGGCCGGTGAGGTTGACGAGCGTCGCGCGCCGGATGTAGTACGCGATGGACTTGAAGGAGAACTGGAGGGCGTGGCAGAGCAGGCTGTGTGACGAGGGGGGCACGGGTTAGTGCGTCCGCCTGCGCGGTCGTCTGCAGAGACGACCATGTGGTGTAGAGGAGAAAAGAGAGGGGGGGAGGAAGAGACGGGACGGGACAATCGTGATACGTACGTAAAGTCACCGCTGGCCTCCTTGTGCTTGGTCTGCTCCTCGTTGAGGAACCGAGTCAGCGTCACAATGTTGGTGTTGACCTTCTCGCCGTTGCTGTTGTCCGCCATGATGCCGGTGTTTCCGTGCCGATGATGACCTGTGCCGCACAGGGACTGTGGTCGAGGAGAGGAGTGAGTCTGCACGAGACGGACGAATTGGCCTCGTCGTGATCGATCGGGACCGGCTGCCGTCGGGTCGCCCTGCGGCAAAGCGTAAAAAGGCTAACCTCGGCGGAGGGGCGGCGGGGTATCGTGACGTGGTTCACGACCGACGGTCACGCCAAGGCAACGGGCGTCCTGCGGAGGAGGAATCAACGCCGGGACAAGAGACGAGGATGGTGAGGAAGAGAGAAAAGGATGAGACCTCTCCTGGGCCGAGCCAACTGCCACAGACGAGGTCGCCACGATGATAAAGTACCGAGTAATGCGCATGTCACGACGGCCATCCATCCCTTGCCCCGTTCTCCATCTGGGGACCGTCGGCACGGGGAAAGCGGGCATCCACCTCCAAGAGGATTTTCCGGAACTTGAAGGGGGCAAATGAAATGAGCCGCGGGGAGCTTGTCACCGGAACCCCGTTGCGTCTTGCGTCTCGTCTCGACACGCTCCACGGCGTTGTGGCTAGTGCGTTGCTGAATGGCCTGCTCGAATCCGTGTGTGGCGCGGGCCACGCGCACGTGTCTTTGCGGACGACCGTTTCTCCGCACCGACACGGGCCCCCTTCCCCCGCCGACCGCCGACGATGAGAGGCCAGAAAGCCTCGGCATGTGCGCGCCCGACGCCCGCAACCCGCACGCAACCCGCACGCAACCCGCACGCAACCCGCTCTCCAAGTGGCATTCCCCGACCTCCCTCGTCTCGCGCCCACGCTTCCCAGGCCCATCTCGCATCCGGCATCGTCCACGTCGCCTCCCCCTCCGCCGCCGAATACCAGACACGATACGGACCATCGTCCCTCCTGTACCGACTGCCTCCGTCGCCCGCCGCGACCGACTTGCCAGAGGACGAGGCCCCGAGCTGCCCGTTGTGACTCGCCTCGCCTCGCCTCGCCTCGCCTCGCCCCCGGTCCCCGGCCGCCCGTGCAGCTCCGAAAAGGCGCGCATCCTCGACATCCCATCAGCCATCCTCACCACCAGCGGCAAGGGACGCGACCGCGACGAGCCCCCCCGCGAAACGAAACCATCAAGCCACAACACCAGCCGTCAAAATGGTCGTCAACACGCTCGTCTACCACCCCTCCGTCAAGCACTACCTCGGCTTCGTCGCCACCACCGTCGGCCGCGACAAGCTCCTCCGCACGGTCCAGTACTTCGCCCGCTTCTACGCCTGGTACCTCCTGCGCACCAACGCCACCAGGGCCCAGATCGCCCCCTGGGACGTCACCAAGAAGCAGCTCGGCCTGACCCGCAAGATCCTCCGCGTCGGCAAGAACGTCGAGCACCTCCGCGCCGCCGTCGAGGCCGCCGACAACCCCAAGCCCGTCGCCGCCTTCCTCCGCTACGCCGCCGTCGGCAGGCAGATCGGCTACGCCGGCTACCTGACCCTCGACTCCGCCGCCGTCCCCGACGCCGCCGGCATCAAGAAGTGGGACGGGGCCAAGACCCTCCAGGCCTACGGCTTCCGCTTCTGGGCCCTGGGCCTCGTCTTCAGCATCTCGGCCCAGCTGTACACTCTGCATCAGCTCAACCGCCGCGAGGCCAGCATCGACCGCAAGGACGGCGAGGGCGTCATCAACAGCAGGCACATTGCCCGGTGAGCCTGCACCTATCCTATCCCTGTCCACCTTCGTTTTCTGCTCTCCCAATCATGTGGGACTTTTTTTCTTTTCTCAAAATGACACGCGAATTTTGACTGATTTTTCTTTTTTTCCGTCTCCCAGCGAGCGAACGGCTAGTCGGCTCCAGCTCATCTCCGACCTCTGCGATCTCACCGTTCCCTCGTCTGCCCTCGGCTGGGCCGCTTTCGATGACGGCTTCGTCGGCCTCGCTGGTACTCTGAGCAGTTTGATCGGCGTTTACAACCAGTGGAACAAGGTTACTGCGAAGCCACCTTTCAAGTAAAATCCTAGGCCATCTAGGTACCCGAGACCTCATCGTCAACAAGGCCCAACCAAAACACAGAACCAACGGCGTCATGGATGATGGAAACCAGCACGCCGTTGCTTGAATCGTCCGCCACTTCGCTTACGGCGGGAAATTGTAGTGTAGTACGGAGACCAATGCAGAAATGTCGGTTCGCAATCTTGCCCTGAACGACAAATCATTCAATATTTTGTTGCTTTTTTTTGTTTCAAAAGAGAAAAATCAACTTCCATAGATTTCTAATCTCACTTGACAAATATGGCGATTTTCATTCCTAGCTATCACACTCAGCATCCTTCAGTTTCCAAGTTTTAGTCACGCTCTCGACACGGGATAAAACGAGTTGTAGACAAGAAAAGACTCAGGTTGATCAGAAGCAGCGCACAAAAAAATCAAAAACGCAAAAGTGGCGTGGCATGCATTGCGATAATCGTACATGTCGTAGTCGTGTGTTGCGAACCCATCCAAGCATCTGCCTAGTTGATTCTCTACTTGAAAGTCTTTTCCCGGACGCCTTCACTCCCTTTTGCTTTGTCATCATGTCCATCCAGTTCCTCTCCCAGGCTCCCTCAACGTTCGAGTCCGCAGAACCAATCAGTCGTACTCCCATGTTACCGCGCCGTGGCAGCTGTGACCATTTTAGGAAAACTGCATTGAGGAGAAAAAAAGCAAAATAAAGCTGTACTGTCGAGCAATCTGTTTCCCTGCACACCCTCCCTCATTATCGTATTTAATATCCTCTCCAGTCGTAGCACTGCGTAAATGACGATTCAGTTCTCGTTAAATTCTCCGGCCTACCATGTCCATACTGTTGGAGTTTGTTTGTTGTGACAGTCCCGACGGGCAATCATCTATCACCGGAGGTCAAGGCCAAGTTCTCTGACTGAGGTATGACTGGCTCCACCAACTGGCGGGCTCAAAAGTCAAGGCAATTAATCATGTGCAGGGATGTTATTTACCAGTAGCGCCCACTTCTGTCATATTCGCGAGCGTAGCCATCACGCGGTGGATACGCAGGTTCTCGAGGGGGGAAGTCCCTGGGAGGTCGATCGTACTGACGACCGCTGGGATAAGGTTCGGACGGAGCGGGAGGGTAGTCTCGGCGGTATGGGTCCTCGTAGCGCCCACGAGCCGGAGGGTAGTCCTCCACGGGGGCAGGTCCACGGGGAGGAGAGCGGTAGCGGGCTCTGTCTTCGTAATAGTCGCGCCTGGGACTTCGATCACGATAGCCATAAGGACCGGGGTCTCGGTTGTAGCCTCGAGGGGGGGGACCACGTCGATCGTATTCGTCAAATCGGGGGGGCATGTTGTTGTAAGGCCGTCGGCCACCCCCACCGCCAGGCGAACGTGAGCGACCGCGACCATCTCGGGCGGGCATGTCTGGCTGAGTCTGGTGATAGGCATCAGCAAAAGGCCTTGACTTGTGGATGACGTACTTGAAGGGGAGCGAAGAAGAGGGGCCGGGACAACTAACGTCGGCAACACATTGGACACGGTTTGCCTTGAACTCTCGACCATCGAGCTTCTCTACAGCGGTTCGAAGATCGGCAGCGGTCTCATACTCAACAAAGCTGGCAGAGCAGTCAGCAACAAGGCAAGATCATGGAAAAGGGAGGATCTGGCGGTGATGACATACCCCCTACCGTTAGAGTCTCGTCCCGTCTCGGAATACACCACGTCAAGGCCGGGTTGACGCGCAAAGTCTTTGAGATCCTATATCCAGAAAACCGCGTAAGTCCTTGTCCCCAGGGGCGACGGCATATTTGTGCGACAGCAAAGCAGGTCAAAGTCCATGTAGCCGAAAATCGCGTCATGCAGCCCATTGTGCAACAAACCAGACAACGCGAGCCAAAGGATGAAACAGCCGGTAGCCAGGATGTGTCCCAAGGAGAATGGCGGGTTGTGGCAGTCCAAAATTACACAAGAAGCAAACAAGCCTCAAGGCGTTGAATCCCAGCCGACAAGAAGGTGCAGAGACGATCCAAGTGGCACAGGTGGGAAGAAAGGCATCCATAGAGTCCAGCGACAAGGAGCGGGGAGATGTAGACAGACCTGCCAACTGGTTTCGTTTGGAAGCCCGGTTATTTGCATCCGATGAGGAGTTCGTCGAGGTCGTGGTGGAGCGCGCTCATGGCCGCCAAAACCACCTTCTCTCTGTCGCGGTCCACGGGCAAACTGAACAGTAAGACGCTCTCCCATGAAGTCGGATCCATCTAGATGGTTTGCATGTCAGCAGGACGCACAACAAAGTCGGGACGGGGCTTCGGAGCTGGGCGTGGCTGCCAGGTCTCAGCGGCAGGAAGGGCATTTTCACGTACGAAAGGCTGCCATGTAGACGACGGCAAGAACAAGGCCAGCGAGTTAGCAAAGTCGGTCCCAAGAGAGAATCAAAGAAGTCGTCGTCGATGTCCGCAGAGACAAAAGTGGAGTCAAGAAAAGGCTCAACTAACCCGGAACGACGTCTCGGGCATCCATGGGATCCTTGTACTCGATGAAGCCAAAGCCATTCATCAGCTTGACCTCGGTGATGTCTCCGGTGCCATGAGTTGCAAAGTGAGCCTCGATATCGGCCTTGGTAGCTGCCGGGAAAGCGAGTCAGTTGGAATCCAAAGGGGCGAAGAGGGTAAAAGGTGATGGTGGGTTATGGACCATTGCGAGGAAGGTTGCCCAGGTAGAGCCGCGTATTGGAGACCTCAGTTGTCATGATGGCGGAAGGCGGTACGTCGAGGCTGACGGGGATCCTGGAAGGTTACGGGAACTTGGGGCAAGGGTCGTCAAGGAGGCCAGACGACGGCGATGAGGACAAAGATGGATCCAAGGAAAAAGGAGGAAGCACTTGATGGGCCGCGTTTGGGGGGAGGGGTTGAAAAAAGGGCAAAGGGGGCGACAGCTGTGGCCGTGGGCGAGGTGGTTGCGTCGTGTTGGTCAAGGCAAGGCAAGGCAAGGCTGCGCAGAAACTTGACTGTTGCCCTGGGAAAAGGCCGAGACACCAGGAGGAGGAGCTCAGGTGAGGAGAAAGAAGCTGGGAAAGCTGCCTGCGCCGCGTGTTGAGACTCGAGAGAGGCAGGGGGGGAGAAAAGACGACTGGACTGCACTGGCTTTTCTTGCCAGAAGTTGACAATGAGGAGAGGCTGAGCAGGCAGGCTAACATTGGGTGCTGGGCGAGGCGGTGGCAGCCGGCAAAAACGCATCATGGCGGACCAGGCGGGCCCGCTTTTCTCGTTACCGCACATGTGGCGCACTGGGCGCGGCCACCGTGGCCACTGGCCGCACTGCGTACTCCGTACGGAGTAGCGCTGCCCACGATCGATTCAGGACTAGTGCCAATCTCACTTCTGACCGTAGATGCAACGGCCGACTACATCATCATCATCATCATCATCACGACTCGAGTGAGCACAGCCATGACCATCCATCCCCCAAGAGCAGTTCGTCGTACCCGCAACAAATACACACAATAAAGTCCACGTCTTCAATTACCACCGCACCGACATCACCAGCTACTCAAGTATATATTCCTTCCCGCCCCTGCTCGCCCGCTCACCTCCCGGCTCGTCAAACAAGCCCACCGTGCAAGCCACTCCAAGACGCCATGCCATGCCATGCCATGCCATGCCATGCTTCCGAAACATTACGCCTTGAATTCAATGAAACCGCCGTCGGTCCCCAAGCCATGGGATCAAGTAGCGAGGCTTGTTGCCCCCCTCTTTTCCAAATGTCAAGGTGGCGCCTTGCGTGCTATGAATCCTCAAACATGACGGATATGATTTCATCCAGCATCGTAAATACCAAATGCGCACTGTCCAGGTGTTGTCAATAATATTAGCATTGAAACGACAGCAAGTTATTTCGCATCTGACTTCATCACAAGCGCGAAATCTGTTTACTCACTTAAGTCGGGAGTTGTTCAAAGTAGCAAAGATACGCCGACTGGCAGTTTGCGCATTTGCTCTTCCCACAACATTTCCTGCCAGGTCCGGCACGAGCGTGGCCAGCATGAGACTTGCCTCTGTGCGAGTCTTCTTCTTTTGCGCCTCGGTTCTTGGTTTCCTATCGCGCTGCAACACCCCATTAGGCCACATGCTGTCTTCCACCAGAGCAATGCAACGCAGAATGAATTCATCCTGCAGGAGCATCTTGACAATGTCGCGCACTTTTCTCTCAATAGTGCCCCCCAGAAGTTGCTGCAGGACCACGACAACCGCGCGCCCGCGAAGCCAGTTATTTCCTCGGTTCAGTTCAAATACTTCCAGGAAGATGTCGCAGATGGGCTTGATAAACGGCTCCACTTCTTTGTTTTCGAATGCATTCAGCTCTGCCTCTGCCTCTGCCGCTGGAAAAGCGTCTTCGCTCACGCTCAGTGGCATTGCGTTGAGCTGATTCGTGGCGGCGGCAATGAGATTCTGGCCAGCCACAGATATCTGATCCAAAACAGGAATATTGCCCAAAATATCCTCCATGCCGTCCGCGACAGAGTCATACAGTCTGGATACAATATCCTTCTTGTCTTCGCGGTCCAAAATGTCCTGTCCAGGGATGATCACACTCTGGGACAAGAAAGCGCGAAGATCTCTGCTTCGACATACCTCGGGAAGGAGGAGTAGCTCCTGCAGATATTTCTCGAGGGCCTCTCTTCTCTTGCGAAGAAATTCGCTTTGGAATTTCATGACAACTCTCCGGCGAGGAAAATCCAGGTTCCTTACTGACGGGTATCTGGATCGTAGCTTCTGATGGAGATCATGGAACTCGCTATATCGTCTCGTGACTATCCATGACGCGGCAGGCATTTGCTCACCAGCGTTCCGCTGCACTTCCACAACATACATGGCAAATTCTTTACCGTCCTCCTCCCGACCAACCTGAATTGACTTAATCTTAATAGTAGACCGGCCGTAAAGACTATTGTCACTCTCCTGAACAACGTATTGTTGTCTTTGAAGCTCCTTACGTCGGATTTCTCTCCGTAGACTTGCCTTGGATTTGCGTAAGATTCGCAATTCGGATGTGTTGTTTGTAAGCTCGGCCTTTCGTGTCAAGGAGTCAACAATGGCTTCTTGCGCAACCAAACGGTCAATGTCGTTGGTAAGAGCTGTTATGGCTTCAGCAAGTCCGAGGTCTCCGGGTGCTGCTTCATGAACCTCATCATCCTCATCCTTATCAGTATTATCTTCAACGGTATCTTCAACCTCATCTGCGAGAAATTTATCTTCATCCCCAAACAAATCATCATCCACGAAAACGCCTATTCTGGACGCCGCGCTCACTAAGCCCAGGGACGACAAACTAGGTTTCTCCTGGTCTTTGGCGGCGACCAAGGGTCGTCCTGAATCTATTGAGTTCCTATTCGACTCGCGGTCATTGTTCGCCAGAAAGCTCCCCTCGCCGTCGTCAACGTCCCCAAATAGCGAGGCTCGCAGATCTTCTGCAGTTTGAGGACGTTCATCGTCCATAATATTGTTCAGGGCCTCTTCGACAGCTTGAACAATGTGTGTATCTGGAGCCACCTGTGGCGGTGGTTCTGGTTCGCCAGCACTGTGAACCGAGTCCATCAATCCATCATTGTCTGCATCATCATCATCAAACGGTGGCGCTGAGCCAGACTCATCCAGAGACCGCCGAGACTGCGTCAGAGGGTCCGGCTCGTTGGAATTGCCGTCCATAGCCTGCAGGTCTGCTGCAGAATCGGATCGTTTGATAGAGTGGCCGGAAGCCGACGTTGCAAGTCGAGAAACCGGCTTTGGTTTGGCTTGGTAAGGCTGTGATGCTAGAACTGTAGGCGACTGAGTTGAGGGTAAATGGGATGGTGCCAAGCTCGCCGTGGACGTCTCCTGTGAGGCAAGGCATTTGTAGTACAAATCAGACTTTTTGAAATCGTGATAGTGTTGCGACTGCATTTCCTCTAACACAGCGCTTTGTGCTTTTAGAATAGACTTCCTGGCTCGGTGATATTGAAACGGCGTGGCGGATTTTCCAGCTTCAAGGAAATGACGAACCTCCCGGCGGGATGACTCTGGGACATGTAATTCGGGTTTCGACAAGTACGCCTGGTTGATTTGCTGCAGGTCCATTCGATCCGACTCGGACCACATAGATAAATTGGAGTAGTTCTGTTCATCCTCTTGACCGTCGTCCTCTAATGGGTTTCGAAGCCCATCAACCACGAGCCAGAACTGCACGAGAGACATTAAGCCCTGCCGGTCCATGTGCTCCATGAAATATGACAGTCCAGATGCGTCTCTCAAAAGTTCCACCAGGGAGACATTTTCCAATTTGGACGTGACGCCACCAGGTGCAGTCGTAGGGCTAAACGAAATGGACTGGCGATGGCCACCAGCGGCCAGATGCTGCACCTTTTGGTCCAACAGCCGCTTGCCCATTTCCAGGCGCCGTATATAGGCCGGGTCTTGGTTCACCTGTATCGAATCTCGCTTTAGTTGGCTGGCCACCTCGCTGCGGAAACGTCGTGCATCTGACAAGTTGTTTACTTTTCGAATGGCCCGAATGAACTTTTCGAACTTGCGCTCATTGTCGCCTGGCGCGAGTCGGGGGGCCGGTGTCATCTTGATCGTTCGCGGTGTTGGCGATGCATGCTGATCGAGAGCTGCCCTGAGTTTACGAACCGTCGATCTGTCTTGCAACATGCTGCGACCGTAGTTTTCCATGACTTGGTTCCACGTGTCAGGATCAGACAGTAGCTGTAGGACGGGAGACAGCACAGCACAACTGACAATCTCCCGTATAATGATGGACACAGATCGGCTGTCTAGCAATTTCTCAGGCAGCACCTTGGGGACAATTCTCTCAGCCAGTGACCGTAAATAATCTTGCTGCACCATCTTGGTATCAGGGAATGAGAGCGACGCTGCAGGGTGCAAATTTCCATCCTTGTACTTGGATGCAATGGCCAGGTCCAGCTCTTCAGATTCCGTAACCGAGCGGTTTAACTTTCTGCCTCGTACAGACTTTTCGGCATCGTAGAAGTCGTGAAAGTGCGCGGTGAGAATGGGGATGAGCCGGCTCGTAACAATCTCGGCCAGATCCTTGTGACGTAACGATTCGAGCAGACCCATGATTGCCAGGCGCAGCGCCCGATCAACTTGGTTCGGAAAGACCGGGTTCCGGCTGATATTACAATACCAACTGCACACAAAGTCGCGAAGCATCAAGTCCAACAGCCCATCGACGGCATCCACGACATGCGGCGAGCATCCGAGATCCAGGCTCTGTTTCTCGTAGGCTTGCCGTTTCCTCAAAGCGGACACTTCCTCCTTCCACCGACCAGGTCCGAGAAAATATGCGCTAGGAAGTTGACAAGTCTCGTGTTTGGGTCGTTGTGCGGTCAGCAGGAACGTGGTAACGAAGCCGATAATGGAGACGAGCATGCCGGCGACGAATGCATAGCCAGCCCAGCGCAACACGGAGAACCAGCTCACAGCATAGCCCCAGGCAACAAACGCAGCTACGGCAGCAATAACCACATCTCTTCGTTTCAGGGCCATGGCCAGAGCTGTGGACGACGGAGCCGCATGGTCTGAGGTCTTGTTGCCAGGTATGAAGGATCGAGAAGTTGTCCGTCGAGGTCGAGTGTCGGGACCGAGTGGTTTGCCGTGGGCACTTGCGCGCTTCAGATCAGGGAAAAGATGGACTTGGGTGGTGGTGGCTTATCGATTGTGGTCAGGACCGCCAGAGCTTGGAGCTACAGGGGGCAGGAGCTATCTGCCCAAATTGCCTTGGTACTGCCATGTTGTACGGTACGTACCACGGGCACTCATCAGGCATTATGCCTCCCTCTCCATAACGCAGACACACACACACACACACACACACACATCTCATCACCGCCACGAGACACCTTTTGTAGCTGTGGTCGGGCGAATCATTTTTCCCACAGGCATTTGTTTGACTTTACCCAAAGAAAATCCTATTTGACCCGAGTGCGCCGTACACCCGACGGGCATCATTATCCCGTGTGCCAATTCTGACGATTACTGACGACAGACAACTTTCCGCCCAGCTACTCCCATGGAGGGTCTTCTATGCGTCGAAACAAGGTCACAAACTTCTGCCCCTTATTCCTCGCCACCTTCTTCCCTTCCTCCGTCTCATTCTGCATAACCTTGACACACTCATCCTTCTCTACCTCATCCTCAGGAACCCGCTCAAACGAGGGGTGTGCGTCCAGGTGCTGCACCATCCAGCGGTGCAAAGCCTCCACATCTGTGATTGTGTATAGAATACCCCCAGGTCGTAGTGCGTAGGCATACTCCGAATTCAACGTTGTTGATACAATTCTTGCCTTGTGTTTTCTGGCCTTGAAGTGTGGATCGGGGAAGCAGATGAAAATCTTGGTCAGCTGGGCCTTTTTGAAGAAATTGGGGAGGAACTTCATGGCGTTGGCTCGTATACAGGCGGCGTTTTGGTATAGTTTGCCTTCGTTTTGCTCCCGCAATGCCCATATTTTTTCTTGCACAAATTGCGTTACGCTTGTTCTGATTTCCAATCCTACAGCTAGATTAGCCTGACTCGATGCGTCATCCATCCATCATCGCCAGGGAGCAGTATGCGTACCCAGCAGCAGCGTCTCTGGTAGAAGAGGCGCCAAAGCGACAAGAAGGCCTCCGAAGCCGCACCCAATGTCCACGACCTCCACGTCCTTGGTCAACTTCTTAAGCTGAGTCGACTCTTCTGGGGATGTGTCCGTTGTAAATGCTGGATAGTACGATGACCAGTCCATTGCCTCCGGGGATGACGGGCTGCAGACAGAAATTAGCATATGACGCTTGTCAATACTTTACGCGACAATCTGTGCCAGCATCTGGCTGCTGAACATACTATTCGAGGGTGTGGTCTGAGAAGGGATTGGCATGGGCCCGCTGTCGATAAAATCGTTTCCGAGGGAGTCTCGCGACGCCATCTTGATCCTTGGCATGGCTGAACTTCTGGCGGTTATACCGCTTATTCGGTGCTCCGTGCATTTTGAGAGGCTTTTCACAGTCGTTGGTTTGCGCGTGCTGCGTGCAATCCCTTTTTAGTAGACATCTAGCTATCTCAGCAAGCTCTTTGTCATGAGAAGCGAGAGTGTAGGTGAGCCGGTTTGGCCGTGGGTTCTGTAGTGGAGACTAATGGTAAATTTTAGTACGTATGGGTTCGGGTTAGGGTTGTCAATGAGGGAGTTCCTGACTAACTCAATTTGGCAACAGCGTCAGCAGTGGGTCGTCAGGTCATCCGGTGATGTGCAACTCCAGCCTCTCCCTCTCCTGAACCGTCTCGCAAACTGCAAGGCCTACAACAAAACACTGTCATTTCCAGCACGCACCCGGCCCTTTCGTCATAGACCGTCTCGCAACCATCTCGGCGTATAGCTTGCTCCACGTAGCAGCAACAATGCCAGAACCTGCAGAGACAGGCTCCCGGGACTTTGGGTACCTCTTCGTCCCTCAGTCTTCTTCCTTTGTCATTCGGTCTATTTCAGCTTTATGCGTACGCGCGCCCAAACTTCCATACTGGTGGTAGTCTAGTCCTAACATTCACGCTTCTGGAAACAGGCATTTATTGGCACAATTTTCATTTTACCGCTTTTCTTCTCCTTGGCCATAGATATATCTCTGTGGGTATGGAGGCAGCTCTCGAGTCCACGCGAACCTCGAAGCCGCCAGTCAACGTCGCCAAAATCTAGCGCATCGATTGCTTCGGCCGGTTCTTCCACAAGCGTGACAGGGCCAGACGCACAGGGAACACATAATCGATGATGGAGCTCCTCTCCATGCACAAGATAGCGCATTCTCTTCCTTCCGGATCTTCGTGACTTCTGTTACGGCTTAGGCAAGCTGGCCAACAACTTTGATCAAGTCCGCGGTTACGCCCATGGCAGTAACATCTCCGCCAGCGCCAGCACCTTGAACAATGAGGGGGTTGCTTCCGTACCGCTTTGTGTGGAAGCTGATGATGTTGTCGCTACCCTTTAGCGCAGCAATGGGGTGGGATGGATCAAAGGTCTGAAGGCCGACCTTGACATGCTTGGCACCGACGTCGATGCTGCCGACAAATCGAATAACCTTATCTCCAGCGGATTTCTTCTTCTCTTCCATTTGCTGATCAAATGATGGAAGCTTCTCCATGAACTCGTCCCCACTGGAGCAAGACTCTAGCTCCTTGGGGATTAAGCTTTCCACGGGAAAGGAGGCTGGTGATTCAACGGGCAAACCAGCTAGACGAGCCAAAATGGTCAACTTTCGGGCAACATCTAAGCCGTTGAGGTCGTCACGAGGATCCGGCTCTGTGTAGCCAAGCGCCTTGGCCTTCCTGACTTCCTCTGACCACTTGCCGCCACCACCAGCGACAGGAGCAAAGGAGTTGAAGAGAAACGACATGGTACCACTGAAAACACCTTCAATCTTTGTGACTTGGTCGCCAGTCTCTACAAGGTCCTTCAAAGTCGAAATCACGGGCAAACCAGCGCCAACGGACGACTCGTGGTAGACCTTGGCTCCAGAAGCGGCGGAAGCCTGGAAAATATCCTGCCACAGTTGATATGACCCAGAGAAAGCTTTCTTGTTTGGGGTTACGATGCTAATACCCGCCTTCAGAGCCGTGGGGTATGCTTCAGCAACCTCTTGGGAGCTTGTATTGTCAACGATTACGGCTTTGCCGGGTGCCTTGGTCAGGTAGGCAACGAGGTCGGTCAGAGCATGGGGAGCCCTAGAGGAAGCGGCCAGGACTTGAATGACATTTTCCAAATTGATGGCCGAGTAGTCGTCGTTGTAGAGCGCTTTGCGGCTGGTAGCAATGTAACAGAGACTCAACTTGGGGGAAGGTCGGCGGACGGCGAGATGTCGGAGCTGAGCCAAGAAGCACTTTCCCACCCCACCCGCGCCTGCATGCACCTGGTGGTTAGCATTCAAGTAAGGACTAGAGTATTAATAATTGACTTACCAATTACAGCAATGAAAATCGTGTTTGTACTCGCCATGGTATTGTAGGGTGTTGAGGGAAAGTCAGACGTGAGGAAACAATTTCTCTACAATCTGATGGCGGGGGAGGGCACTTGGCGCCATCGACGGGTGGCCCAGAGGCGCCAGCTAGCAACTTCGGCATGCATGGAGGGGCAGGCTGTGGCTAGGGCACGTACCTACCCGGTAGCAGTGACTGTGGCTAGCCATGTAGTAGTTAGTGGCTGTGCTAAATCGTGCTTAATAAATTGTCCTCCAGTCCAACCCACCAGATGCCGCCATTCAGACATTTGCTCTACCAACATGCCAATTTTGCATCTGCAGATCAGGAGGATCTTGATATACCAAGCGAAAAAATATCCCGTACTTGAGGTGTCAACATCCCAGGACGAATCACCACAGACGTTAGCCTCATATATCCTCACAGTCGCAATTGATACCTTGTATTCGGAGTGCAATCCGCTGTATACAATATGCCCCAAGATCCAAATCTCTATGGCCAGCGACCTACCAAGAAGCAAAAGAAGAACATGGCGCTTTCATCTTCCCTGGATTTTACAGCACAGTTGACGTCACTCATGTCAAGCAGCACATCATCAGCACCGGCTTCAGGGCGTACCAGACCCTCCAGGGAACCAAAGGACAACATATACCGAAGCAGCAAACCAAAGCAGCAAAGCTCCCGAAAGGACGATGGCAAACTAGCACTCAAGGAAGTCGCCGGAACGGAAGAGGAGACTCAAAATCTGGCGCGTGCAAGACGAAAGATGGAAGACAAGGCGCGGCTATATGCAGCGATGAAGCGAGGGGACTACGTGCCAAAGGAAAACGAGGCGTCTCCCCTGGTGGACTTTGACCGGAAGTGGGCGGAGAATATCGAGGGAAAAGAAGACCACTCAAGCTCAAGCTCTGATGACGACGGAAGCGATGGCAGCAGTGGGGTAATAGAGTACGAGGATGAATTCGGGCGGCTCAGACGCGGGACTAAAGCCGAAAAGGAACGCATGGAGCGTCGAGCGCGCCGAGGATTACTGGGCGCAGAAGAACTCGAGCGCATGTCAGCGCGACCGAGTGCGCCAGCGAAGCTGATTTACGGAGATGCCGTGCAAGCAATGGCTTTCAACCCGGATGACGCCGAGAAAATGGAGGAATTGGCTCGGAAGCGGGACCGCAGCGCGACACCCCCGGACCGGAAACACTACGACGCTGACAGTGAGATTCGGACAAAGGGCGTGGGCTTCTTCAAGTTCAGCAAAGACGAGGAGACCAGGACCAAGGAGATGGAGGAGTTGGCCGAGGAGCGCGAGCAGACTGAAAAACAGCGCCAGACTCGTGAGGATCGAAAGGAAGCACGGCGTAGAGAAATTGAAAAGCGCCGACGCAACGTGGGCACACGGCGGGCTCAACGCCAGGCGGACAGCTTCCTCGAGGGATTGATGGATTGAAAGTGAGCATCGACTCCGACAAGACAACGGGATGAAAACGGAGCAGAGGTCGTACGTGTCTTGTGCGAAAATGTTCACCTCCAGTTACTATATCAATGAAACTCGACCAGCTTCTCTATCGGGATGAAACCCACAGTCTGGTTGCCAATGTCTCAAAGCCACCAACCGCCGCATTCAAGCAGGGGCCTTTTCATAGAGTTCTTCTTTTTATCCAGCTGATGCTCTTGGCGTCTCGGGCCGGTCAAGCCAAGAAAGAACCACAGATTCCAAGTAAGATCTCTTCAAGAAACATGATATACGTCAAGTTGGAATTCCTAAATTCAGGCTGGTTTGATGGGCTGGTTCTGGGGCACATCTTGCAATTTCGAAAACCTTGGCTAAAGGGCCGAGGAACCAAAGACAGGTGAGTGTTCTACAACTAGATGACAGGAGCTCATGACGCAAGGGCGAGTCTGGTGAATTGCAAATAAGCTAATTGCCGAGGTGGTTACCTAGAAAGAAGAGAATAGATGAGCACTGAACAATCCAAACAATCCGAAATGCCTGTTATCAATGTCAAGCAACCGCACAATGTTCAAGCGCCGGCTGCTGGCATGGTCGAATACTGCTCCCAAAAAGTTGTCCGACCCTTGAGCATCTTCCAGGAGCCGCCACGTTGTTTCCCGCACTGATTGCAGATGCCGGACCGTCAAAACCATCTGGTCGAGCTCGCAATTCATCACAAATGCTGTGGACGGCCTGTACGTTTCTATCCAGGCTCTGCGGCGCAAGGTCTGGTTCTTCCCGGCGATGACGCTGAACGCCTCGCCCTCCCGCTAGCACGTACACCAACTCACTGACTCTGGGGCCCAAATTCGAAATTGTTGATGGCAAGGGCTCTTGGGCTCCCATTCTCGCAAAAGAATACCGCCATCCACTTTTCGTCCCCGATTCAGACTTTTGGAACACAATTTCTCCCTTGGTCCCCTCGAACGCCTTGCTTGCCTTGACCTCGTCACTGCGGGTGGCGCCCGCCTTCATGATGCCAACCCATTTTCCAAACCTGGGGCCGCACCTGGTGTGCGGCAGATCATAGGAAAACGTCACCTTGTCCGATGTCACCGTCGCGGACACCAGCTTCGGTTCAGGGACGGCTTGGCCAAGAGTCAGCGGTAGGACGCTGAGAAAAAGGAAACCCGCTCCTTTGAAGAGCATTGTGCGGTAGAGTGAGGTTGTTGGTTATCCTGTTGGCAAGAATTACGAGTAACGCTCCTGGCGAATTGCGTGATTGGATGTCTGGAGAGCAGACTCGACAAAGGGTACATGTGCTTGCAATTTATACTGGCGGCTTCATGCTGTAGCCGTGTAGCTTGTTGCGCTATCAACAGCCGTCGAAGCCGTGAAATTCCTTCCACTCTGTCATCCCTTTGCCCTGTGCTGAAATGCCAGGCGAGGTGACTTCATCATATATCCCTATAGCGTGTTGTACTATCAGCAGCCGTTGAGGTCATGAAATCCCTTGGGCTCTCTCATCCCTTGCCTGTGCTGAGGTGCCAGCCACGCCTCCTAAAGGAATACTAGCCAATGACATGTTGTAAATACACAGGTGTAGCACTGGCTGCACTGCACACTTGATCGCCATCTTATTGTTGTGACGTATATGTTATCAACTATTCCAAGTGCATATACGGGTCACGCTATGCACTATTCCCGACCTGCTGATACAGTTAATAAAATGCACCGGGCCTGGTGGTGGACAAGAGCGGCGCCGGGAGTCTCGAAGAGCAAGCGGCCTGGAGAGTAACACGGTCAAGATTCAACATTCAACGTCGAGGCCCGACGATGGCCAGCCCGCCCACCGGCTTGCCGTCTGCGGCAGATGACAAGCACTGGCACGATTGCGGATACTTCCCAGCCGGCACATGGAGCATACTCGGACGCTGTATTGCTGCGGACCAAGTATCGGCGACTTGTTGAATCCGAATCCAAGCTCGCCGCCGATGTGAAGCCAGCCGAGGCCGAGGACGTGGACCTGTCGACGCCGCCAGAGCGTCCGTGAGACCGTCAGCCCAAATCGCCATGACTCTCTGGCACATACGCAACAAGCACGGCCAAAAGACGTGGATTGGTATTGTGAGCGTTGCTCCGACTTCCAGGTCGCCAGGACAGAGTTCGCGGTTGCTTGGCCCGGCAGGACAACTCGACAAGGCGAACCTCTTGGGATCAAATGATTCGTGCACAGTACACTGGTGAAAGCCTCAGGCTGTCCCTCGATTTTCTGCAGTCCTTCTACAAGATTGCCAGGGATGCTCAGCAGGGACGAGATCTCCGTGGATAATGAGTTGACATGCTCTGTGGACTTTCTCATTGCGCACTACCAAGCCGCCATGGAGCATTCCGGTATAACATTACCATGGTTGATCACGTTGTGACTGGCGGGCATAAGCTTGGCCATTACTGTACGCGAACGGGGTCAACAGTCTATGCTGCTGCGGCAATATTGCTTCATTCTAACCTCCGGGAAGTGATCTGACGGAGGCAGAAAAGGACCAACCACGATACATCAGCCCGGTGATTGAGGCCGTTTGCAGGCTGTGGGAGGGCTTCAAGCCGCAGCAAGAGCTTGAAATTGACGAGCGGCATCTTTTCGGCTTACGCTGCGTAAAATTTGCCATGGATTGCCCCGGTCAGCCCTGGGGGGGCAGAATTGCCCAATTAGCGCCTCTTCTGACTTTCCTTGGTGTCTTGAACGGATTGGCGTTCTTCACGTCTTGGTCGACGCGACAAACCTCCTGTCCCTCTCTCCATTGTCAGCTATGCAAACGGTGCAGCATACGACGTGCTTGAAGCACTGGATCAAGAACGGGCCTTCCAGACCAGCCGTAACATGACTCCCAAAACACGAGCAATCTGTGTTCGACCTTTGTGTCCGAGCACCTTGGCGGTTGTTAGTCGTCGAGCCGAGGACGACGGCGTCGTTCGCGTTTCGTAGCCACTCTGCTGGGTGTTTGTATTACCATCGTGATTCGTGGCCCTTTGGACAAGATTTTTGTGCTGACCTTCTTGTGATGGCTTTCATGAGCCAATAACGCCTCAGAGTATGCCTTGGAGGTGCGTGTCTAATTTCCGCATTCCTTCCTCCACTCCGCCCCACGTATTGTGTATCACAGATGCACAGCCTCACAGAGGTCCCGGGCCCGGCGACCAAGAGCACGCGCCGCCTTCCGCGTGCAAAGCTGAGCTTTGCTGTATCGAGAAGACGATGGTGCAACCATGTGGAGGCCGCTTGGGCTTGGTAGGACTTGTGCCCCTCGTTCGTTTAGGTCGCAGGACTGGCTGCCTGGGACAAGCAATTGACATGCCACGGATATACGCAGTAGAGCAGTCACTAGCATACCATGGTTTGCCAAGTACAATAGGCAATGCACGATGCGCTCCCCAGTCGCTCCCTGAGCCTTGGGCGAAGGACGGGAATTTGAGGAACCCGTCTTGTGCCGCGCCTTCCTTCTTCCTTGCGCGACCACGTCGCGGGGTTCTGTCTCAACACGGTTAATGCGAAAAAGTGTGAGTCACCGGTCAGACCCACCGACTGGCGAAAGGGCGCGGTACCTGACAAGGCGCCCTCAGCCCTTAACAGCCTCGCCTGCCGCCTGGCACCCGGTTCTGTTAGGACTGGGTGCGGCTTTACGCCTGCTCCACCTGGTACCGCACCCGTGCACGCGTGCACTCCGCCGCTTGCTGCCTGAGAAATACAAAACCTCGCCAAGTTCTCGCCATGCCCAAGATCTGACTGACCCGTCTTCTCCTCCACCCCCAGCACCTCTTCTACCATACAAGTCACAAGTCAGATCAACGCCTCAGGCGGCCTTCAAGATGCTGTAAACCACCTCTTTTCCAGAGCTCCCACACAAATCGTCAAAATTTCTTCTCAAGACATAAAAAACATCAACCCCACTCAATCCCTTCCCCGTTCAGCTCACCTTTTGGTTGATCTGGACTTCAGCACTGCTACAGACAGCATCAGCTTGAGTTCTCCTCTCACCACCGCCACCATTTCGGCCCAGGACTTTTCAGTCTTCACCACGGATACTCAATCAACATGGCCTCCCAACTCCCCATCAGCAGCCCTGCCGGCATCACCCGCGCACCAACTCCGGAGCCCCGTCGAGAACCAGCAAGACTTCGTCTTGTTCGACAACCCCCAGCCCAGTCCAGTCCCTAGTCGGTCCTCTGCCCAGCTGCCCGGCCAGCGCCGTCATTCACACCACAATCGCATAGGCAAGCTACCCTCTTCGGCTGTCCAGAGTCAGCCAGTTGCCCAGTTGTTCCAGGCAATTGGATATCTTGGACATCAGTCATCGTCTTCAGTCAACGCCAACCGTTTCTCCAATCAGTTTTACGCTCCGTCGGCTCCGTCGTCCGCCTCCCTGAGCAGTCAGCAGAGGACCCAACAACAGCAAGATTCTGCCCGCCCCCCTGTGCCATTGTTCAACCAGAGCGCCGGTAACATCCACCAATCAGCCAAGATGATGAACGCGGCAGACGTAGACCTGGATGAATTCACCGCCTTTGAAGGCGGTGCGTCCGCATTCTCATCTCCAGCCGTTCTGTCTGCCATGGATTTCAGGGGCAGCATGTCAAGCTCCACGTCCAACGTGGGCACTGTTTCTCCTCAGGATTTACTTGTTCAAGAGCCCTTCATGTCCGCGCCAAGTTCCTCTGCTCTCACTGCTCTGACATCACCGTCCATTTACGACGAGTCTCCGGACTTTGATGGATTCGACGTCTCACCCAACTTTGGCAGTGCAGACTTGGAGAGCTCCAGCGATCCTTGGTACCCCCTGTTCCCTCAAGACTCGGGCCACAATGGCCCCGAGGTCAACCCTGAGGACTCACCTGCCCAGACGTCGGATGACATGGACTCTGTCAGCCCTGCTTCTGGGTCTGGCAACCGTAAGAAGGCCACCAATTCGCCTACCGGCAGCGGTCGTCACTCTTCCGTTGCCGGGGTCAGCTCGCGCAAGCTAGACAAGCCTCTGCCCCCCATCATCGTTGAAGACCCCGGTGATCCCGTTGCCATGAAGCGAGCTCGTAACACCCTCGCAGCTCGAAAGTCGCGTGAGCGCAAGGCTCAGCGCTTGGAAGAACTCGAGGACCGTATTGCCAAACTCGAGGCGGAACGTGATCATTGGAAGGAGATTGCGCTTTCGCAATCGGGTCCGCAAATATAAAAGTTGATTGCTATTGAATAGGTTTCCTTTTTTTCCTAGCTTTTTCCTACACACCAAGTTCGTCAGAAGTCCCCGTGCAAGAGTATAAATTTTGGAGACTTGTAATGTTTTAGTTGTTGCTTTTCCAGTGTCGGCTAGCTCAGGTATATTTCCAATATCAATCCTCGCACTACTCGGCACGGTTTATGACGATCAAACGTGCCCCTAGGCGGCCGGTCGGTCAACGGCTATGTGCCAAGCAGTCTTACCTTTTCGCGGGCCTTGAACAGGGACGGCGACGGTTTTGCCCGGAGCCGTTGTTCCGCCGTTCGCTTGTCCAGCCTTGACCATGGCAGTGTAGCGTACTTGAGTAGTTACTAGTAGTTTGCCATTCAGCCCCGGCGGCATCGACCTTGGTGAAATCAACCCAAATTGGGGTAGTACTCCGTGTATTGAGCGCTACCGCCGGGATGGCCATTAGCGGGAGCCCCGGTTAGTCTGTGCATCGGGTTGTCGTCATGAGTCATGACGATGCTGTGTTTCAGTGCGGCGTCGCGCGGGATGTGTACGGTGTACTTGCTTACTGTATGTAGCCAATAGGAGGTGGCCCTTTACAATGTCTTTTTATTTCCGCCGTGCAAGGTTGCCCAGCTACTTGCTTACCGAGTACCTGGGGCAGGCAGTGTCCCGCGTCAATCTCGTTTGCCCGTCCCGTCTTGTATATTAATAGAAGTACGGAGTGGTATTCACGGACAGCATGCAGGGCCTCAATCACCACTACGTATACATACTAGCAAGGGTTGGATTCCTGCTACCAGCGGGCTGACCTCCCCTGAATTGCGGCTGAAAACTAGAGAATACTACGCCATGACCCGCCCACCGCGAGCGTACATACAAAAGCTGCTCAACCGGACATCCGTTTTCTCTCGACGCTTCGGCTGCGAATTCTAGGACAGTCAGTCTCTGAGTCTCTGCGTCCATTGTCGTGGGATAGCCCTTCGTTTTCAGTCCCTCGTTTTCAGTCCCTCGTTTTCAGTCCCTCTTCAGTCCCTTCCCTCGTTTTCAGTCCCTCGTTCTCAGTCCCATTCTCCTCGCCCTCCCTCCACCGAGGTGCCCGCGCACGTCGTCCATCTCGTCTTACAACGCAGAAGCACCCTCATCGCCTGTACACTCGAGCCTCGCTGTCAGAACCCTTCACCACACACTCCCACCATGGGCCTCCGTTCCTCTGCTCTCGGCGCCTTGTGCCTTGCGTCTTCGGCCCTTGCCCGCACAAATCTCGTTGGATGCACCTACTTTGACACAGTTAGTGCCTACCCCGGTGGCCAGTCCTTCGCAACCCGCGTCTGGTACGTCCCAGAATCTGGAGAGCTCTGCGAAATTCTCGACTGTGGCGGCGGCCGAGCTCCTCCCAAGACAACCGTCCCGGGGTGTGCCGCCTATAAAGGAACTGAAACCTATTCGCCCTCTTTTATCAACCCCAAGACCCTTGGCCAAGCTCCGGCCACTGACGGCCCTGCCAAGATCACCAGCAGCTCTGCTGCTGGGGTTACCGCCGCTCCATCTTCGTCTGGAACCGCTAGCGGAGAGGCACCTAGTACTATTACCAAAGCTCCTGAGTTGCCACAGACGAATTCGACGATGACAATGGTGACGAGCGCGCCAGCAAGTTTGGGAAGCAGTGGAGTGTCTACGACCAACACCACGAAACCAAGCATCCAACCCGTGGCCAGCACCGGCGCGGCAGTCGCTCTCCCGACAGCCGGCTCCGTCTTGGCTGGCTGGCTGGCTGCCGGTGTGGTTGCAGGGCTTGCCTTGGTTTAAAGCCAAGGAATGAGATATCCTGAGCTGGGGATATTGTACATTACATGGTATCAATTTGTTGGCAGACTAGGCGATGAGAACGTCAAAACACGGGAGCGTAAAGTTGCAAGTGTGATCTCACAATAAATGGATGAAACCGAGTACGTCAGCATACGCTTTGGCCACGGATGGATGTTGCTTTCCACATACTGTGACACAATGATATCCGGAGTATTGCTGCCCAAATAAATGTCGTGGCCTATTCTTGCGGGTGTCGGGTCTGTGCCGGCGCTGGAAATCACGGCCCCGTTCCATGGCACGTCCGGAATCGGCGGTGGATGCCATACAGCCAGGGTCTAAAGCATGAATGTGGCTTTTGGTTGGATAAGACAAGAGGGGCTTGCTCTGGCGTGCATTGCAGCTGATACACAAGAGTGAAAGGATAGCACAATTCTCTGCGAGTCCATGCCGTCCGTACCCAACCGGTGGAAAGTGTCGAAGATTGCTGCATTAAAAGGGCGGTAGTTGAAGAGTTGGGGAAAATCATTGTCGACAAGGTTGCCAGGCTCTCACGACCACGCGCCAGAAAGGGGAATTGGGGTAAAGGCTGGGTGGGCCAGAGAATGAATGCTTGGCTTCTTTTTTGCTTCGGTTGGTCTTCACCATGAGACGGGGGGCGGGAGACGGAAACAGAAGGATTGGGATAGGCTTGAAACGTTGCCAGTCCCTCTCGGCCCGCAAGAGGTCGTGTTGCGAGAAGCGGAAAGTGTCATGTCGGGAGGAGACGCCGCTGTACAAGATGATGTAACCTTGCAGGGTTGGTGAGCTGAATGGTCAGAAGAAGCTGACGGACGAGAGCACCGATGATCCCCGGCAAGTAGCGCAGGGTGCGTGTAGTTGGTTTCGAGCAAGCTGAAGCAATGACTTCAAACTTTCTGGCGTTGAATTTTAAGAACGAATCCCCTCACCATCTGTCCTCCCTTCTTTGCCATTTGACAGTCCGAGATGAAGGCCTGAGGTGTCTGCCTGCTTCCATTACTACGAGTCCCGACAATGAACCGGCAAGTACGGACCGGTCAGTTGCCCTTTGACCAGTTGACGCTTCTGAGGGACAGCGGAAGGAGCACAACAGATTCCGGGAGATGACCCGAGAAGGCATGTTATCCAAGGTGAAGAGGAAAGAGGGCAAGAAAAAAAAATCCCCCAAAAAAAACTAAAAAACGGCTCCCCTGCATCCTCCAATCGTCCCGAACCTCGTCACGACGACACCAACCGCAAGATGCCAACGCTCTGCTTTCATTTGTGACAAGCCGCCGCGTTGTACGCCGTATAACTTTCCAGCTTGTCGTTATCTCCTCTTTCAATTCGTTTGTGGGACTCGGCCAGGTTCAATTTGAGACCGTACAAGCGCTCCACCGCCTGCAAGAACACGGTTCAAAATATTCGCGTCTGAAGGAAACAAAGTCCAGTTCCCGCCCAATCGAAACACGACCTGTAATCTCGGTTCTCCATCGTGTTGCCACCCTTCGATCTCTAACGGCTTAGCTTCAGTGCCCTTTCCAGCATCGCGGCGGGAGGATGGGAGCAGAGTACTTGGACAGACGCGCAGCCCGAAATACGGAACCGGTGATACTTGGATTCTTGGCCGACCTGCCCCATGTGTCCACCTGACCTGCGCCATCGCCGCCTGGGGCCCCGGTTTGGACTCTTTGGACGGCTCCCCCACGTCTCCAGAGCGTCGCGGTCGGAGGCAAGCATGCCAGCATGCCGGCAGGCTTCGCGACGTCTCGTTACCCCCCAAAACTTTCGAGTCTTTCTTTGTCTCATCATCGTCACTACCCCACACACACCAAATCCAACCGAGCCGGACCAACCAACCACCTACCGCCGCCACCGACTCGGGAGACGCAGCGCTCCAGGCTCCAGGCGCCCCAATGCCGGCCAACGGAGCGCCGGTGCTCCCCCCGGAGGGCCACTACCAGACTGGAATTCTGGGGAGGGCGGGCGGAAGAGTTTGTGGACGAGAGGCGCAGCTGACTCGAATCACAGGGCCACAAAAGTACGTAATGGGCCCGTATTGTAAGCGTTGTGCTTTGCCAAACAAAGCCTGGCATTGGCAGGCAACACGGAGTCCATGATGCTTCGTCAGGCCGTCAGACAGGTGCTGGTACATTTGTATGTTTTCCGCACGATCGGTGGATACCGACACAAAGCATGGCGCACGCAGCCACTCACGAGTGTTGCAGCCCTGACACAACAAAACCACATGGGGGGGGATCTTGGGAATCTCTTAAGCCAGATCTTGTCTCCTCTCTGGCCACTTACACCCGTCCACACTTTCTTCCCTCTCCATCCCCCTACAACAGACCGTTACACCTATATACTAGTCCTGACCTCTATTTTCACGCCGATAACCTGGGGAAAGAGCAAACAACTTCTATTGGACAATGGTTTTCTGTGCTACCCTCACCCCACCTGTCTTTGATTTCTATAACCACCTTTCACAGCCGGACCGCTCCATCATAAAATAATTTGAGGCGCCAGGCTCGCTTGGTTTCAGCTGTCAACTCTGTCGATACAACGTCAACTGCCGAGACTGAATACCATGGGTTCTCGAGGCACCGTTGTCCAGCCAGAGGGGACACCTCGTTCCTGGTGCAGAGACAACTTCTTCCTTACCACCGAAAAGACATTTCTCGACCCCAAAGCCGTGAACGAGGTGTTTGAGTCGGACCTCATGTGGTGGAACGATCCTCTCGAGCTCAGCCAGATGCGCAAGATGCTCGACAACTGTCTCACCTTGGCAGTCTTTTATGTTCCGGATACAGAGGAAGAGATGATGCGTAAGTCTTGGCTGCAAAAAGACTCTCCAAGCCAACGGGGCAAGCACGTGACATTCAAGTCCGTCCTGGATACATGCGTCTAACCCTTGACGTTCTCCCAAAATAGGCAACGGCGGCAGGCCTCGACACATGAACAAAGGGCCCGACTTTCGAATGATCGGCCTGGCTCGCGTCGTGACAGACTACGTCACTTTTGCGTACCTCACTGACGTCTTCATCATCGAGGAGTTCCAGCGCCGAGGCCTTGCCTCTTGGATGATGCGTGCTCTGAAGGAGCTTGTCGACGAGTGGCCAAACCTTCGTGGCCTCATGCTCATGACCCACGACAAAGCTGCTGCTCGCATGTACCAACGCACTCTGGGAGCGGTCGATTTCGACAAAGGCCCCTCAGCGGGGTTGGTCATGTTGGAGATGGGGGGCAATGGGAAAAAGGAGGTTCCGGACGAGCATTGATTTCGGGAAGAGGGATGAGAGATGTGGAGGGAGGGAAAGAAGAGGGCGCGAGCAGGGAAAGAAAACATGGCAGGGCGTTGACGAGCCATGTACATGACATGATGACTTGCTATGCTCCCGCCTTGTTTGTGGTCTTCTCTTTCATATTCATTGGCATCAGGCCGGAATCTCGATTCCAGTTAGCATAGCAGTTTTTGTGTGCTTTTGGGTACTTGTTTTAGTGTACAGCCCTGGATTGTGCAGCCCTCAATTCAATGGCTCGTTTATACGGCGGCGCAATGGGAGGTTGCACGGGATCCAGAGAGACGTGGTCCTCGGGGAGCAGATAGGACGCATCGGAGTCGAAGGCTGACAGGTCTCCGCAAGCAACAAACGGCGCAATCCATCGCGTACTTGAGCCGCTGCCGCTGCCAGTGCCAGTGCAAGTGCCACGGGCACGTCTCGTGTCGTCATGGACGTGCATCTCCGTCACGGCAGGAGAAGCAGGCGCAGCGACGCCCGCGACGGACGCCCCGGCGGCGCAGGTGCAATCCCACGCGCCCGTCTGCGGATTCTGCATGGCCGCGCGAGCCGCAGCCGGCAACTGCAGCTCCCTCTCCTTGACCATGGCGTCCAGCCCGTCCCCCAGGCCCAGGGGCTCCTCCAGACTGGCGCGGAAGCCCGGGGGCGGCCTGAAGTCGGAGCACACGACAAAGGCCTCCATGCTGCTGGCCCTCGAGCTCCTGGGCTTCGCCACGGCCACCTTTCCGAAGAAGACGCCCAGCTGCGCGTACAGCACGTCGACGTTGCGGCCCCTGAAGATCTTGGCGACAAACGTGCCGCCCGGCCGGAGCACGCACAGCGCCAGGTTCAGCGCCGCGAGCAGCAGCCGGCTCTGCACGTAGATGTCCAGGTCGTGCAGGCCCGTGACGTCGGGCGCGCCGTCGCTCAGCACCAGGTCCACGGGGCGCGAGGCCCTGCCGCCGGGCGCCGGGTCCGCGTCCGTGTCCGCGTCCGCGTCCGCGTCCAGGGCCCGCAGGAGCAGCGGCACCGTCGCGGGGTGCGTGATGTCGGCCCGCAGCGTCGTGATGCCCGCCAGCGGCGCCATGGGCTGCAGGTCCACGGCCACGATCTTGATCTTGGCGTCGTCGCAGGGCCGGCGCGGGGATGTCGCCCCAGACCTCGACCCCCCGGCCGGGCTCGTCGTCGACGCCGGCACGACGCCCAGCATGGCCCGGCGGAGGCGGGCTTCGTCGTCTTGCCACGCCCTGTGCCCGAACTGCTCCTTCTGGATGAGAACCCGCGACAGCACCTGCGACCAGGACCCGGGCGCGGCGCAGAGGTCGACCACGCGCGTCACGTTGGCGAACAGGTTGAACTCTGGGCACCGTTAGACGTTGGTGCTTCCCGGCGGGCCTTGGGGGGTGACGACGGAACCTTGGTCGAGCTGGAGGAGCTTGAAGGCGCTTCTGGCGCGCCAGCCTTGCTCTTTGGCGAGCCGGTAGTACGCGTCCCGCTTGTCTTTGGATGATTTGCCCATTGTGGGGGAGAGGAGAGGGGACGGGAGGAGAGCAGAGGAGAGGGGAGGAGAGCAGAGGAGAGGGGAGGAGAGCAGAGGAGAGCAGAGGAGAGCAGAGGAGAGCAGAGGAGAGCAGAGGAGAGGGGAGGAGAGCAGAGGAGAGGGGAGGAGAGCAGAGGAGAGGGGAGGAGAGCAGAGGAGAGGGGAGGAGAGCAGAGGAGAGGGGAGGAGAGCAGAGGAGAGGGGAGGAGAGCAGAGGAGAGGGGAGGAGAGCAGAGGAGAGGGGAGGAGAGCAGAGGAGAGGGGAGGAGAGCAGAGGAGAGGGGAGGAGAGCAGAGGAGAGGGGAGGAGAGCAGAGGAGAGGGGAGGAGAGCAGAGGAGAGGGGAGGAGAGCAGAGGAGAGGGGAGGAGAGCAGAGGAGAGGGGAGGAGAGCAGAGGAGAGGGGAGGAGAGCAGAGGAGAGGGGAGGAGAGCAGAGGAGAGGGGAGGAGAGCAGAGGAGAGGGGAGGAGAGCAGAGGAGAGGGGAGGAGAGCAGAGGAGAGGGGAGGAGAGCAGAGGAGAGCAGAGGAGAGCAGAGGAGAGCAGAGGAGAGCAGAGGAGAGGAGAGGAGAGTCGGGCGTTAAAGTCGGATCATGGTTTTTTTTTTTTTTGGAGGTTGGATGCCGCCCCGCGAAAGGCATTCAATGCCCCGCCCCACTGCCAAGTCACGTCTGACAGATGACACACAACAATAAATGACTTGTCGCATCTCCAGGGTACGCGCTACATTTTTTACTTCTACCTTCAACGCCATGAAAGTCTACATGTCATCGTACACCCTGTATTCTAAATCATCCCCAACTCCTTACCCACAGCCTCCAACGCCTCCCCTAGCAATCGCAATACGGCACCATCCCCTCCTACTCCCAGTGCTCTCACCAACAAGGGATAGAGCCGTAAAAGATGCTTCCTCCCTTCGCCTTCAGCCTTCCCCGAAGACGGAATGGCCTCGCCGCGGCTTTCCAGCTCTACGAGCTTCGTCAGCACCCAAATTAGCTCCTTGCGCTGACTGAGCGGTTGTGGCATCTGGCCACGCAGTGGCTGGTCAGCTACATAGGCGCCAATGGTTAGTGCGCAGCGGAGAATGAGAAACGGTGCTGCTACTCGGGCGATGCGGTTGCGGAGTGCGGATACGAGTTCCCCTGGCTCAGCTTGTTTACTTTTCGTCGACTCTTGTTCCGTGGCTTCGAGAGTGGTTGACTCTGCCGGGTCTCGGGCAGATACCAACGAGAATAGCTCGTCGAATGCGACGTACGCCATCCTCTTTCGTTGCGTGGGCGGAATTGCCACCGTACGACCTGGCTTCGGTGCGTAGAGGGAGCGTAGGCCGTCTTCGTCCTCTTGGCCTGGAAACTCGTGTTCTGTATGCGCAAAATCGTGAATAATGGAGTTTTTAAAGAGACTCTCGGCATACCGCTTTCTGGCTTCATCTGGTACATTTTCGGACCCAAGAGACGGAACAATCAGGGCTCGGAGGCTGTGGAACGACGAAATGTCGAATGTTTCGTCGTCGAAAAAAGATGATCTGTCGGCAGCCTTGCCGCACTCCGCGCTGAGAATACCATCTGCCACGGCGACGACAGCGACCCAGATTTCCGGAATCACGTCGCCAGGAACTTCTAGGGTCTTGAGCTTTGGCAGTGTAGCCTTCAGTATACACAGCACCGACGAGGTTGCCAGTCTCCAGGGCTGTACTGATTTCGTAGAGACGGGCAAGTCGTATTTCAAAGCGATTGGCTTGAGAAGAGCTGATAGCGCGTACGAAAACGCTCCACTGCTGTAAATGTCCTTGTCCGACGCGTGTTTCGATATGAGAGTCTCGACAAACTTCATACTGGCCTTGGACATGGCGACATATGTGCGCCTCGAGCCAGAGGCGCCGAGTTCTCGCTTGTACGCCAATGTGGCAAACTCCGACACCTCTTTGATCATGGCTGATGGTACTCCGTCTACATCAGTGCGAATCATTTGCACAGCCGCAAGTGTTTGAGTTTGCAGACTTGTAGCATGCTCAATGTCGGAAACATGCGTACCAACCGAGGCCTCTTCCACGGTCTGACGCAGCAAGGTAAGCATGCGCCTCACATTGTCAACAGTCACATCTTCTTGAATTAGTCTGTAGACATCTCGTAGTGCCGCAACATATGCAGCCAAGCAGCCCTGATTGTCGTCTGCCTTGTCGCCAACTGCATTTGAGGTAGGGATGCCCCTCGACCACAAGTCCCACGCGAATTCAACTGTCGTCTTGTTGAAAATTGGTTTTTTGTTGTCTCCAGTTTGTGAGAGCACATGACTCAGTGCCTTGAAGGTAGCAGTATTGATCTCAAGAACCTTGAAATCAAGCAAAGTTGCAAAATGTCCAAGCAGTTCCCGCCAAAGCTGATTGAACGACGAATGGGCGGTTAGAACGTCGATGTGATTGGCGAGAAGGCCGGAGATGCCATCAAGAACAACGACAGCAGTGTCGTGCCAGTCCATCTTGTCTCTTTCATTCATGTCATCGTCAGGAGCGACGTCAAGCTCCTCCTCCAGAGAATACAGAAGCTTGAAAATGACCGACTTGATGCATACTGACCAAGCTTCGGCGTTTAGGCGGCCGCCATTTGCATCAAAAATTCCCAACAATGTTTGAATGGCCGAGTTTCGCAAGTCAAGACGCTCATCCGAGGTGACTGTGGCTAATCTGAGAAGCATCAGCATCCACAAGGCAGCATCCGAGCCCTTTTGTGTGTGATCTGCTGCCTTCTTTTCCAGCTCGAACTCGTCGGACCCATTCAGTAGATCGGCTCTGATCTCCAGAGTATTTGCCTTGGCAGAAAGAAAATCGGACAAAACCCAGAAGAAGGTGACCGTCTGCAATGATTCGATCAGTACACAGCACACACGTTTGTGAAGGCATACTACCATGCGAGCTTACCGTTAGCGCAATGTTCAGATCGTCGTCTTGGGAGCAAAACTTGTACAGCGTATGTACCAGGATGGAGAAGCAAGATTTGGGAAGAGTCGACAAGAAGTCGGAGCAAATAAGCTGCAATGAACCGAATGCTGATCGAGTCAGCTTGGGTGATCGTGTGGAGAGCAATCCGGCCTCTGAGCCTCGTTTACGCTCCTGGATAGCGTTGGAGGCCACGAATCCGCTGCCAATGATGTCAAACGCAATATCCCAACCACTCACCAGGCTTTCGCCGCAGCCTTCGATTAAACTCTTTAAACCTTCAAGGATGATTTTATGAACGTCAATGTCTGTCGCCACACTAGCGACCGATGCAGCGCGGGCGTTTTGGTTCAGGGCGGCCAGTGCATCCCGCAACGATGAGAGTAGCCTGAACTGCACCGGTCCTCTGCTGTCTTCCGGAATCGACGTCGTTGCCGTGGCCGCTTCAAGAATAAAGCGGGAAAGCGTCTCTGCAGCTTTGACTCTGACAGGGGTCCCAAAGACCGGAGAATCTAGGGCATGGATGACCTCGTTCATCAAAATATTCCAACCTGACGCCGCCGGGTTATTCATCAGAAGTCTTTCCAAGTTCACACTTGCAATTTCACCAAGTTTGGCCAACGCAAATAAAAACTCTTGATTTGACGATGTGGACAGGGTACTGGAGAAGCTCAACACGCGACGGTGGCCATGGCCGAGCTGCTTATGCGACAACTCCATGGGCGACGGGGAAGTTGGGTCACCCGATTCCGGTTTCTCCGGAGAGCTCTGCTCGAGGAGATTACACACTGCCTGAACGACTTCGACGAAAGACGCGTTGGGAAAGTCAACAGTGCTTTCGATCAACCTCGACGCCGCAGTTTCGACAGACCTTATCTCGTTATTGAAGTTGGCCATCAATGAGTCGGAGTCCCCGCCTTGCTCGACCCCGCGCCCAACGGACGGGGTTCGACCAGGTGCCTTGCCACTGGCGAACAACACGAAATCTGCCTGTTGCAAGGTCTCGAAGATGATGCCCCATGCCGAGCCCAAGGTCGGGCCAAGTGCAATCCCGAGGTTGAGAAGGGCTCGCAAACAGAGTAAATTTCGGGTGTTCAACGACGCAGCGCCAGCATCAAATGAGGTATTCCGTTGCCTGTCTGTCGCAGGGGAGACTGGTGTCAATGTCTCGACACTCAAGAGACCACGGGCATTACTGAGAATTGTGTTTGCCGTGTCAGAGGGGGTGCTGGGCGTAGCAGATTTGGCCTGCCCGTAGTTCATACAAGCAGTGAGCAGATTAGGAGGCACAGCAGACTTGCCCAGTGTTGACAAGAAAGCATCTCTGGGAGTAGCAAGCTGCAGCAAGCCAGATACATGAGCAAATCTCTGAAACGATCGCACCAGGCCATGATAATATTCAGAATCCAGGGAAGCATACAAGAATGTAGAAAACGTCGCAAGAATGGCGGGCCAGCACTCATCAACGATGGCAGCGCAAATTTTGACGTCTGAATACATGGGGTGGTCTTCAAAGCGGAGCGGATTGACGGGAACCGGATTCTTTTTAAAAGATGCCGTTCTTTCCAAGCCGGGTTTCTTTTTCAGCGAATCGGAAGGAGCAGGAGAGTCTCGACCAGAATCGTGCTTTGAGGCCTTGCGACGCGTGCGGCCCTCGCTAGGGACCGTAAGGGGTAGGATGAACTTGGCCATACCGTCCGACAACGATGAGAGACACGACAGAATCAGACTGTAGACATAGGATTCGGGGATCGATGGTGGGTCGGTCTTGTCAAGCTGGTCAATGCAAGGCACTCTGACAGAGCTCCATTGAGTGCTGATGCCAGTCTTTGAAGCTTCAGAGTTGATGGAGCTGCTAATTATGCCACTCATGCCGGCTTCAAGCATCGCCTGATCTGTGGATTGAGAAAGATTGACCGACGGATCGGAAATTGGCATTGTGGACTGATGGCCAAGTCCAATAACTGCAGGCTTTTCTGTGCTTAGCCTGACGAAAGTAGCTGCCATTGTCTTGATGATGCCCCTCTCTTCCCTGTTGTTGTCGTATAGGGAGAATATCTTTCGGACCAAGGCAAAGTCGCCGAACAGGCTTTTGAACACTTCCATGCAGAGCGCCCTCTTCCACAATGCCGAATCCTGGTCCAGGAGGTGCGTGAGAATTTCCAGACCGTCACTGCACTCATTTGGCAAAATGTCGATGTGTCTTCGTAACAGTGTATACAGGATGCGGACAAGTCTGACTGTCGTAGCAAAGGAAGGCTTGCCCTTGAGAGCACTGAAAATAAGAGGCATTACTCTCACGCGAAGAATCTGTGCCTGTTCAGCGTGTGTGGTGAATACAGAGGCGTGATTTGTTATAACCGACTCAATCAGCTCCAGGCCAAAGGTTTGCGGTAGACTCGAGAATCTCAAGAACTCTGGTCTCTGGTTCTCCGTCATGAGGCATAGATCGTTGAATATCTGCGAATGTCGGTTAGCCACTTTCGTCTTTGGGATTGTACGAGGTAGCCTACTCTGTACGCATCAAGAGCTGCTGCACGAAGTTGAAGCTGCGCATCTGCAGACGGCGCTTCGCCAACAACCGGGGCATCTGATCCATTCTCTGAGCAACGTGTAAGCACCAGTGCCTCCTTCCAATGCCTCCCACAAGCCCTAGGACTTACTATCTTCTGAAACAACCTTGTCAAACACCGAAACAACCAACTGCTGCAGCGTTGCAGCACTGGTATGATTCACAATGGCGTTCCTGCTACTTTGCAAAATGAAGCAAATATTCAACGCCGTCACTAGCAAATTGCCATTCAACTCCGCAGAGTAGTTCTGCAGCAGAGAAGGAAGAGCCTGCAGAATCTTGAGCTGAACATCTAGTCCAGCAGAAGACGCCTGCATCAGCGCCTCCAGAGCCTGATCGAGCTTGGACTTGGGCAAGGCCTTGGCGACGATGAGCCGCTGGAGGCATACGATGGCGATGGCTGTGAATTTCGCGTTTTTGGTCCCACATGCTATGATGAAGGGGTTGACAAAGTTGGATCTCTGCGAGAGCACTGGACAAAAACAATGGTTAGAAGGCGATGTATCGATGTATTCGAAAGAGAGGTTGGCCATGGTGACGCGCATACATTCTGGGGCTTCTTGCTCAGATACACTGCCAAGCTGCTTGAGCTCCTCAAGAGACTTTTCAGCGGCCTACAACCAAGTATTAGCAGAAGCTTATTGACGATGTAGCTGGCCTTGGAGCCACATGGAGCGGTTGGAAGCGTACCTGTCTCAAGTCATTATGCTTCCGTTTGCTCTCGTGTACGAGGTTCGCCAGCTCGTTGGCCAGCAGCTGCGTGGTCATTTTGGACAAGCCCGCGCAGAAAACCGCCCATACGCGCACATGGAGCCTCGTTTCTCATCCATACAGCTTCAGGAACAAACCGAGGTCTATTTGTCCTATCCAGACGAGGTTTCAGCATTTATTGTGCAACGGATATCGACCTGCTGTTGTCGCGTGAGGTGTGAGAGATGCCTGTGCTCAAAGGGGACGTGGCAGGTTCAGACCCACATGCGCATGATTCCTGACGCACCTCGACCGGATCGCGCAAGAAGAATGGTCGAGAGTTCGAACCCCAACCTCAGCATCAGGGTACTTTGATTTTTTTTTCAATTCGGTTCTGAGCGTAGTCCCTTTCTAAGGTGCGGCCTGGGAGCATTATTTGCCAAATTCCAACCTTTTTTATTTCTCCAATCTCGTTTTTTTCATTTGTTTTTTTCTATCATTCTGCAGTGTTGTACAAAATGCATGGACGAATGGACACAGTTCCACATCTGCACGGCTTATAAGAATGTACATGGCGGACAAAACTCTCTGCCCAAAAGAAACCTTCATCCTTTCCTGCAGCAAGCTAACTGTGAACTCAGTTTGGTGACATTGACCAAGTCTCCATACATTCACATCGGAAGAATAGTGCACGTTGATTGGGATACGTATCATAAGAGGTGCCGATTCTATGGCGTAACCCCCCGAAGCAATCCAACTTATCTAAGCGGACGATAGTCCAGGTCCATACATGATTTCTTTTCATCGCGAGTCTGCCAGTATCGGCGCCAGAAGAAGGAGTCACGGCTATGCTACATAAAGCTGTGGTAACATGGCGTAAGTCATGGCAGAACCAGGTCTACCATTTTGGCGGCCAGGCCAGCAAACCTGCACTTTCAAATAGCGCAGAAAAGCTTTTTTTTTCTTTGGCTTTGTACACAAACAAGTAAATCAACCTTGATATATAAAAAAAAAGTCCAAATCAGCTCCTCCCTAGATTCAAAAAAAAAAAAAAAAAAAAAAAACGGGAGGATGTTAATTACAGTCCGTTCTTCCTGTCGAGGGTTCGACAAGCTTACTTACCGACACCAAAGAAAAGTTCAAAACCATTCATAAACACGTCAATGTTTAAACAGGAGCGTTGGTGAACAGGTATGAAACGGATTCACCGTTGTGTGTGCGTCGGATGGCCTGATAAAGGTTTGTAAGCTGATTTGAACTTGGTCGAAAAGGGCAAGGGCACCAGTTGTTTCACATACCTCTGCCAGAGTGGCCGAGACGTCAATAACCTTGAGTTTGGGACATCTGTCAGTCTTATCACCGAGGGGAACGGCTGCAGAAAATGTCAGCATAGTATTTTGATAGGCCAGCAAATCGCAAGTATAGCTCACTGTTTGTGACGACCAAGCCGGCGAGGCAGGAGGCGTTGATATTCTCGATGGCTCTGCCGCTGAGAATGCCGTGAGTGACAATGGCGTAGACTTCTTTGGCGCCATGCTCATTGACAGTCTCGGCTGCCTTGACAAGCTGTTGGGGGGGAAGAATGATTAGTCTAGGCAGCTATCCCCTCCCCTCCTAAAAGAAGAGAAAGGAGAGGAAGGGGGGGAAAAATGAGGGGAGAGTTTGCATACGGTTCCACAAGTATCAGCCATGTCGTCGACCAAGATGGCAACCTTGTCCTGAACATCGCCAACCAGCACCATGCGACCAACGACATTGGGACGAGGTCGCTCCTTGTGAATGAGGGCAAAGCCGACATTCAGGCGGTCAGCGATGGCGGTGGCCCGCTTGGCACCACCGGCGTCAGGGGACACGATGACGCAGTTCTGTGACTCGAGATTCTCGCGTATCCAGCGAAGAACTGAAGGCTCAGCATAGAGATTGTCGACAGGGACGTTGAAGAAGCCCTGGATCTGTGAGGCGTGCAAGTCCATGGTGATGACATGATTCTAGGAGACGGGGGTCAGCGGTGACGGTCATGACAAGCTGGTCAGCCGTACAGGGCTTTTTACGCGTTTCACATACGCAACCAGAGACTTGCAACATGTTGGCAATGAGCTTGGCACTGATGGGAGCACGAGACTTGTCCTTCTTGTCCTGGCGAGCATAAGGAAAGTTGGGGATGACGGCAGTGATGCGACGAGCAGAAGCAGTTCGGCAAGCATGGATCATGATGAGCAATTCCATGAGCCCGTCGTTGACGTCTCCGGGGGCAGTCGACTGCAGGATGAAGACGTCTTCATCTCGGACAGATTCGCCAATAGACACACTAGTCTCCTGGTTTGAGTAATTGAGGCTCATTGTGTTGGCGACATCAATGCCTAGCCTGAGACGAAACGTCAGTCTTTTCGACGGGGCAGCAGCAGCGATTATCGTCGTCGTCGTCGTCATCATCATCACCATCATCACCACCATCATCATCGTGGCAGCGAGGCTGGGTGGATACGTGATCTTGCTTGCGCTTGTGCAGTTGCGAGAGAGGGTGGGGGAGAAGACAATTTTTTTTTAAAAAAAAAAAAATCACATACCGACTGGCGACTTTGGCACTAAGCTCCGGGTGAGAGCTCCCCGAAATGAGCTTGATTTCGTTTGCCATTTGGTCCAACATGGCCGGCGATGTTTGGCGGGAGGGAGAGTCGGGAAAATGCGCTGCGCACGCAGATGAAGTCAGAGACAAAATTTTGGCGCCAACTCGGACATGGAGGCTGTCAAGGCACCTCGTACCAGACTCAGACTGTAAGTGTAGGAGTCAAGAGACGGGCCAAGGAGTCCGGCACTAGGATTCGAGACCAGCACTTTCCACTGTTTTGCCTTTTTATACTTGATTTGATGCGTACTTTCTGCGCCGGGTGCACAGAGATGCTTTTTTCTTTTTTTCGTTGACGTCGGCCGGCTCAAGCCATTCGCCCTGGGCCGACGGAATGACTCCACGACTCCATCATTGTCTGGTTCAACTCCCCATGTGCGCATGTCCCCCGAGCAGAGGCCCTGCAGCGGTTGTCCCAGGCCACGAACCCCCCCAAAACAGGACCCCTCCAGGCGTCCTTGGTGCGCCAAGCGGCTGCCAGCCCACTACTAAGTACCTAGGTACTTACTCAAGTACTTGAGTACTGACCCAAAGCCACTTAGGCTTCCAACTACGGAGTACTTAAGCACCCATTCAAGTACCCGCCGGCTTAAGTACTTTACCCAGGCAGGTACTTCTTACCTTGGGGAAGCAATAACTAAAAGCTATTTGATCAGACGTCCACGTTATTGACGTCTCGTCGTCGTCACTTCGTCACCTCAACCTCCGATAGTCCGCCCTCCGCAGTCGAATGGCACCAGCACCCGTCAGCGACTCCCGCAAGAGAATAAATTAGCCAGCTCTCCTCCTCTCTCCTCCCTTTCCATCTGGGCTCAACTGCGACCCCTGCGTTGCATTGTGGGTGCGGCGCTGGTGCCCAAGGCTGCCGGCAACAGAAAGACGCAAACACGCAAACACACGCAAACGCACACACACACCGCTCCTGCGCCGGCAGTTCCTCAAGCGAGACCTCACCATGTCCTGTGCCCCGACGACGACTTCACCATGGACAACTTGTCGTTTCATCCGTCACGGTTATCATCGTCATCGGCGTCATCATACGCGTCCCTGAACGACATGGCTTTCAGACATCGCAAGTTGCGCCTGCTCGTTGCCGCCACGGGGCCCCGCGACACGTCCTGGGCCCAGGCCCTTGTTGTTCGGCTCTCCAAGAGCCCTCACATCGAGATGCGTGCCATTGTCGACGACGTCGTCCCTCGCCTCACACAGACAGTCATCGTCTTGGAGAACCGGACCCTGGCCAAGGGGCAGGGCGAAAGGGCCGATGACGTCGACTTCTTCTGCCAGCAAGCCTTTGAACTGGTCGACTGGGCAGATTTGCTCGTCTGTGTTCCCCTGGATGCAGACGGAATTGCCAAGATGCTCTCCGGCATCGCAGACACTTTCCTCGGACATGTATTCCGGGGATGGAATGCTCAAAAGAGCATCCTGCTCGTCCCCGGCATGAGCACACACATGTGGTCGAATCCCGTCACGAAACGACAGCTCAGCAAGATACACAGAAAATGGAGCTGGATCAGGGTCATGGCGCCCATCCTGTGGCACTACGAGGGGCAGATGAATCCGAAACGGGTGCCCAACTGGAACGGCTTCAACGAAGTGCTTGGGTATGTCACAAACCAAGCAGACTTGCTGGGTCTCGGGCGAGACGTGGAAATCGCCACCAGCACCGCCGCCGTCCCCGACATTTTCAACGTGCGAATCCGCTCGAAACTACCGCCCGAAATATGGACAATGGTGCTTGACCGCGCCGGCGATTGGGAGCTCGCCAAAGCACTCAACATTTACACCAACTTGCCCATGCCAGCGGCATGGTCACTTGAACCCAAAGATGCCACCGACCCCCTCAAAGTCTACGAGCACCAACTCGAATGGACAGTCCTTACCCGCAGCTCGGCCGCTGTATGCAGGAAACTGTCACAGTCCCCGCCAAACTTCCGGGACGTGCCAGCCTTGGTCGTCAAACTCATCATACGCTTCGCCCTCATGGACGTGCTGGCCTACATGGAAGCCAACCGTCCGGACCTCCTCGCAGGCTTTGAGGGCACCACGCTCCCCACCAACGCATCGGCATACTACCCACGGACCGATGTGCTCGACTATTGGAGACAGAGCAAGTGGTTTCGCGACACGCTCATGTACGACACGGAAGCCATGGACGGAGCCTCCAAGAACGGCCACGTCCGCATCCTCGACTGGTGGTGGCGCCGCTCCGGCCTCCCGCTGCGCTACACCGAAGCAGCCCTCGAGCAGGCCAGCGCCCGCGGCCACCTGCTCGTTCTGGAGTGGTGGCGCGATGCCGCGGCGCAGGACGAGGGAATCGTTCTCCGGCCCGGCCGCTCTCTCATCTGGGCCGCGCAATACGGACAGGCAGACGTTCTCAGGTGGTGGGACGCCTCGGGGATACCCGTCGCACACGGCGACGCTGTCGCCAAAGTCGCGTCGCGTTGGGGCCAAGCCCACGTCCTCGAGACGTGGCGCCGTCTCAAGGGCGACAACAAGGTCGTCTTTGATGGCGAAGTTTTACTGAGCTCCACCATCCACCAGCATGTCGACGTGCTGGAGTGGTGGCGCAGGTTTGCGCACGGCGAGCTCCCAGGCATGGAGGGGCGAAGGCAGCCCGTCGAGTTCCGGACGTGCAACATCGAAGAAGCACTCGAGGACAGCATTGGCGATGCGGACCAGAACAGGGCCAGGAGGTGGTGGGCACAGTACGGGCTGGATCTACGCATGAGGAACGAGGAGTGGCTGCGGACGAGGTACTTGTAGCGCCGTCACCGGCATACATGGGCGTGGCTAGGCAACTTGACCGTACGTCGGGCGTTGTGCATGTTCTTTTTGCTTTTGCCCCGGGCAACTTGGTTCGTCCTTTTTATGCAAGGCGCAAGAGAGAGAAGGGGGAAGGTTCCGGCTCCCATTCTTCTGTCGTTGCAGGCCGATTTTGTACCGCGAGGACGGACGCACCAGAATAGGAGGCACGTCCAGCAGAGAATGCATTAAAAAGAAGATGGTCTCGTGTATACCTCGTGTCCAGTGGTTCGTGTCCAGCGCGAGGGAAAAGAGCCCGCATGACACGGATCACGAATCCTTGATGAAATTGTCTTGTGCAAGCCAAAATATCAGTGTGCCATTCTGCCGGCCACCAACTCGGTACATGATCCAAGTTGACCGAGCGAGATCTCAACTTCAAGCAGGCGACCACCAGGGCGCGCACCTGTTCTGCCCGCCGGGCATGGCATGAATGGCATCACAACTTGTATCGCACCACGGGTCGCTCGCCATGCCTTGCCTTTCCCCCCTTCCCCCCCAGCAGGCCCTTGCCGCGTCGTGCCATATTTCGTTGCGTCTGGCTACGCGTACGCACGCGATACGGCCGGAATCCTCCGTCCTACCTGGGGCGTCCGGAAACCTGGTTTCTGGGTTTCGCGTGATTGATGTGATGGCGGCGCATGGAGTCGTCGGCACCAAGCAGGGCATTGATTGACTGCGTCTTGGCGCGTTTCGGCGCGGCCGCCGCGCAACGTCAATGTCAACGTCAACGTCAACGTCGCGAGGGAGGCAAAGGCCAGAACTCTAGCTGCTTGCTGCCCAAGCTGTCGGATCACCCGAGGAAAAGCGTCTTGAATGCGGACGACTGCCGTGTTTGATATAAGCTTCTGTACTCCGTACTGGCTAGACGCCTTGTGGAAGTGAATACGTGCTGTGCTTGCGCCGGTACACGCAGCCGCGGACTGCCAGGGCGTGACGAGGTGCAATTTCCGCCTGACCATGGAGCGTCATGCTACGGAGTGCTACGCTTTGATTATGTGGCCTCGTCTTGTTTCTCTGCTGGCTTGCCCGGCACGATGGGTGGGGACAGGGGAAGGGAAGGGGGACATTTTCATGATTACCGACACGGCACCCGGTGTTGGCTACGCCTCGTCTGCGGGACATTGGCCTCGTGCGTGCGTTGTTTGGCGGGAACCCGGACAGGCAAGAGGGAAGAACAGACGTGACGGATGATACATACAACCCGCTAATCTGAGACATCCGTGGCAGAGGGCTCTTTGGTACGGAGTAGAGTAAAGAAAAAGAAATGCAATCTTTGCCTCAAGCGGCTCGCCGCTCAAGCCGGCCGTCGCTCTCTCTCATCTCCTTATTTCCACATGACTGGACATTCGGTCACAGGACGACTTGGGGACGAACTTTTGGTCCTTTCGTGGACCACGTAGTTTGGTCTCTCTGTGACATGGTGACGGCTTCCGACGAGGTTGACTCGGGTCACGGAAAACGAGGACCACGCTCCCGAGTCGTGACCATCAATGCATGGTCTTCTAGAAATGCGGCGGTTCCATGCAAGGGCCGCGGCCGGGGTCTCGAGTCATGGGCATGCACGTGTAACGTGTACTCGGTATTCTTCCTAGTCGGTAGACTGATGTCGGGATGGAAATGTCAAGTGCGTGCTCCGCCGTCCCCGGTGCCGTAATTTCCAGCCAAGGTGTGAAGGCGGTCCAGGTCCAGCCTGGCATCCAATCTTGTGCTCGGTACGGAGTGTGTTGAGCCGGCATTGATGACTGGCCACCTCGTCTCGTCTGCGTGAAGGCGCGCCGTCGTGTGGTCGCAGTCGTGGTCTTTGCTAGTGACATTAATGGAGTCCCGTCGATGGTCGAGCAGACGTGCTCTCTCCGACTCTCCCACGGCAGGCCGAACGCTGCACCACGCTCCCCTCTTTTGTGCGAAGGCTCCGGTCTGGTCACGTGGGCCCCCTTGAGCTGGTGACCTCGAGTGGTATTCCTTCGGAGTGACTACTGAATCTAGCTACACTTAAACGCCCTACGATATACGGAGTACTTCATGAAAGCGAACAAGGCGTGAAATGAAGTACTTTTCCTTTCTAGTTTCTGATTAGGTACTCATCCCTGTAAATACACGACTGGAGCCTTCGCACAAAAGAGGGGATGCGCCGTGCTCCTGGTCATTGTCGTGGCGGCTCCCACGCAAGCGACGCCAACTATAAGCGGACAATGGCCGTTGTTCAAAGCGCCGTTGGTGCGCATTTTAGCGCAAGTTTATTCGATTTGTACTTGGAGCAAGGCGAGGGTTGACAACTTGGGCCGTAATAGTTGGCAACTTGTCCTGTAGTCGCTGGTACTGCGTCTCGTACTCCGTACTCCGTACCTGCCTCTTCAAGCAGACCCCTCCCTGGCTATGCCATGCAATATCATGCGGACCTTTTCCATCCAGGCAGAAGCGGGACTGTAGTCTGTCCCCTCGACTCTTTCATTTCCAAACCCCCAACCCTCCAACAACCTCCAACCTCCAACCCCCTGGTTCTGAGAGCGCGCGGAATGGACCCCAAAGACCCTCCTTGGTGCAGAAACCATCTCCGAGTCAAGCTAGTGGAGGCGGCACGACGCCGTCATCTTCACTGCTCAGCACCCACGGCCGCCGCCTTCGCCAGGATCAGCCAAGTCTTCCGAGTGACCCGGTCGCGAGTCCGTGACACCCAAGTCGAGACTTGAGACGAGAAACCAAGGCGCTGGCAGCAAGCAGTACCGGAGCCGACCCGTCGCGGCCCGCTGAGAGGAAGGATCCAAGCCTGCATGGGATGACAGCAGTATTGCCGAGCAGGTTGGGATGGCGCCTTTGTCTGATGCAGCGTAGGGCGTAAGCCGTTCTCCAGCATGTAACTACTACTTGGTAGAGACGAAAGGGTAGGCATATGCATATGCATAGGCCCGTATCGACCCCGACGACGATTTGCTACCCTTACATCCCGCCGTTCGTCGAGCATGTCTCTCTCTCACTCTCATCCACACCATCTCTGTCCGTGTCTGTCCCGACTCCAGACTCAGCCAAGATCAGCAAAATCGCTAGTCGGAGTGATCGCCGTCGTCTGGTCTGGTGTCTGACCGACGTCCTGGTAGGCAGCTTCCCCCTTGGTCTCTATTCGTCGATTCGATTTTCTTACAATTAAATGGTCACAGACACAACTCCCGGCGAGCGATGCCCAGACTTGTGTCTTGACGGCTCTTGCTCTTGCTCTCCCTAGGAGCCTTCATCTCCTTACCTTTTTTTTGTTTAATTCTTATTCTACTCAAGTTGTGAATCGAATGCGCTCAGAGTAAAAGCGACAACCATGTCCAAAGACTCCATGACCTTCACGACAATCATCACCCCATCAAATTCCTGAGCTTCGCCTTATCGCGCCAGGAGTTATTAGACTCACGAGTCACCAGAGTTCGGCAGAGGACTACGGTCCCATTCGAAAGGACAAAGGAGAAGAATTCGAGCAAACCCGTAAGCTAAACCCATATTGGTAGCTGTCCAAAGGACAAATCCGAACAATAGAAACCCTCGTCCTTTTTCACATGACCTCGCTCACCATCGCCAATTTGTGTATGAGACAGCAACCTCAAAAGCCACACGCGGTGCAAAGATGGCCAGGTTTCCCTTCTCTTTCACTGGCCGCAAAAAGCCAAATATTCCACCTCCCCCGGCTGGATGGCGAATGAGCAAGGCGCACAAGATTCTGGGCGCTACACCGTTAAACATCGATGCGCCAGATAGATGGGACGACGTGTCTTCCTTGATGACCAGTGACGACACGTCTTCAACCACCGGCGCCAGTTCCGAGTTGGAACTGCGAGGCGGCCATGAATACGAACACCAATTCTCCATTGCAAAGTCGGATGAGGACTGGGGCGAAGAATCAGATGCAGCGATTCCGATTCCTCAACCCTCGAAACTGAATGACATGGGCTTTGGACAACCAACCGAGATTGTTGAGGCAGATACGGCCGGAGCACTAAGGAAGAGTCAATCATCCTCGACGATCCGATCATGGTATGACAAGTCCAAGCTGCCACTGTCAATTTCTCCACAAACGTCCTCGTCTGCCATGGCGATGGGGCTACCGCCCAAATTTCAGGGGGGCCTCGACACACTCAATCCGGAGGAAGATCGCGGATCCAGGAAGAAGCTCTCGAAATTGGCTTCTTCTCGCGTATATCGAAAGAGGAGCGATTCAGGAGACAAGGTCACGGCTACAGAGTCGGCTCTCAATCGCAAGTTTCGTCCTCGATCCATCATCTCCTCCCTTTCAGTCAAGTCCACAAGAGCTCGGGAGTCGCGACATTTTCAGAATAAACGTACCAAAGGGGATCCTCATTCCCCAGTTCCTGAAGCCCGTCGGCCAGTAACCAGTGGTAGCAGTCGACTCCGTCGCCGAGATTCTCGAGAGCTCCCCTCGCTCTATAGCCACTATGAGGAGATGTCCTTGAGACACGTCATGAGACAATCATCGGCTCCCACCTTGGCAATGACTGAAAATGGAATCTTGACACTCCAAAACATTGCTGAAATGCCTTGCGACGGCGGCCGAGCGGTTGAAAAACCTGCCCATCAACGACAAAAGCCTGTGTCCCCAATACCGAAACTACCCACGCGTCCTAAAGCCGCCGCTTCGCAGTCATCGCCCGACGTGAGTGTCTCGAGTCGCCATGCCAAAACGTCAAAGACGTCGAAAAGTCCGGACAAATTCCTTGACGACGCTGATTTGCTGCAAACCAGTGTGTTGATCCTGTCTTCGGATTCTGAAGAAGATGATGTTGAAGAGGAGCCGATACTCACCCGGCCCTCAGCGCTACCGCTTGCAAGAAACCCGTCCAAGGCGGAAGCCAGTCCGCCACGGCTCGAAGATTGCCGGACTAGGATAGTCTGCGACCCCAGGGCTGGCGAGAAGCGGCATGGTCGGTCCACCGAGCAGGGCAAGGGGAGCAATATTCCAACATCAAAAACTTGCCTTGCGAGCCAAGGCTCCGGCACCCGTATTGGAAGCCCTGTAGAAACGAGGTCGGGGTCTGCGACTCCTGTCGAAAGCTTGTTTCATGCACTCTCTTCTCCCGGGATTTCGATCATGTCGTACGCTTCAGTGAATTCAGAAATGACATGGCAAGGGAAACCGGGGTACGGTATACAGGAGGCTCGTCTAATGACCGTGCTGCAACCTCGGCAGCCTGTCAGCGTCGAGGTTGAAGAGAAGCAAGACGAAGCTTCACTCACAACTGTCGGAGCGTCCAGACAACCAACCCTCAATCAAGCCTTGTCAACGGATCGCCCGACGCCACCGTTAAGTCCCACGTCGGTTGACTTTTATATTCGCTCCGCACCCTCGTCTGTCCATGGCCCGGGAAGCCACAGTCGACTCATGGCTGTCACACATCAAGAGGAAGTGCTCCTATCTGCTCTACGGCATAAGCAGCAGGCCGTGCGCAGGGAGTCTGCGCTCAACGTGTCAGAAGAGAATGAACCTGAAAGCGTCGCAAGTATGGAAGGGCAACCAAAGAATTGCAGCCATGAGCAGCAGGGTATGGAAGCCGACGTGTCGAGTGACCATGCTGTACTTCCGGCTGAAGAAGGGCAACAAAAGGGGCATCGGCCAAACGAGTCGCAGACAACCATCGTCGGTTCGACATTTGAGTTTGGATTCCCGGCCCCCCCGTCTTTCAGAGCCAACGCCAGTATTCAGATCGAGCAGGGTGTCGGGCGTCCCGAGTCCTCTCGCGCTCTCCCTATTCAATCCCAGGACATGGTAGTCCCTTGCGGCGATTCTATTCCGACCAGGCCTGCTGGTCCTGCTCCAATGCTTGCGCTGCCCAAACTCCCCAGACAAGTAAGGAAGTCCAAGTCTTCGGGCCGCGACTATGCCAGCAGCAAAAGTCAACAAGGGGCGACTGTGTATTTTGATGACTCTGCAGCAAGCCCAGATTTGTCGGATATTCAAGGCTGGGGATCGGGAGCCTTCCCAGCTAGAAATGCCGCATCTACAGACGCTCCCTTAGCCACGTCTTGGCCCGAACATGAACGAGGTCAAGAACGTGGCGAGAAAGTGCCCCCTTCATCCAAATTAGAACCTAGGTCGTTCCTAATTACCGACGGGTCCTCTAGACCAAGCGTCAGAAATCCGGTATCAACCCATGGAAAGGAGAAGAGTGCCAGCCGAGACGAGGAGATTCCGCGCCCTGACAGTCCCATTTCCCCTGGAGAATTCCCAGCTGTTCCGACGACAAGAATCACGGCGGGCAACATGACGCGCTTGAGCGCAGTTGAGTCTGGTCTTTTGAGAAAGGCCGGAGAACCAGCATGACGGGATAATGATTAACTTGGCCACGACAAATCCAACGATGCATGCACACTTACCGGGCTGGAGTCAACATTTCTTGACTCGATTCAAATACTTTCACATCTTTTTAGCTTTCGGTTCGTCTTCGAAGACGTGCAGGAAGGCGATGAGCCAGCATGAATGTTGGGACGTATACCTGGCCTCAAAATACCTTACGTCTCTCGTCTTGTACAAAAAAGTGCAATTTTCTCTGCCCCAGCATACAGCATCGTACGGCGACGACTCGAATGCTTGAAAGAATGATGACAGCGTACTGCTTGGTTTGGTCATGATGATGACTGGGGTGTACATTCACCGGCCCGATAGCCGGCCTTGTTCCGATTCAAAACAAGGATAGTTGTTGTCCAATGATGCTTCTTATTTTAGAGAGCACCGTGACCGGCGGGTTGGGAATACACATGTACCCAGCTAGACACAATGCAGTCAATGAATTCAGGCGAAAGGCGATTTTGCATAGGAAACAAGAAATGCTTGTTCTTTGGCTAGTAATTCGTATGTTTGTGACTTCGTTCATGTCCACTGCTTGCCATGCAATTGGTGCGATGCTCCTCAACCACGCCTGCCGTCTGAAACATCCATCTTCAGCAGTCCACGCCGTGTGTCATGCGTAGCTCATGAATAGGTCGAGCCCTCGGGGGGTTGAGGAATTTTCTTGTTCATCGGAGCCGCCATGTACCTGAACAGGGTCAGCAAGATGCCTCGTCATCAACACAGGCCATCTAGACCGGGAGAACACTACCTCCTCAGCTCGATAAGGACCGTCTCCATGGTATTTTCCCGTTTCCACTGGGCGAGGCAAGGGAGCTGGCTGGGGTCGACCATGCCATTACGCGGGTTGACACACGGTAGATTCACCTGGCTGACGAACTGGATGGTAGGAGGCACATCAGGGTACTTGTCGCCGCAGTGCATTTTGACGCTGTAGATGCGATTCTCGTGAACGGACTGTCGTTACGCGCGGCGACGTGTCGTGCATGCGGTCAGCAGACGGTTCGGTCGTGGCAAGCTGCAAGGCTTTGAAGCGTGCAAGAGTGCAATGTGACTCGTTTGCTTCCTGGTGCCTGGTGATTCAACGACGAAGGACTCACGTGAGGGGGCCCCAGAATGGTCCCGTTCCAGTTGCTCATGAGCAAATCCTCGCTGTCTTCGAGGCCGTAGCTGCAGGCCTCAGCGCCGAGGCCCTTCTCGCCCTTTTCCAGCTCCTCTAGCAAGCGGAAGTTGCGCGGAACCTTGGCGGTCATTTTGGCGGGACGGGGGCGTCCTCCTGTGACGATGGGGCAGGGCAGTCTTGGGAGAGGAGACGCGAGGTCCTGAGGCTTTGTGTAGTCTGGTGCAAGGTGCAATGTGCTGCGGCTGGCGCTGGTCTGTGAAGTAATCACTCCGTACTCGAGTCGATGGCGGTGGACGCGGGGCAGTTTTCCAGATTCAACCCGTCACCTCCTCACGAGTCACGAATGCGCGTCACAAGTCACAGCATCTGGTCGGCTCGAGTCCAAACCGGCCCCTGCCCCTGCTGGCTGCTCCCCCAGCCCGTGGCTTCCGCCCCACGCCTGATGTGCTAATTCGCAAAACGGCCGTAACTTGCCGAACAAGGCTTGCAAGTACGGAGTCCGTAAGTAGGCTTGCCTTGGCAGTCGGGTAAATTTCGGCTCGCGCGCGGTGCCATTCAACTCCCGCTAAAAGCTGCATCGTCGAGGAGAGCTGCTGCGTTTTCTCTTGTCTGAACCCGGCCCGGTCCAATCTTGGTTCTCTCAGCCACGTCGATACAGCCAGCCTCATGAGCGGCGTCACTTTCACTGAGCGGCTGTGACGTACGCGTGAAGCCCATCATGCCGAGCCCATATCTGACGAGAGCTGCTCTCCGGAGCCCGTTGCTCTCCCAGCAAACCCGCCTGTTCACCTCGTCCGCCCGCCTTCTCCTCCCGGCCAGCTTCGCCGGATCACTACCTTCATATTTCCAAAAACCTCGACTCCCGGCAAATACAGTCGTTCGCTTTGTCCCTCAGCAGACGGCATGGATTGTCGAGCGCATGGGCAAATTCAACCGCATCCTCGAACCAGGCCTGGCTCTCCTCATACCCTTCATTGATCGCATCGCCTACGTCAAGAGCCTCAAGGAAGCTGCCATCGAGATTCCCAGCCAGAGTGCCATCACTGCCGACAACGTGACTCTCGAACTCGATGGTGTTCTCTATACCCGAGTCTTCGACGCTTACAAAGCCAGGTAAGCTCGTCCTTCACCGCCACCCCCAAAGACCCAGCGCGGAAGTCTATATCCGGCTGGCGTTCCTTCGGCCGGCCAAACCCTACAAAGGGGATATGGGAGATATTAACCCGAGAAACTTCCTTTCTCTTCATAGTTATGGCGTCGAAGATGCGGAATATGCCATCTCCCAACTTGCCCAGACCACCATGCGGTCCGAGATCGGTCAGCTTACCCTTGACCACGTGCTAAAGGAACGCGCAGCCCTCAACACCAACATCACTGCTGCCATCAACGATGCTGCCGAGGCGTGGGGACTTACATGCTTAAGATATGAAATACGGGACATCCATGCCCCTGGGCCCGTAGTCGAGGCCATGCACCGACAGGTCACGGCTGAGCGATCCAAGCGAGCAGAAATTCTCGACTCCGAGGGTCAGCGCCAGAGCGCCATCAATATCGCAGAGGGTAAGAAGCAAAGTGTCATTCTTGCTTCTGAAGCCTTGCGTGCCGAGCGCATCAACGAGGCGGATGGTGAGGCCGAGGCAATTCTTCTCAAGGCTCGCGCCACCGCCGAGGGTATCCAAGCCGTCTCCAAGGCCATTCTCGATGGCCGAGAAGGCGCCAAGGGTGCCATCAGCTTAACTGTGGCCGAGAAATACGTAGAGGCATTCGGCAATTTGGCCAGGGAGGGCACTGCCGTCGTTGTCCCTGGCAATGTTGGTGATATTGGCGGCATGATCGCCACTGGGTTGAGCGTGTATGGAAAGGTCGGCGAAGCCCAAGCAAAGACTATGGCCAAGAATGTCATGGACACATCTTCTTCCACAGAACGCAGCGACAAGAAGAAGGAAATCGAACAGCCTAGACCAGAGCGAGAGCCTGCGACCATGCGAAAGGATGCGGTGAGGGAGAGCATGTTGGACGGCTTCGACCAAACAGCCGCTGGAAAATGATTTTATATCGCCTCTGACAGCTGTAGCTGTCTAGCACACCCTTCTTCCCAATGCATTTGCAACAACAACGAACACGCTACTCATCCACGATACCAAAGCCAAGGGTGCTTAAAAGGGAACAAAAAACAGTGTATTTCATTAGCTTGTACTGTAAAGCAGGTGAGCAGACGGAGGAAATAGGTTCTCTTGTGGTTTCGACATTTAGGCTGTGTTGGCCAGACGGGATACAGGGCCAAAACCAGGGATCTCGGAGCAACACGTCGCAACCCAGAGTGGGTTGGGGCCTTATGCACTCACTGTACTTGTAGGCGATGGGCGGGAAGCGATCTCCCCTGTTGAAATATACAACCTTTATATGTACATGCTGCCGTTTTGTCGAGCGTTGACACCGACGGAGAGGCAGCTGCTGCCGCAACCAGCACCAATATCAGGTGCCAGAACGCAGAGATGACCAACGGATGATATCGCGGACTCGAAGCGAACCTTTTCAGCAGCAAAGAGCCCAACCAGGGAGAGCATAACGACGGAACTATCCATGGTGACACAATTCGAAGAGGAAGTCGTTGGACACAACAAGAGTCCAGGTTCAAACGCGGAAAGCCAACGAGGATCAAAAGAGTAAATTCGGACTCTCGAGAAGAAGACAAGAAAACGTCAAGGCTTGTTGCAAATCGTACATCTGGAAAAACATTACTCGGCATATTTTCCCATCAAGGAATCTGATGATAGGAGTGAACCACTGTGCCGACTATCTCCTCGCAGGCAAACCTGAATCCGATCTTCTCGCCGCTCTCAAGTTCCAATCCCACCACCAATTGTTTGTGTGGCGCGAGCTTCTTCACGCTCCCACGCCAAAACCAAACAAGCCTCCCATCGCCGCCTTCCAACACCAAGGTAACCCATGGGTTGTTTTTATTCCAGAGTGGCAGCTGAGCATTCTCGTACGCCAGCACGATGCGGCAAATCCAAAGAAGGGTAGGCGGCGCCTCGGTTTCATCGTGCTGATGACGACGACGACGAGCTTTGTCACATGACGGGTGGTTTTGAATGATGTCGAACCGGCAAGACAGCTTGGGGAATCCGGCAAGCTGTTGCAACAAGTTGTGACCATACGGCGGGTTGCGGCTCATCAGCCTTTCGATTTTGCAGAAATCAAGCCGTGCCAGCTGATGAATACTCTTGATCCCACTTCGGAATAACTTGTCCATTCTCGCAGCACCAATGCCATCAACCAAAAGCAGTTCTTGGCCTGCCCCTTCCCAGACACCAGACTTGACGCTCCGCAGCACGTCCAAGACCGCGTTTATGCCTCTGCCGTCCCGTCGCAGCCCCACAATGTCCGCGAGGCATCGTAGGACGCGATCTAGAAGCGCGTAGATCCTGCCTTTTTCTTTGTAGAGCTCCCTTCTCGTGGCCGCGGATATCTTGTTGGGCCAGCCGGTGCGGAGGAGGTCTACCTGGACTAGGAGAAAGACCTTGTGCCATGGCTGAGTGATTGCTTCTTTGATGTTGTACGGGATTGCCGTGTGATCGTTGATTTCGCGGAACAAATTTGTTTCGGCTTGTTTCAAGGGAAAAGAGCGAAATTCGCTTGCGAGACATGACTTGTAAAGGACCTGCCGTCGATCCGGAGCCCGCGAGACACTGCATAGAGCTTTCATGGTGACAGGAGAGAGCTTGTACCTCAATTGTATTTCATGAACACCAGCCTCCATATCTTTGCTACCCGTTCGAGCCGGTTCCGGCGCGCTGACCTGCTGCATGCTGGGGCGAGGTTCAGGAGTGCTGTTCTCGTGATGATTCATCTTGGCGTGTGTCGACGGACTCGCACAGGTGCTGACGGACGAGTTCCAAATGCGCGGTTTGGTTTGATGTCGTTCTTCGATGCTCTTTAAGGGCGGGGGTTTCATCTGAGCAATTTCAAATTTTGAGCTCTGGCACAGTCGTTACTCTGTGATGGCAAGTGACAACAACAATCAAGCAGCATGAGGAAGTGGCAGGCGCAACCCTGACAAGGAGCAGGAGCGGCCCGCAAGCCCATGCAAGGAAATTTGACAATTTCTGTATTCGAGAGGATTCCGAGGCGGACTTTGCCGCCTCAACAAGTAAAATGCAAAATACGCGCCAAGTTTTGTTGTGTTTAGTCTGCACCAAGCTACCTACCCTACCACCTTGCCACCATGCTTCTTTCTTGTCGAGTTCGACTTTTCTGGACAACAATTACCGATACCAGAGCTTTGTTGCATCTTTTGACGGGACTTACGGGAACTTGGATGGGAAAAGTTCATCTGGGCCATGGTTCCTCGGCTGTGGTGCTACTCTTCTAACTAGTCATTATCCAGGAGAAAGTGTAGACGGTAACGACCGCTTTGAGGGCCCGAACATGTGCTCGGACTTGGGATGCTAGAGTCTTGTGGTGCAATTGACGGCCAACAGACGGCCTTTGCTGATCAGTACCAGCAGTGACGGAGGCACATCTTTTGGAGTCTTCGCGGCATTAAGGGGATAGGCATGCCGCATTATGCTAGAGGCTGGTAAACATCAAAGCTCACAAGTCGCAGCTGGGATCCATGCTGTGAGCCACAACAGCAGTTAGAACGTCTCTTTGCCGATCGCACTAGCTGAACATGGAAAGTGAAATCAAAAGTCTCGAACGAGAGCAGTAACTCGGTTTCTATTGGAGCGGCTTGTGCTGGCAACTTGCCTAGCAAACCTTAAGATAAGCTGTTCAAGATCGCCGTGTTCTTTGTCGATGAATGAATCCCTCAACCCACCCGGGCCGGACACTGCACGTGCATCAAGAGGGGACCCAGGTCTAAAGATCATATCCATAGACGGTTCCTTCGATGACGTCGTCGTATCTGGTAGTGCTGGCGAGTGATCTGGCATAGCCGGCGTCGAAGATCAGCCCCCCTTGCTCAAGACGCCGTCTAAAGCTGTACATTGACCCCAACGTCCCCAATGTAAGGCGGCGTCGGATACCAAGGCCTTAGATTCGGCCCGTGCCTGTAACAAACTTCAGTCTTGTACAACCTGGGTGAAATAGTCAGGCCACGACGATGAGATAGCGGCCGCCTTTCCCTTCGGCACTCCAGCTGATGGCAGACCATCCTGGAAGTTAGAGCCCATTGAAGTACCGAGTGGTAGCTTAAGAAACCTTGCTTCTCTGCTGTTACGGCTCCCAGCGTTGAATCTACCGAAATCTCATCCGCAAATCGTTACCTATACCATCTTGGTAACTATGCGCACCGTCGCACTTGCATCACCTAGGCTTCTCAACACTTGTAGTGCCGGAGATTAATGCACTGAACATGTTCTTGCTTGATTAGAGGGTGTTTGTTTGCTGCTGAGGGGTGAGGGTAAAAAGAAGTAACTTTCCTAGGACTGAGAGAGGCATTAAGGGATATCGTGACAGTCCTGACAGTAACGCTCCAGATTCTTGTTCCGGCCACGCTGTCGCCAGGTAGCTTCCAGTTAGCTTCCTCAGAGATCGAAAGAGAAGAAGAGGGAAAAGAAAATGATACGTCTAGTTGATCGGCGAGATGGAACCGAGCAAACTGAGCAGTGCACTTGTGCATGCCAGGTGAAAGCCGTGGCTGGGTTTTCGAAGCCGATCCATCACAGGAAAGTGTCTACCCCTGTGGTTCACTCATGCGGGGAGTGAGGCCAGGGAAGTCGCGATTAAGAGAAGCTGTCCAGAGGTTCCTGCCTATTCCGCCGGCCGGCAAACAGCTGGCACGAGATATATAAAGCAGGAGCAGTGAGTGGCACGAAATGAGTAAACTCTCTGCCCGCCCACACAGCAAGTTTATACACATTGACATTTTAAAATCTTCAAGGGCTGCAGGCTTTCCCTATTACTATTACTCTCCACTTGTTTTCGTTGACTTTGTCTACACGTTTGCCGTAGATTTGTCTGTTCGCTTACCACCATGACTTGCCACTGCTTCATAGTGCCGCCTCACCTGATAAAGTCGATTGCAGATTCGACTCACAACTCAGATGATACCCGCAAGGCTGCTAAGAAATGGCTGGATTTCCATGAAACGTTGATCAAGTCCCGAAAGGAGCGATCTGGGGGCCAGCCTCGTGGTGCTCGTGGTGAGGCTCCTGCTCCTCGTCCCGCACCCTTCATCCCACAAGCAGTGTTGCATAAGCTATCTATTTCTGAAGATGTTGATGAAGCTGTCCGTACACGTGCCAAGAGAGATTTGGAGCATGTTCAGCTGCTGATGGCACCCAAAGGTGCAGGGTTTCGCTCACAACTTTGTCCTTCCTTGGGTCAGATAATACTAACATTGAACGGAATCACAGCGCAGCCTCAGGAAGAATCGAACTCGCTGGCAAAGTCCAAGAAAAGTCCCAAGGATGCGCCATATCGAGCCGTCTACGATGCTGGGCACACCACCGACCCAAAAGAGTTGCCTGGGGAGCTGAAGAGGGCCGAGGGTCAGCCCAAGTCAACGGACAAGGCCGTCAACGAAGCTTACGACAATGTCGGACTCGTTTTGGACTTTTACAAGGAGAAGTTTGACTGGAAATCAATCGACAACAAGAACAGTGATGTCATCTCGTCAGTTCATTTTGGTGAGAGCTACGAAAACGCCTGTGAGTTGAACCCTCGCTCGTGTTGCTTTCTGGGGCATGAACTAATATGAGATGACAGTCTGGGATCCAGAGGAAATGGTGATGGTTTTCGGAGACGGTGGAGAGTTTTTGAACAATTTCACAAACTGCATCGATGTTATCGGGCATGAGTTGACCCATGCTGTCACGGAGCACACCAGCCCTCTCGACTATGAGAACCAGCCAGGCGCCCTGAATGAACACGTCTCCGACGTTTTTGGCATCATGATCAAACAAAAGAAGGAGGACGAGACTGCTGACCAGGCCGACTGGCTGATTGGTGAAGGCTGTCTCTTGCCTGACGTTAAAGGTCTGGCCCTCCGCAGCATGAAAGCCCCGGGAACTGCCTACGACGATCCCCGATTCGTAAGTGTGCTGTGTTGTATCTTCAATGCGTCTTTGTATTGCCTAACCATTCAACAGGGGAAAGATCCTCAAGTCGACAACATGAAAGACTACGAAACGACTTTTGAGGATAATGGAGGCGTTCACATCTTCTCGGGCATTCCGAACAAGGCCTTCTATCTCGCATCCGTTGCCTTTGGGGGTTACTCCTGGGAGAAGGCAGGACAGATCTGGTGGAAGGCGCTGAACAGCGGGAAGGTTCCGGCTCGATGCAGTTTCACACAATTTGCCGATGTTACTGTGGACACTGCCGAGGAGGAATTTGGCCAAGATGCCGCCCAAATTGTGCGCAAGGCATGGACTGATGTTGGTGTCACTCGAAGTGTCTAGGAGTGCAACAAGCGGTGCAGTCCGTGGTGAAGGCGGATTAGCTTAGATACACGCAGTGCTTTGCTAGCAGTGCTATCATTACCTAGTACCTAAGCCCAGTGCAGCAAAGTATAGTTTCTGTACCCAGTATTGAATTGAAATTGCTTATCGGTATGGCTGGAAGTGCATTTGCGTGACCGGGCCGTGAGAAGATGAATGTAAAAGTACGAGACATGCTGGCGTCTCATTAACTATACCTGGGGCTGGGGAGAGTCCAAGAACAGACATACAATATACGAATGGAGTACAAGGTCGGCATTGAAGTCTCCAGTCGGCTGTTTAAGCTACGTCTACACGCCAACATGCCACGTCCAAGGAACATGATTCGTCCTGGATTACTAAGGCGGTGCCTGTGCGTTTGCGATTTCGTGGCGAACCGAACCGACTTTTGCCATGGCAACGTCTCCCCGACGTCCACGACTTCATATTTCCTTGTTGGCATGTGTCGAGCGAGAAACATGGTGACTCCCCACCGGCCAGCCTCGTTCCGGATGCTCACATGACGTGTAGTAACTATATCACTCGCGATCATCACAGGGATTCGCTCGCCTTCCGTGTCCTTCTTTTCAGCCCATATGTTCCCGCAACTAACTACTGGGGAAGCTTCCCACCTCGGTGGATAGTGTCATCTAGAGCCAATAGGAAGTACCTACTAACTACTATTGCAGCACTGAGGAATGAATTTCTATAAACGTGGCTGTTGAGGGGCGGGTCTGGGGTTAGCACGCAAAAGAGGTAACTACCCTCCCTCCGGTGTAATTCATCAACAGACTCACAGACAAAGACGGGAACCTTTGTCACCAAGGAGCCCCCTGCCCAGAAGCCCCCACTGGCCAGAAGCCCCCACTGGCCAGAATAACTGCAAGATGGACATGCCAAGGTGTGGTGGGTGGGTGGCACAGGGACTGACGGGGAACGCGGCCGGAGTGCGGAGCACGGAGCACGAAGTGAATCCGTACTACTAGTAACTACCAGGTCCTCGAGCCGTCTTGCACGTTGCATTCTCCGCGAGTGACAAAGGGGTTGTTGTTTTGTGGGAAATCTTCACATTCTTCCTCCCGCCCACCATGGCGAGCCAACAGCACCATGGTATGGTCCATGGCGGGTGAAATTACAGTACGGAGTCCATCCATACATACGTACCTGCATTCGGCCCCTGCGTCGTCCTGGCGGGGCATTCTGCATGTTATACGTATAACTCACGACTCGGAGTCACGATTCGTCTGGTCAGGGTGCCGCTGCTGCTGCGGCTGCGGAGTCGGCTCATGCGTCATGCGCGATTTGGGGGGCGTGGCCGACGTTGCTTCTGGCGGAAACCGATCATCTTGATTGGCAGCGATTCTGGCACTTTTGGCGCGTGCCTGAAACGACTCTTCAATGCTTGCGTCGACATGACACGAGGCATCACGCAACCTCGTCCGATGCCTCCAGCTGTGGGGGGTGTCGGTACGTGGGACTCATGGCATGGCCGGCGGCATGTGATGGGAAAGAATTGGATTCTGGAGGGAAAAAACGCTTCATCTATTGTACTCGCATGGAACGATCAATGACTAGTCTAAATGGTAAAGGATCTGCCGGGTGCCGGCCTCCAGCCAGCCAGGACATGCCCGGCACCATAGCCATCTTCACGACCCATGTCGTCGTCGTCGTCGTCGTCATCGTCGTCGTGCCGGAGTGTTCTCCCTTTGTATGGAAAAAAAAAAATTGTGGCGAATTGTGAAATATTAGAGGTCTGCTCTGCACGCGCAGGGAGGTATATCCATTTTACTACAAGGTTGTATATCTCATGAAGCAATGATCTGTACATCCAGAATAGAAGCAAGTCGTCTTTTGAAAATCCAAAACATCCTTCACGTCTACAGGAATAGCTGGGCCAGAACCACGCCAGCACCAGCCAGGAGAGAAGCACCGACGGCGGCGACGCTGCGAGGAGCGGCACCGGTGGGAACGACGGACGGAGTAGTGCTGGCATTGCGGCTGGCGGTAGAGTTGGAGGCGGCAGAGGCGGAGGGCCGGGCCGTGGACAAGACGGAGCTGGTCGCGGAGGAGCCGGCGGAATCGGGGGCCTCGGAGGAGGAGGAGGAGGAGGAGGAGGAGGAAGAAGACTTGCCAGAGTCGGATTTAGCCTGTGTTGACGAAGTCTCGGGAGTGCTAGAGCTAGAGGCAGAGGCAGAGGTCGAAGCCGAAGCCGAAGCCGAAGCCGAAGCCGAAGCCGAAGCAGAGGGAGAAGAAGCGGAAGGTGAATCGCTGCTGCCGTCGCCCTTGACGACGTTGATGCTCTTCCAGCTGCCGGACTTGTCGGTGTAGACGTACTCCTTGATGTTGCCGTTGGCGGGGCCGTCACCACCGGCGTAGTCAACGATGGAGATGCTCTTGTAGTAGGCTTTGAAGGGAGCCTGGCTGAAGTCGGTGAAGCCGCCAGCCCACTCGCGAGTGCCCTGAGCTGAGTTCTTGCCGCCGGCAACCCAAGTTCCGAGCTTGATCTGCATGGGAGTCTGGGGGAACTTGTCACCGACCTGGGCGGCATCGAGGGTTCGAATCTTGTTGCCGTCAACCATCCATACGACGGAGTCGCGAGTCCACTCGATGGTGTAGGTGCGGAAGGCGCCGGTAGGGTTGGTGACGGCATGATACTGGCCGCGATCGTAGGTGCTGTTGTCTCCCTTGCTGAAGTAGTTGGTCTGGACCTGGGCGTTATCAGATCCAACGGTTTCCCAGTCAATCTGTGCGCAAAATGCACGTTAGCAGCCTATTCACACGCACACGCACAAGCACACACGCCACACGACAGCAACAGCAACAACAGTCACCACAATGCAAGTCGGGCGTCAACGTACCTCATCAAGATCCTTAGACTGCAGGACGGACGAAGTAACGATGCCGCGCCCAGGAGCTGCCTGCATGACCACCTCGACCCGGCCAAAGAAGATGTACTTTCCGGTTATGATGGTGGGAGCGTCGGTCTCGCCGGAGATTGTAAAGACGGCACCATTTCCATCATAGGTAATCTTGGTGCCGTCGGCTTCTTTGAAAGCAGGGCAGGCGCCCTTGGTGAAGTCACAGAAGACTTTGGTGCCAAAGGCAGGATCCGGAGGGCATGCTGTTGTTTTCGTCAGCTCAGCTCAGCTTGCAAAACTGTACACACAAAGCGCCAACCAGTTGACGTGGGGAGAAAGCCGTACTGCGAAGCAAGGGCGAGCAGTCTGTTTGCGTTTGACCCGCCGCGAGGGTTGCGAGAGCAAGAGCCGCGAGGGACAGCTTGGACAACATGTCGGTTGATCGGAGACTGTGCTTGCCCCGGGATGGTGACGTGACGGTCGAGTGAATGTGTATGGGTGGGATATATACGTATACGATCCAATGGACCCTTGAAACTCGCGCAGAGGTAGAATTACACCAGGGACGATGTAACAGCAGATAGGCGAGGGAGCTGTTGAGCGAAGGACGAAGAGAGGACAAGGAGAATGACACACACGCACGCACACACGCACCCGCTCAAAAGGTTGCACCGGGAAAGAGGATGTGCCGTGGTGATATAAAAAGAGCAACGGGGACAAAGGAAGACTCGTGTACGAGCAAGAGGGAGGCTGAGACTGGTGATTTATTGCTTTCTGGGGGATGAGACTTCCTAGCCCATCTGGAGCGATCCACGAGGCACCAACAGCGGCGGGCATCCAGGGTGCTTCCAACTTGGGTCGTCGTCAGCCAAGCCCTTTCACAAGTCACAACACAACGTCCCATCGTGGATCCCCGGTATTCTGCTGCTCTCGGCAACGCCATGGCCAGACATGTGCGGCCCTGGCGCCACTCAGGACCTGATATGAGACATTGACACATTGACAAGCCTAGGGACGGAGCACTCCACAGGATAGATACATGGGATGGGCCAAGCTAAAGGCGTTTTTGGGGACCCGCCACCGGCCAGCCACTCTGGCTGCCCGTTTCACGTTTTACGAAGGGGGCTCTGGCTAGCTACTAGTAGAGCCGAAAAGGACTGACGGGCTACCGCTGATGGACGGACGGACGAGAGAGCGCTGTCTGGCCATGGGATCACCCGCGCGTCCGCGTCTTGTCACGAATACGGGCTGCGAGGGCCGGGGCGTCCTCGGAGGACGGAGGTCAATGAGTGAGATGGGCGAGCGGTAGTTGGGACGGCAGTGGGTGGCGCCGGAATGGAAACTTTAAACGCCTTGCGACTCTGGCTCCCTCTGTAGTTACTTGGTATTAACGTTATTACGTGCGTACGACGATGACGGGACAATGGACAATAACAATGACCAACAAGCAAATCAACCCCAGGCGGATATTAAAAACGGTGCGGCACGTTGGATGCAGACGGTGCGGACCGGGGTGGCAGAAGTGGGGCCACCGGCCATTACTCTTGGCGGAGTCCTCCGTACGGGGCGGTGTTGGCAGGAGCGAGACAGTGCCGGACAGTGCGGTTTCCCGCGCAACGGATCGTGGCTTGACTAGCGCCCCGGCTGACGTGGCTCTTGCCCTTCCCTGCCCCTTCCTTCCTTCCTTCCTTGTTGGAGTTGAGAATCAGGGCCCCTCCCCTCCCGGTCAGCCCCCGGCCTGCTTTTCTCTCGACGCTGGTACGGAGTACAGAGCACCGGCGACTTCTCCCTTTTCCTGACTCCTGACCTGCATGGGCAGTCGGTCAACTGACTGGCCGAGGGGAATCAGATCATCTCCATGGTGCGACCACGATGTCAATCACCCAGGCAGGACCCAGGGTGCATCCTGCATCCTGCTGCGGTGACGCGAGCCAAATGAAACCTCACATCTGGGGTAACGTGCCCAACATGACCTGCATGCAGGCTGTCAAACGCCTCCGCCGGAGCACGTACGCACGTTCGCACACTGATGAATGAACCCTCACTCCGGTCCAGCGCTGACGAAGTACGGAGCAGAGCAGCTGGCCACGTTCTGAGCAGTGGGAGAATCGACGTGGTCAATACGGACGGCGCTGGTGGCTGAAACTGGAGGATGCCATTTCTTCAGCCAGCCTCGTACGTACTGTCGGCGCCGTGCGTTTCCATCTTTTTCGACGCCCCATCGCACCGAGCCGCAGACAGACGGTACGTGTCCGTGTCGTCGGTCGTCTTCTGCTCGCTGGGCACGGAAGCTGGAATTCTCAATCCGTCGAGGCCAAGACCTTGTCTGCAGGGTGCAGGGGAAATGACGGTCGAGGAAGGCCACCGCACGCACCGTACGGAGTACCGAGTAACTTACTAGAAGCAATTACCAATTACTCGCGACACCAACCACTCCCTTTTCCCGCACGCTGTTGAACTGGCGCGCGGTGCTGGATTCGTATTCAGTTCAGCCTTCAGGCATGGGATGGTGGGGCTGTGCTGAGAAGACGACTAGTCAGTTCCTCGGCCATCTCAGTCATGTGGTGGTGGACCGTGGTGGTGGTGTCGCTTTTTCGTCCCTCCTTCTCCTCCGCGCGCAAGTTCCTTTTGCCCGCCCCTTCGGCGACTGCCGCACAAGCCGAGCAAGTATTAATTACAGGACGGCGCCAGAAACAAAAAGAAAGCAGTCAAAAATCCGGTCGAACCCCGCCGCACAAGGCTGGCTGCTCTTTCCGGCCCATGGCGCGTACCAACAAAGTCCGCAGCTACTGTACTACGTCGAGGCTTGCCGTTGTCAGCTGGATTCACATGACGGTCATTCCGCGCGCTAGCTGACGAGCTTGACTGACTCTCGTCCACACAGACACACCGCGTGCTACGAGTCTAGGTGTCCATCTTGCGCTACTCGGGGCTTATCGCCTCTCCACTGTTCTAAATTTATCGTGCCGCTTGTCCGACCTTTTTGCCGCGCAAAATCGCCCGTCGTCGACGGAGAGCTTCGTATAAAGAAACGACCTATGATTTCATCACACAAGGCCAAGTGAGGTTCCCACTTTGTGCTGCCGATTGCTCTGAACGTGTGCAGAGGGAGGGGGGAAAGGTCATCATGCAACACGTATCAAGTCTTGCGACGTATTCTCGATTTGTGGCAAGCCATGCAGTTAATACCATGTGGTAGTCTGGCGTATTGACCGACCATGGACAGTGCTGGCCCTGTTGTGTGTAGCTTGCTGTGCTCATGCACGGTCCCAAACGGCCCATTCGTTGGCTTGAAATGTCGCTACAACTTTACTCACGCATTCGAGACATCCTCGCCTGTGTCAAACGGAGACGCAGCCGATGGAGGACCAGTGCGTCCCGTGTTATTTCCTCGCCGAGTACCTCTTGGCCTTATCAAGCGCGGCAAGTTCACGATTCACGGATGGTGGAGTGGGCAAACATTTTTGCCGCAGGTGTCTGAGAACAATAAACACTCGGCAGCGTAACATCGATTGTGCGTTCATCATACTACAGGCGAGATCATATTATATACAATGTTCTGCTGTTGACAAGGGGATTCAGACATGGACACCAGTGTGAAGCGTCGCACAAAGACTAACGTGACGTGTACTTAATGCAAGGTGCAGTACGCATAGAGTGGCAGTAACATCGAGGAAACGGCGTGGCTACCCGTGCCCAAACCACCACGTACATGAAGCCGTGTAACGAGGAGAGCTCTCCGTCGATTGATGTCCGTCTCGAGGTGGCTGCGGGGTTTCGAGGTCGGCATCGCAAGGATGGTTTGGGGGAACAGTCGGGTTGCGGCAGATGGTCTCCTCCGCATAGGATCATAAGGCTTGATTTGATGGGCATGGCAATCGCACCAACGCCTGTTGCCCCCGAGAATAAAAACGACAATGTGAGGATGCACGCCCCCCCGGCGCCACGTGTGTCGCGGCGCCGGCTAGTAACACGGTGATGAGGGATGGGGCTGGGAACTCGACCGAGGTGCAGGGTGCAGGGTAGGTAGGCAGCGCCGCCGTCGAGGGGCCCCATCCGTCGGTCACCTGCCTCTGCCGCTCTCACGACCTCGATCCTGCAAACCGGGACAGCAACAGCAACAACAGCAGCAACAACAGCAACAACAGCAGCAGCAACAGCAGCGACAACAGCAGCGACAACATCAACAGCCTCGCCTGCTCCCCCACCATGCAGGGCTTCAACATGGGACGCTACGTCCCGCCAGACGTCGAGGGCACGACGTCAGCCAACCGCCTCCACAGCAAGCACGCCCTCGGCCGGCGCGCATCCAAACTCGCCTCCCACGGCATCCTCACGGTCCGCTTCGAGATGCCCTTCCCCGTCTGGTGCGGCTCGTGCCCGAGGCCGACCGTCATCGCCCAGGGCGTCCGCTTCAACGCGGAAAAGAAGAGGGTAGGCGCCTACTACACCTCGCCCATATGGAGCTTCCGCTTCCGCCACGCCGAGTGCGGCGGCACCATCGAGATGCGCACCGACCCCAAGAACACGGCCTACGTCGTCGCCGAGGGCGCCACGAGGCGGGACACGGGCGCCGGCGGCCCCGGCGAACAGCAAGGCCCGGCCGTCACGACGGACCAGGAGCGCGAGGCCCTGCGCAGCAGCGCCTTTGCGAGCCTGGAAAAGACCATCGCCGACAGGCGGCGGCTCGAGGCGGCGGCCCACCGGATCGACGGCCTGCTCGACGCCCAAGCACGGTCGTGGGACGACCCGTACGCGCAGAACCAGAGGCTGAGGCGGGCATTCCGCGCCGGCCGCCGGCACAGGGAGCAGGAGGCCCGGCGCGCCGACGACCTCCGCGACAGGATGAGCCTGGGCATGGACCTGGTCCCCGCGACGGCGGGGGACGCCGAGACAGCCGCGGCGGTGCGCTTCGGCACGGGCCCCCCCGGCGCCGGCGGCCGAGCGGCCTCGTCGCCTCCGTCGTGGACAACACCCGCGCGGGCATGGATCCCTTCCTGAACGGGAGGCATGGCGCGAGGGCCGCGCGGGTCCCGGGCGTCGTCAAGAGCAGGACGCGCCGTGGGGAGCGGGAGCATGCGCCCGGCGAGGATTCAACACGTGCCTCCTCTGCCTTGGTGCAGTACGATTCTGACTGAGGTGGTGTTTTGGTTTGGGCATGGCGCGCCGTTTTACGGTTGTCTCGGACGGTGGAGCGATATACCCCTTTCCTTGTCCCTCGTCCCTTTTCGGTGGCTCGTCGTTTTGGGGTCCGGCACAAGTTTGTATTTGTCGTATTGGCATCGTGCGTGGCAGACATTGGCATGGACGAATTCGCATCTGGACCTCGAGGACCTCGAGGACCTCGAGGACCCGAATCACATCCTGGATGGAGAGTTTCGTTTCACACAAGAGATTCTCTTCTTTCCGAGACGCCACCCAAGAGGCCTTGGAAGCACCAACAACGTTATGGGTTTGAACCATGCTCACGACGTGACGAGAGTGCCGCCGATGCAGGACAATGAACAAACAGTGCACGCACGCAGAGGAAAGGAAAAAGCCCGCAAAACACACGAGTCCCTCGAGACATCTAGCCCTGCAAAGCCAGATCTTTCCCAACAGGGAACCGCGGCCATGTCTAGACTGTCCAGCTCGGCGGCCGATCAGCCGCCTTCCTACCCCAGTCCGACTCGGTGTTGCCCAGCGTCAGCTCCAGCGTCCATCCCTCCGAAAAGAACTCATGCCCGATCCACGACTTTGTCCACGGCTGCCCGTTCACCGTCGCCTTGTGCACGTAGACGTTCTTGTACGCAGCGTCGAAGTTGAGAGCGCGCACTGTCGCCCGCTTCCCCGTCACGGGGTTCCTGACGCTGACCTCCTGCAAGAACGGGGCGTTGATGAGGTACACGTTCTGGCCGGCCACAGGGAACAGCCCCATGACGGAGAAGAAGAGGAAGGAGCCCATGGCCCCGGAGTCGTCGTTGCCCGGGAGCCCGCCGTTGGTGTTGTTGAAGGACGACGGGATGTATTGGTGGGCCCTCCGCGTGGACAGGCCCGGCCGACCGGCATAGTGGTAGAGGTAAACTGTGAGGAAGACGGGTTCGTTGGAGATGTCCGCCAGGCCGCTCTCGTGGAAGTAGTCGAGCCGGGAGACGAATGCGTCGTCGCCGCCGACCAGTGAGATGAGAGAGGAGGTGGCGTGAGGAACATAGCTGGCACGAGGGACGATGTTAATTTTTCCGCTCATTTCTCCTCTCCCTCCCCTCATGTCACGCCTTCAAAGCGTGGCGTGTGCGTCCCTGTGCCGGGGCGTCGGGCCACAACTTACAACAGATATTGCCAGATGCTGGCCTCAAACGTCTCGCTCGGGTTCGTCGTTAGCGAGCAGAAGCCGGCGAGAGCCGAACAAGCTACGGGGTCCTGCAACCCCCACGTGCCGTTCATGTACTTGGGCTGGAAGAAGCCCTTGAACCCCGTGTCTTTGCCTCTGACGACGGAGGTCTGGTCCTCCTTCCACAAGTTCCGCCAGTTCATGCTGCGGCGCATGTACTTCTCCCGCAAGTCCTGCTTCCCAGCCCGTCCGCGAGCGTAGCCAAGCAAAAGTCGTTGTAGGAATACTCGAGAGTGCGCGACACGCTCCGAGAGTTGGTTCCGAAGCCAAAGGGGTCGAAATCGAGGTACGGGATGTAGCCGAGCCTGCGCCAGCTCTGCAGGCCGCCCCGACCGTGATACGACCACTCCAAGGGCTCCTTCTCCGCGTCGGTAACGACGGCTTCGAGGGCGAGCTCCCAGTCAATGGCACTGCTGAGGTTTTTTGCGTAGGCGTCCACGAGAACGACGTCGGCGTTGGAGCCCCCCTGAGTCCACCCCTTGCACATGGACATGTGACAGTCAGGCAGCCATCCCTCGTGCCTGTACATGTCCAGCAGGGATTGAACCATTTGCGTCTGCGCAGTCGGGTCCAGGATCGTCAGGAGAGGGTGCTGAGCCCGGAAGCTGTCCCAGATGCTGTGCGAAAAAGGTTGCGTCAGCCAAAAAGCCTTGCCGGGTCCAGCGCGGGCAACACAGGTGGACGTCTGGCCGAGCCAGCCCCCTTACCAGTAGAATGAATCAAAGTAGGGCTCTCCAGTGTCCCAGTGAGGATTCTCGCCACTGTAGTTCTGGGGGCTGATGAGGCTCCTGTAGGCACCGCTCCAGAAGCTCGTCAACAGGTTCTCGTCCGCGCCGCCCGCCTTGACGGATATCGGGCTCAGCTTCTCTCGCCATGCATCCCTGGCGGCGCTTACAAGACGGTCAAAGTCTCCGCGTGGGTTCGGAATCTCTCTTTCCGCATGGCCGCACGCCTGCTCCGAGCTCTTGAAGCTAAGACCGACCCTTGCTGTCACTGCGTTGTCGGGCCCGGGGCTGAATCTCGCAAAGGCGCCGCCCTCGAGGTAGAAGAGGTTGAATCCACGGGTGATGTATAGCTGTTTCGGCTCCGTGCCCGCTCTGTTGTTGACCCATACGCCCGTGTCGTGGATGCCCGCTCCGGAGAAATCCACGCAAAAGTGAAGCTGGTACGACCCGGCACCGAAGCTCGGCAAGAAGGTACCGTTCCCAACCATTCGACCAGACTTCTCGTCTACGAGGACACTGGCGTTCTGCCGGCTCTGCCACAAGTCGGTGAGGTCGAGCAGTATCAAGGGGTGGTCGCCGTCCGACCTTGGGAACCTGAACGTGATCAGACTGGCGTGCTCGCTGACGGTCATGCTGACCTGGACGCCAGACTCGAGCTCGATGCCAAAGAGCCCCGGTTCGGCCACGACCGAGCCCGTCTTGTAGCGGACTTTGCGATCCCCTATGCGAAACTGGCAGTTGTTCAGCTCGTCGGAAGGGCAGACCTGCGGGAACAGCGGGAAATTGCCCAGACTCGGATTCCCTCCCGTGCCCTTGAAGGCGGGGAAGACGAAGCAAAGAAAGCGAGTTAGTTTTGCGCAAGACGCAAAGCCCCGAGTAACACGGCGAGGCGGAAACGGGCGAGCCTGTGCCTTACTGAGTCGTGAATAGAGGAAATGCCCGTGACGTTGGACATGTCCATCCCGAAGCCGCCGGTATTCTGGCCGTCCACGTCGGCGACGACCTTGGCCAGGCCATACGGCAGCGTCGCTCCGGCAAACACATTGCCGCCGTTTGTTGTACCTATCAGCGGGTTGACGTGACTCAGAGGGTCAAACTGTGTCGCCAGGGAGGCGACGAGCCAAAGCAGCAGAAGCTGCGGCAGGTTGTTGAGGCCGAGACTCGACATGGCGACGCTCACTGCTCAGTATCGGTGCAAGGACTGGCGAGCTGCGGTAGGTGGGCAGCGGCAAGATGTTGAAATGGAGATCGGTTTCGTAGGGAGCCGAAAAACGGGAGCATCCATGTCTTGGAACGCGCTGAGCGCGGTGTCGCTTCAAATGCTCGGCGGGCCGACACGATGCAACAACGCGGGGAAGCCATTCTCCGGGGTAGCATCAGAAATGAAGCCTATCGTCATCGGTGTCGGCGCTTTGGCCAATAACTCGACCTCTGGTCAATGAATGACGCTGACCTAGCTGCGCAGCGTCATCGTCACCACGTGTGCGTAAATTGGCGGTAGCACTCTGTATGTATGGACGCTTCCAGAGGTCTGGTTTGTTTCCCCTCGGTGCTCACGAATCACGAGCCACGACGCACGACGCACGACGCATCAGCGCAGCGAGAACCAGCTGATCCAGCCACGACCGACCTTGTGTGTCCCGGGCGGCCTTGGAAAAGTCCGTCATTGTGACACCTGCATCACATGAGAATCGTGCTGCGCAGTTGTTTGCCGAGCCCAGTCTGTTGGCCCGAGTCGATCGAGTTTGTCGTGTGCGGAGTACCGAGTACATGCATGCATGGATCCATTAATCAAGTGCCTGAGTACTAAGTAGAAGTACGTGGGGAGACAACTACTAAGTTCTTAAGCAGGTACTTACTCGAGTACCCACCTACTTACGAGGCACCTAGGTAGTGGTCAATTACGAGGACCAGCAGTACTTCTACACTGGTCAGTCAGAAGTGCTGATACGTTCCTACTTAGGCAGTAACTGTAGGTTCCCCTCGCCAATCCCCCAGGGCCCGCCTGGTAAATCGTGATAGTGGGGGAAGCTCCAGCCAGCGGGGCGGGGCGACAGGGGGGTGCCGAGGGGCGGCTCACTCACATTGTGCCTTGTGCGCAGTCGAGATGACAGCAGAACCCCTCAACGACTACCTGGGAACCTACCTACTTCCTTGAGTAGGCAGATAGGCATGTAGGTACATCAATTTGTATCATCATGGGTACTGGTACTCTGGCCTTCACGCTTCTTGATGGGCCCAATTCGAATTCAACCCGCCCGCGCGCCTCGCTGTATGTCAAGATTCCTGTAGCAACCCGACGGCAATCCCCTCCAACTACTCCTTGCCATGATGTAAATCCAAAATCCGGCCTATCCGTTCAAGTAATGGTCAGAAGCGAATGACAAAAAAACAAAAAACCGTTCGCGTTTCATCCAACGACGGCGATTGGGTTGCCAACTCCCTTGCTCCCTTGTTCTCTTGCTCTCTTGCTCTCTCGCTCTCTTGCTCTCTCGCTCTCTTGCTCTCTTGCTCTCTCGCTCTCTCGCTCTCTTGCTCTCTCGCTCTCTTGCTCTCTCGTCTTTTCACCCTCGCCAGCCATTGCGCTGGCGTCATTTTCTGAATTCTCCATTCTGTTGCAAAGTTCCAATGACTGGCTCGAGCAGTCGGGGGAGCGCCTCTGCCGCATCTTGTCCGAAAGCGAAATCTCCTTCCTGTATCTTGTACAGCTCAGTCTCCTGCTCCGCATCAGGGTTGACGGTACAGACCCGAGCCCCGTGCAATCTTGCTCTTGAGATGTATCCGGCCGCAGGATACACTTGTGCCGATGTGCCTATTACGAGCATCAAGTCCTAAGAAAAAACCTTATCAGTCACCTTCTGCGACAGAGGGTTTGCAGCCAGCTTTTGGCTCACTGCTCAGCACTGTGCCAATCGACGCGGGTCGAATCATCGCGGGACGTACGATCTTATCTTTTGTAATCCATCCATTGATATGTTCCATCATATTCTCATCGAGCTCCTCGCCAAACCAAACCACACCAGGCCGTTGAATTCCCGTCTGGCACTTGGGGCATTTGGGCAGTTCCTCCTCAGGCACGTGCTTGATTCGGTGGTACGGATCCAGGAGAGGAAGTGACTCTCCAGGGGGGGGATCCTCCGAGCCGGCTTTCAACGATGGGCAAAAGGGGTCGTCAAAGTTGTTTCGCTGAACCCAACCGCAGCCTTCAGTCGTGCATTTGACGTCGAACAAAGAGCCGTGCAGCGCGCAGAGTTGCTCAGTCGGATGATTTGCTCGTTGAGACAGGTCTACAGACGGTGGCAAGGGCGCAAACGGCCTCGCATTAGTCAAACTGCGAAACAACATGGGAAATGACGCTCGACTGGCCGTCGAGAGCGGGTTCCCGCGTCCCTTTCCAAAGCATAGACCGGCTGAGGAACTCACTATCAACGTTTTGGGTCAAACACAAGAAATCCGCGTTCTTCCTGGCCAGGGCTGCCAGAGCCTGGTGGCCAGGATTCGGGTTGGCTTTCAAGGCCAAGTGTCGTCGATAACCGTAGAATAACCATACCAGACCTGGATCCGTCTTAAAGGCCCTCATCGTGGCTAGCTTCGTGGGCGAGTGCATCCTCCAGAGACCTCCGGCTCCGCGAAAAGTTGGGAGACCGGATGATGCACTCAGGCCGGCGCCGCAGAGGGCCAGAATGAGGCGGCTGGAAAGGAGGACCTCATGGAAGGCTTCTATGTCGTTGTGGGGAGCCATGGGGCCCGACGGATGATTAAGTAGGGAAAATAAAGAAAAAAAAATAAACAGATGAAAAATTCAACGAATGGATATTCCTCCCCCCTGGCAACTACTACCGTCGGGATTTGGTCGATTGGGTGTCTGGTCGTACGTGGTGAGTGACCACTGCCGGTACCGGCTGGGTAGCCCGCAGCCGCCGGTGCTAGGAGGCGATGACGACGGAGATCAAGGCGAGCGAGCTTCTGGCGGGTGGTGAGGATAAGCAACAACAGTCTGCTATCCTGAATGGGAGAGCGGATTGTCTGTCATAGGCCGGCCAGGCTGTAGCGCGAGGACGCATCGATGAAGAGAGACGGCAAAGAAAAAGGGTTGATGTGAAGATGTGAAATCTGCGCGGATGGAGAGAAAGAGGAAAGGTCAACTTGACGGGTTCTGGCCTGGCTACTGCAAGACCAGACACTGGTTGACATGGACACACACGGACACATTGATGCCGCTGATTTTAGAGGAGGGATCCATCACCTGCTTCAGGTGAGCAAGCACTTGGGCGCTTCGTCGTAAAGCGGGGTGGGGGGGAGAGAAGAGAGTGGCTCAAGTACTTACTCAGTCAGGTACCTGGTCACCTAGAGTACTCACCTAGGTACCTAGCTTAGTAAGTAGGAAGGGGCCCAAGTCAGGTACCGAGTACCCCAGGTGCCCCGACGGGCACCGAGGGCACTAAAGATGCAACTCGAGCTAACTTTGAACAGCGACTTGGACGGCAGGCACGAGAAACTTGCCGGTGTCGCAGTCGAGAGGCCGGCCGCATGCGTCCAGTATCGATTGATAAGTCAAGTACTTAAAGTAGGAAGTATACAAGTGCCCGGTACGGAGTACCTGGTCTCATCAGCACGCGAGTACCTCGGAGCTATTTGTAAGCTGTGGCAACGTACTTCACAAATACTTAAGTAACTATGCTGATCAATGAGCATGCATTCATTGATCTGTGTACGACGGAGTACCGCCGTCGTTGACATACTTAAGCCCGGGCACTCTGTACATGAAGGTATGTATGCATGTTGCACGCTGCAGAATACCACTGTGCATGTGCCAAGGCCCACCAATCCATTCAATATTTGGCATCAATTGATCGCCACCAACCGAAGAAGGTGCCTAAGTACTTACCTAGATGCCTACTTCTTAAGTACTTAAGTCTCCAGGTACCTACCTACAGTCCATACCGTATCTACCAAGTACCTACTTACTCCCGCGACCAAGTAAGTTACCTCACATCGTCACGGACCAGCGGCATCGTGCTGTCTCAGTCAGCATCCGGAGCATCGTCCGGTCCGGCCCTCCTCTGAGTCCTCTCAACGCCAATCGTACATCACACTCCGTAAGCCCTACAGAGCAGGAGTACGGAGTACGGAGCAGGTGCTCGAGCAAAGACCTGATCCTGATCCCACCCCTGGTCATGCTCGTCATGCTCCCAGCCGTCGGGATCAAATCGTAAATGCCAAACGAAACTCTATTCGCTACCCCACCCCGTTCCTCGAGACCCTTCAGGTTCGCAAGAGCGCCTCGTTTATTCGGCGCACGTTGAGGGCACATCTCTCCACCATGTCGCGCCTTAGTGCCGCTGCGCCTCCTCCGCCTCTAGCGCCTCTCGGGGCTCGAGCCCAGCCCAGCAAGGACGAGGAAGCTCTCATAATCGCAGCACTACCGTACTACCGTGCGTGTGTCCCTGGGAACTCCCAGCCCAGCACGATGCGACGACGAAAGCAGACAACTCCGAGTTTTACGGCCGGCCCTTCACTCGCGTTCAACCACACCCCAGCACCGCCGGGAAACCCCAAAAAGTGGCCGCGAACACTGCAACTTGGCAGCAGTTGCGGATCAAACCCGTTGACGGCATCTTCTCGGTGGTGAAGTCGGCAAGGAAGTGCTCATGGCTAGCGGGGATAGGGTATATGACTAAACATTGCCCAAGTGATGGCAACAGGACCCCACGCGCAGGGAAAGCTTCCGTAGCTCAGTTGGTTAGAGCTTCGTACTAATAAACATTAGTGATGCGGAGGCCGCAGGTTCAAGCCCTGCCGGGAGCAAGAGTCGTTCCACGATGCTTTCCACGCCGCGCGAGCATATAGGGATCCTTTTTTTGATCTTTACTTATTTCCAGAAATTCTGGCACGCGGCCGCCATGCGTCAAGTTGTTGATTTCTGTACTACTGCGGAGTACTCCAGAACCATTTATAAAGCACGTACTTGCGCAATGAAATCAAATAAAAAGCTAGGCTCATTTTGGCTGTTTCAACTTTCTACGCTCTTCTGTCACTGTCAAAGGTCACCATTCACATGCTCCGAGTCCTAGATTAACGCATCGCCATGCTGCTGCGAGCAGCTGTAGCCGAATGGGTTCCGTTTCTCGGTCAAGGTTGGTGTCAGTCAAACATTTGTATGCTTATTTTAATTACTCGCCCTTGCATAATGCCGAGCAAAAGACAACTTCTTGTCCCTCGTCAAAAGACTATTCTAACCGAATAGGCACTTGTTGTCGATGGTTCTTTTGATAACCGCTAAAGGGTAGCCGCCTCAGAGTCTCATTGCTATGAAACAGTCTTGAACAGCCGCGTCACCACCCTGGTAGAAAAAAGACCCAAGAACCCACAAATCGCGAGTCTGGCAACCTTCCGGCCAACAGCGTAGACAAGCATTCTTTCGTTCAAACAAGAGCAACATGAGACCCAAAAAAAAAAAAGAAAACAAAAACAAAACCCCCCAATGTCATAATAGTCGGCTTATGCAACTCCACCCGATGTATAGTCCTGAAAGGCGCTCTCAATGTGCCTTGATATCCGTGTTTACGCCGATAAAAGTATGAGCGGAATTCCTGCTGATGCCCCCGTGAGGTGTTTATCAGAAAATCGTTGACGCTTGAGATGAGATGGACGTAGTGTCGGTTCGGTCGACGTTATACGTCGTCCATCTGTCCTGCTGGCTCTTCGTCCTCATCGCCAAAACTTGCTACTGAGGACATGTCGTCCTCGTCTTCGCTTTCGGCCCCGGCCTCGTCGGCTGCGTCCTTCGTTGCGTACTTTTGTACATACTCTACAAGACCCACCGATTAGCCCCGAGAACCATGGACCCAATGATTAAAGTGCGTTCAATTTTACCCTTGACCTTGGCGTCATAACTTTTGGGCTCGCGTATCAACAACGCCGCCGCCTCTCCGTTGAGGGGATCGGTCGGATTAGGATAGCGCAGGAGCTGTGGGAGGAAGACCTCGAAAATGTTGATCATATCGAACATCGGCGACCATGTTTGGTTGATTACGTCCAAGCAAACGGATCCAGACCTGTCCAGGGCCAATGTTTCTTAGTATTGCCAGTCACTGCAAAGCACTTGGCCTTGCTATGCTTGCGCCACCTCTCTGAAACGCGTCCGGAACGCGTCATTCATCAAGTGTCCACTCACAGCTCATCGATGTTGGGGTGGAAGATGCGGTTGACGAAGCCGATGCTCGGCGACTTGTACGGGTAGGTGTCAGGCAACTCGACGTGGACTTTCCAGAGGCCGCCTTCAAACGGAGCTACACGCGATTGTCTCAGCGTCATGGTTTGTAAATAGGAATGGCTCTTCGTCGCGGGCTTTGCTTACTCTCCGCCGGGCCTTTGAAGCGGACAAAGAACTCTTGCCTGTTTTTTCCACCCGCTGGTGAGAATCGACACGTCGGCTTAAATGGAATACAAGGTGGGATCTGCATCTTACACTGCCCAAGGTCAGCAGCCATGAAGCAACGGTGTTCGAGGTCACGTACTGTTATCGTTGACCAGGGTCACCTCATAGTCACTCATGAGCCTACGACTGTCAGTTTGTTCACGGAGCCTTGGCCAAGTTGGAGATGGTCTGTCCAGCGTACATCCTGTGTGAGTGTTAGCAGGTCAGGTAAAGCGAGATGGTGCTAGGCTCGGGGGTTAGGAGTTCGGATAGCGGCGGCATACTTCATGACCTGGACAGGGCGTCGTTAGCGATGTGAGAGCATCGTCCAAGGCATCAGGTGTAGATGGAACTTACGTCCGTCTCGATTCTTCGGCGAGGGCTACTCATTTCGGCGGGCGGGATCGCAGCGAGCGACAACTGCGTCGTGGGGTTTGTGCTGTTGGAAGTTGAGGAAGTGCCCCAAGACTCCGGGGCCAGCGACGTCCGAGTGCTGGATTGGACCAGGTGGTTGCGAGGTCAAGTGCGACAGGTCAACCGCAGTCAGCGGCAGCAAATGGCACGGCGAAGAGGAAGATACCAGGCGTCGAGCTGTAAAGGGCGTCGGTCGGACGGTGTTGTTGACAAATAACGCACGAGGTGGCCGACAAGCGTGCTGTGTTGGGGTTGAGGGTTGAGAGGGGATAGATAAGCTTGGAGACGGGCGGGCGACGGCCAGGCGACCCAAGCCGGTTGACTCACTCGTATTGCAGGTGGGCGAGGGTGGCACGAGTCGGCACCCTTATGGATATCTGGACTCGGACTTGTGCAATGTTGCCAGACCAGGTCCAGTGGTTGACTAGTTGGTAAATTGTCTGGTCGTCTTGGTGGTCACACGCAGTTGTCGACGTTATGTCCTTGGCCTGGTCCGGTCTGGTGCGGTGCCGGGGGGGCGGACATTAGTCATAAGCCAGCCAGTACGCCAGCCAGTAAAACTGTACAAGCCAGCGTGAGCACTGGAAGCCGGCTGGCTGGCAGCGCTGAAGGATGGGGATGCGCTGGTGCCTATGGGCGTCCGCCAGCCGAGCAAAGAATCAATCAATCCTCTCCACACCAGCGGAGATTGCACATGTGGACTGCGCAAGGAGCTAGCGATGACACCAATCCAACTAGACCAGGCCAGACTCAAGGCTGCAGACACAATGAATTTGACGCAGCGATGGCGGGGGCCATAAAATGCCTCGGCGATGCCACTGGGTCGCATCGAGGCCTACTCTGCGGTGCTTGGGCCCGGGCCGGCTGGTCAGTGACTCGGTGCCTAGAGACTTGCCGACGCCTGAGCCGCAGCGCCTCGCAGCGCCTCGCAGCGCCTGGCGGTAGGAGTGTTGTCTTCTCAGGTGTGCCACGTTGGCCTGGGTGCACTGAACGTTGGCCGACTTCAGCGCACACGAGTGCACAAACCGGCATGACGACGCACTTGGTAGACTTCACATCCATCATTGATGCGACCTTCCACTTGTTGACTCCTCATTCCCAATCCGGACCATCGGCAGCTCGCGCTCTTGATATCTGGCCAAGCACGCCGGCTTTGTACTCTACCAGGCCGGCTGCACCGTGACATTAAAGCAGAGCAGAGACAGGCGAGCCGTGGCCATGGCCCGTCGTTGATTCCCTCCATGTCCCTTTGTGCCCTCGGCCTCGTACTCCGAGTACTACTAACTACAAGAAACCGTGAGTGCCCGACAGACCATTGTTCTCGGTCAAGCACGACGGATTCCCCACAGCACCACCAACCATTCAACCAGACGAGAGAGAATACTAATAAATGACACAACACCAACAATAGCAGCCATCGTCCTGTCAATCATTGACTGAACAATTTGCTGTGCCCCAGGAATCTGACCGTACACGGCATCACCGGCCGCGCCGCCCGTCGCTGCTCCCTTGACCAACCATGTTCCTCCCGACGTCGTGACTCCCGAGTCCCAATCACCGAGCCTCGGCACAGGCACGCGAGCTCGTCGCTTATCCCGCACAGACCGAGGAACCCGATCCCGGTTCTCAAGAGACGGCCACCACCGCAAGCTGCGGGATCCTTCAAGACAAGCAGGGGTAAATGAAGACGAAAAAAAATAAAATAAAATAAAAAATCAAAACCGTCCTCGTCATAATTCCCATCGTGGGTATATTTTCATCTTATAATATAGACTGCTTTTTGCTGTATGCATTGCTGGCTGCGCAAACAGAGACCAGGGACACAAAGTGGGTCGCTGCTCGACCCGCTTACCTGAGCACGCGCCGCCCTGACTGGTCAACCAGGAGCCCGGACCTGAATCTGGGTTAGCTCCGCTCGAGCCGACCGAGGACTTTCGCCCCAGGGTGCTCCGGCCTCCGTGCTCCGTTCCTGGTCCTGGTAAGGACCAAACAAAAAAAAAAAAACACCACCGTTTCCCAGAGATACTCAGTTCTACAACGTAAAATCCATCATGGCCAACCTGAATAAAATCGCTTCTTCCGCCACGATCCAGGCACACCGTTTCTTTTCTTTTCCCATGCTCGGCATGACGGGACTTACACGGTGACGTGCACGCTAGAATCCATCGCGCCAATTCTTTTTTTGCGACTCTTGGTCATTGCAAGTTGCAGCCCCTGTGCCCTTGGTGTAAGGAATCCATCCTGGCCCATCTGCCCTGTCGATACTTTCCCACGCACCACATTTGCGTGAGTGTAAAGTGCCTTCACCGGTACTGGCGCCACTTCCATCCGCGCCCTCTCTCACCCCCCGCGCCAGCCATGTCTGCCGTCACCTCTTCTGTTAGACGGTCGTGTGCTCAGCTTACCTGTACACGGGCATCAACACCAAGCACACTCGCTCTCGCCGCCGCACTCAGTCGTTCTCCCTTTGCATCCCCATCGTCGCCTTCCTCTCTCTTCTCGTCAACATGTGCAGTTGCTTCATGCCAGGCGAGGTACAGCTCCCACTCACCCATGGGGGCTGCACCCGCCAACCAGCGCAAAAAGGTCACCCTTGGAACCTTGAGGAGTCTCCATCGAAGGGGAGAGCCCATCACCATGATGACTGCCCACGACTTCCCCAGTGCACACGTTGCCGATCGCGCCTGTATGGATGTCATCCTGGTTGGTGACAGCCTAGCCATGGTCGCCTTGGGTATGGAGGATACTAGCGAGGTGCTTGTTGAGGAGATGCTGCTGCATTGTCGATCGGTAGCCCGAGCCACCAAGAGCGCATTTACAGTAAGTCCGGTCGTGTCGTGACAGCCGCTTACAAACAACGCAGCTGACATGCATTTCGTCAGATTGGTGACCTGCCCATGGGTTCTTATGAAATCGCTCCTGAGCAAGCACTCGCCACCGCCATTCGTTTCATCAAGGAGGGCCGTGTCCAGGGCATAAAGTTGGAGGGTGGAAAGGAGATGGTTCCCACCATTCAGAAAATCACCACCGCCGGTATTCCTGTCCTAGGCCACGTGGGTCTCACTCCCCAGCGACAAAATGCTCTCGGGGGGTTCCGCGTCCAGGCCAAGACTGCCGACAGCGCCATGAGCCTGCTCGAGGACGCTTTGGCTGTCCAGGCCGCAGGGTGTTTCGCCGTCGTCCTTGAAGCCGTTCCAGCCGAAGTTGCTGCACTCGTCACCCGGAAGCTGTCCGTACCCACCATCGGCATTGGCGCCGGCGCCGGCTGCTCAGGCCAAGTCCTTGTTCAAACAGACATGACCGGTAATTTCCCTCCTGGCCGATATTTACCAAAGTTTGTCAAGAAGTACGGCGATGTGTGGGGCGAGGCAATGAAGGCCATCGAGGCCTACCGAGACGATGTCAAAGCTCGGCAGTATCCGGCCAAAGAGCACACGTACCCCATGCCACCGGAGGAATTTGCTGCATTTGAAAAGGGGGTCGAGGCGTTGGAAAGCGAAGCCAGTGAAGCCTGATGGCGACCAATGTTCAGTTCGGGCGGCAGCACCTTGATGATTTTGGGTTCTTTTGTGTGAGCGACCGCATTAGCATTTTCATTGCACCGCGTTTGAGGCAGGATTTTTTTCGCCTCTTTGTTTTGTTGGTTCTCACGAGGCATGCTCTGCCGTTATAGATCTTTCCAGTAAGATAGATAATAGTTTCACCCGAAGGCCGGTGTCATAGAGTAGGCGACAATGAGCTGATCTTGTCCATTCTTGAAGCACTGCTTCAGTTAGCGCTGCAACTGGTATTGCATCCGAAACTCCTCGAACTCCTCTTCAAAGAACGCCGCCTCAGTACGTTGGACACACCTGATGTAAATTTCCAACCACCTCATCCAGACTCGGCGCAAATACACTGTTCACGTAAAGAAACACGCTATCCGTATCCTTACACCTTAGCTTCCGCCTCAAATATCTCACGACCTCCTCAAACTTCCTTGTTGCACTAATCTTGCACAGCTCCTGTGCGAGACTAGGTGCTGCGCCAACAGGCTTGAACTTGACAACCACCTTCTCCTGAGGGAAACCAGCAACACTAGCCAAGGCAGCTGTAGCGTCACGCGGCAGGTCTGCTAGGATTACAGAGGCGCTCATAGTTAGTGGAAGCTCGGGAGATGCTGTGCCAGAGTCCTCGTCTTCGTCGGGAGCCGGGGAGGATGCGTTGGCGCTAAGGGATCTCGATGGCGCCGGCTCGTCAGATCGTGTCATTTTGGATGAATGGAAAAGAATTTGAGATTTAGATGAACAGAAATAGGCGTAATAAACCTGTGTATGGGCCGTGGAGTGGTGGATGGATGAACGCCAGAATTTCGTTGGGACCTTTCAAAGTCCAGAGTTGGTTAAATGCACAGTGCCATATCGCACCGTCACTGTGCTGCATGCACGAAACGTTGCACAAGACGTCGAGACCGGACACACAAAACCGCCATAGCCTTTCTCACTAGCACCACGCCAGCATCACCCTGTAAAGATTTCTTGTAGTCTTGCTTCATTATGGTAACATACAAGGTACATATATATCAAGTAACAAGTATATGTACGGCCGGGCGATATCCCACGGTTGTAGAATACTGTGCTTCTTCTGCAACGCTCGACCATGATCCCTTCTCGCTTTCACCATACACATCATTCCAAAATATGCCCACCCTGACTTGTTTACTGTCGTCTTCCCGTCCATAGTCCTACTCCTCTAGATATAAATATACCAAGACAAAAACGCCTTGCCATGATGTCACGTTCCAAAAAAGTAGAGGAAAAAAAAAGCGAAAATGCTAAAAATGCCTAGCCATGCCGCTTGCGCCGACTTGCATGCAATTTCATGATGCAAATTGAAGGAATAGTGAAGTGAATATAAAAAATCGCAAAATAGTTCAATCAGAAAGACCGCTAGTGAGGGATTATTCTGGTCTCAACTTTTCTCGTCGAGGAAGTGGTATCATCCGGATTTTATGCTGCAGCGGGAATCTGATTGAAATGCAAAAAGAAATGCCAGTTGCATGGAGCCAAAGCTCGAGCGTGAAGAGGCGCAAAGTATCAAGGAAGTCGTCGTCAGGTGATTGTCTGAGCTTCAGGCGATGTGGGTTTTAGGACTCTTTCTCTGGTGTGCGAGGTGTCGGAAATGCCACGGAGTGTATTAGTGTAATTTGTAATCTCTCGTCAATTACCACCCGTCATCTTCGTCATCGGACTCGGCGCCAGTGTATTTTGGCATTCGCTTCAGTTGCTCGAGCAACAAATCTAGCTCGGTCCAATTATCGTCATTTTCAGCAAATTTGCGGTGTTTCCGTGACAAGATATGCTAATCGATGAAGGAGTCAGACACTGGGGGCCCAAAAACAATTTATTGGACAAACCAACCTCATCAAAGTCTGGGAACTTATCCTGACAGTTCTCACAGTAACCAGGTTTCAAGTCTCGCTTGCTCTTGAGAGACTGCGAATTCAACTTCTTCTCCCTGCCCTCTGTCCTTTGCGATTCATCATCAGCAGGCTGAACAGCCTTGGATGTTTGTCGACTCATGGTTGTCGACCGACTAGATGCGACGTCCATGGAGACCTCTGCAAAACGGCGAGAACTAACATCGTGAGAAGCTGGTTTGGATTTCTGAAGTACTTTTCTCTGGAGACCGTGGACCTCTTTACTGGTCCCAGCTTTGCTACCATTGATGCCAGATGTGGATGAAATCATTTGAGAACGAATGGCTGACGTGACATTCGATGGCTGCATTCCTGAAGCCACCGGCTCGCCGGCAAACAATCTGGTACCTTCAGCCCGACTAGTAAAGGCGTTCTGCGACTTCAACTCGGTCTGCTTAGAGAGAACTGCCTTGGCTGGGTTGAAGATATCCAGTGCTAGACCCGTTCTGACACGGTTCTGGCCGTCTTCCATCTCTGCCAAGGTTCGCTTTCCAGTGACTGGCTTTGGCATGGGAATCTCTGGAGGCTTCAGAATCGGAACTGGGTCCTCTCTTTTAGCAGGCCGTACATCCTTTTCTCGCTCACGGTTGCGACGTTCTTTATCTGGAATGTCAATTTCCTCAACAAATGGGCAGCGTCCATTGCCAACGCTTCGAAATTGCGGCCATTCGCCGTCTTGTTTGTTGGCGGCCTTTGCGTACTCGCGAACCATGACAGGCTTGTACTTTTCGTCCATATCCCACACATAGATATAGGGACCCTTGAAGTAAGCCAGCTCTCGGTTCACTGCCGTCGGATCACGATCTGAAGGCCCGTTGAGACGCTCATTGTGCAATAGTTGGAGCAAATTGGGTTCGTGAGAGCCTTTTGTCATGCCATATTGACTTCTAACGCTTGTGGTTCTGGATGCATAGGTCGTAGCCTGGGTCTCCGTTTCCAACAGAACAGCAAGCATGTTTTGGAACTTGTCTAACGACCAGATTTTTTTCCCCATCTCTCGGGCCTTGTGAAGAACATCATTGTTGCGGGTGGCTTTGGTTCGCCTTGTTGGATCATCGGTCTGTTGGGACGGTATCTGTGTCTGTTGAAAGTCGAACAAGAGTTTTCGACGACCGGCCGCTGTGTTTCGATCCAGTAGAGACGGATTGATAGTTTGTGGCTGCTCTTCTGGCTCCCGCTGCTCTTGGTCCAAAGAGTGCTCATGTTGAGTTCCAGACTTTTCGGGTGGGATCGACCGAGTCGTAACGACGTGGGTAATATCGATAGAAAAGAACGGCTCTTGACGCTACAAGGTTGAAGGGGGAAAAAGGGACGTTAGTTTAAAAACGGCAGCGGCGATTGGCATGATGGGTCAGCATACTGCACCGAGGTAGTTGACTCGCTTGGTCAGCTTTGCTCTAATATCATCGGGTATACTCTCGAAATAGAAAACCATCTTCGGGAATTTGGCCCGGTGGTGCTTTTTCCACACCTCCTTCTCCGTGTCCACATCCTGTACAGTTCTTGTCGATGCTGGAGTAGCCCTTGCAACACGTTCCTTTGTAACTGGACGCGTGCTGGCCCGTTGGACTAACACCTGGGTACGGGATGCCTTGGAAGGAGAACGAACGGCACGCTGGGTACCATTGTCCAGGACCTGCTTCTTCACGGGAGGAGGCTGGCCATAAGCCTCCTCGCGTTGAATGTTGGCGTAAGACCTTTTCTGCTTTGCGAACGCGTGCAGGGAAGAAGGTCCTCTTAATGGAGAGTTGGCAACATTGGGGTTACTCGTCAGAGGTACCCGCCTCGAGGACATGGCCGCAATGGGAGCAGGCGTGGGAGATAGAGATATGGCAGCCATAAAACTTCCCAATCAACATGCTCTGGAACTCCACGACCAGAGCGTGACCCAAAATGCGGCAAGCTTTGGCGATGACAACCGTAGCTGGAGGTTGTTGTGAGAGATCACCTAGGCCGGGGAGGGGCTAGGCACGCCTCGCCAAGTTGAGTAAGCCGGTCCGTGTCGAGCACGCGACGTGTAGAGGCAATACACGTCAAGATCTGCGAGCTCACGGGCAAGATGTAAATATGTTAGAATGACATTGAAGAATCGAGTGCAGCCTTGTAGAAGGAAACAAGGGCCCTGTGAACAACCGCAGCTGTTGTTGATGTTGGGGTTGGACTTGGGAGGGAACGAGGTTGTGCGGGTTGAAGAGAGAGGTCGTGCTGGTTCAGCTGTGGTGTTGATGGAGCCCTCGCGCTTGGCATAACAGCGCTATGCCTGGTTCGGCGAGGCTGCCAAAAACACGCACGGGCCAACCCGCCTCACCAGCAACCAGCAACGGGCAGTCAACTGGTCAACTGGAGTACTTATGCACACATTGCGCAGTCAAATGTTTCAGCGCCTGTTTAGCCGAGCCAGGCCACTAAATCGCCCGCTCCTCCAGGGCAGCTATAAGCGGCACCGGGGGTTAGCTGATCGCCCCAGCAGATCTTCCAGCATGGCACAACCCGCTTCCAGTGTGTCATACAGGCCGGCTTGTGCAGGCGGGCATAACTTTCGCAGCTTAGCGAGTGCATGCATGAACATATGAACTCAAACATTCAAAGTCACGCGCCACAACCTCACACCAACTACAGATGCAAGGCTGAATCACAGCTCGTGCTGCTGTGCCTCCATCAACACGATTGACTTGTTGATGGCAACCGCAGATTGACCATTCTGTTAGCATCGGCGTGCATTCTTTTTCTTTATTATTTTTCTTTCCAACTACCACTCCCCCTCTGCCGCTCTTGTCGAATATGCAACCGTCATTCCTCGCCAGTCCTTTTTCTGTCCCGCAACCCTGAAATGAAGTTCCCGCCATCATCATTCCGGAGCTCTCTTCCTCCACGCAACGCCTTGTCCACGCGGGCTCCACGGCTTGCAAAGAGCGGCATTACAAACAGCCCACCACTTCGAGCGACCTTTGCAGCAAACGAGCGAATAATCAGATCCTACAGCGCAGCTACCGTGCCTGCCGCTGACCTGAAGTTTGGCCAGCCTGTCTACGAGACTCATCCCCACATTCTCAAAGCCGGCGAACGTATGCTTCTCCTGTTCCCTCTCCTGTAATGCCACATCTGCAGCTGTAGCTGATTGCGACTCCTCTTGTCTCGAAAAAACAGTCACGCCTGGCATTACAGCCCAAGAATATGCCGATCGAAGGGCAGCCCTCGCCAATTCCATGTCGGAGGGAGGCGTGGCAGTGCTTCACGCTGCCTCCCTCCAATACAAATCTGGCGCTGTTTTCCATCCTTACAGACAAGAGTCGAACTTTTTCTGGCTAACAGGATGGGAGGAGGACGACGCTGTTGCCGTCATTGAAAAGACGGGCCCCGACTCGGGCGACTACAGCTTCAGCATGTTTGTCAAGCGTAAAGATCCCAAGGAGGAACAGTGGAACGGCTATCGGAACGGCGTCGAAGCGGCAAAGGACGTTTTCAACGCGGACGCAGCCTACTCAATAGACGGCGTAGACAGCCTCTTGCCAGATATACTTCGGTCCGCCAAGGCCGTATATGCCGACGCTCAACCCGTCCGCGACGCAGGCAGAGGTTCCTTGTGGAGATTTCTTTCTAGTAAAGACTCATCGCATCCCCCTAGGACGCCACTGTATCCCGTGATGAACAAGCTGCGCGTGGTGAAGAGCGCCGCTGAAGTAGCCAATATGCGCAAGGCAGGCCAGATTTCTGGGCGAGCAATCACCGCGGCCATGAGACACGGCTGGAGGAAGGAAAAGGACCTCCATGCTTTCCTGGACTACCAGTTCATCGTCAACGGCTGCGACGGCCCCGCGTATATCCCCGTCGTTGCGGGCGGCGAACGCGCCAACTGTATCCACTACACTGTCAATAACAACACGTTTAAAGAAGGCGAGTTGGTGCTTGTCGATGCGGGCGGCGAGTACGGCACCTACATCACCGACATTTCGCGGACGTGGCCTGTATCCGGCAAGTTTAGTGCAGCGCAGCGCGACCTCTACGAGGCCGTCCTCAAGGTCCAGCGCACCAGCGTCTCATTGTGCCGCGAAAGCGCCCGGTTATCGCTCGAGGAAATTCACGGCATCACTGCGCGCGGCCTCGTCGACCAGCTCAGGGGCATCGGGTTCGATGTGTCCATTCACAATATCGACCAGCTGTTCCCCCACCACGTCGGCCACTACATCGGTCTCGACGTCCATGACTGCCCCGGCTTTAGTCGGCGAGAGGTTCTCAAACGTGGCCAATGTGTCACCATCGAGCCAGGCGTTTATGTGCCACGCGACGAGAGGTGGCCAAAGCACTTCCATGGCATGGGAATTCGCATCGAGGATAGTATATGCGTTGACAATGATTCGCCATTCATCCTGACGACGGAGGCCGTGAAAGAGGTGGATGACATTGAGGCGTTGAGATGACTTGTACAAAATAGCAAAACGCTGATCTGCAACATGCTCAGACGTGAATCGCCAGGAGGCTACAGCGTGCAAGATATGAGGGGGAAAGTTTATTCAGTTCTTACATTTCCGTGCCATTGATGTATTTGATGTGCCGCTAAGCAATACCTGCAAGCCACGCCAACACCGCCCGCAACATTTCTTGAGTGAGAATGACTGTAGTCGGTCCAGTATGTATGATTCATATATTTACGAGCGGTGAAATATGTAATAAGTGGTTTTATACAGTCGCTGTCATGGGAGAGGTCTATCCTCCTTCTCCAGAGGACGCATTAAAATATCACTCAGTTCGTTAAACTCATCCAACGTTTCAAACACGCAGAAATTGATGCGGTATTAACGAAGCCTCGAAACCAAACGCCTGCATGCCGATGCTTTGTCCCGTCTGTAGTCAGCACAGACACGAAAATCCAATGACCCTTTGTTGTTCCTGTTCAGTTTTGCGTGCCATATCTAGTGCCGTGACGCTTTGTGCTTTGCCTCACATTGTTAATTAAACCTCCTCTCCCTCTTTTTTTTTATTTATTTATTCATTTATTTTTTTGCACCCTTCGCACCCTTGGAAAACCAAGGTCGGACGTCGTCTTTTTGACTCGTGGGTGCAGCGTGGTCTAGCAGAAACCTCTAGGATCGAATAGGGTCATGCTATGATTGGGCATCATCATGTCGGTTCGTCTGCCCGTGCTATTTAGAAGTGTCTCGAAAGCTTGTAATCTTCGCGCGAGCTGCTGGTGCTCTTGCATAATGTTCCTGTTCGTGGCCTCGAGTTGGTGAATGTATTCAGTTGCTTTTGTCAAGACAGTGCCCTGTATCGGAATTACGCGGGGAAAGCGCGGTTTGATTAGCTACTTGGCCAAAATTGGGCTGCTTAGGATTCCGGCGGGTCATGAGCGATCGAGCAGAAGGGGCGGACAGAAACGCTGTCGGGTTCCTGTTGGTATACAGAAATCAAGCTCACCTTGCTAATTTTGGCGGCGTTTTGCTGACCACCTGCGGAGCCGCCTTCCGAGTCTCCGTCACCTCCAGAAGCCTGCAACGAAGGTACTGCTGCGCGCAACTCGGCAATCCTGTCCTTCAAATTTGTTCGATATTTTCGTTCGACATCATTGTGAGCTATTCGATCCGCAGATCGAGGCTTTGATGCTCCTCCTGTGGTTGATTTCTTCGAAGAGCCTGTTCTTGTTGTCGTTGGCCGTTTCGTGGTCGGCTGTTTCGATGCCGTCTCATCCGTCACCTCGCCGGTTTGCGTTTTGCTGGTGCCTCTTGAAGTACTTTGACTCTCTGCAGGCTTCCCCGACGGGCTGAACGGCCGGTTCATGAATTCCTGCGGTGGCCTACATCCCATGCCAGCACCAAACCCTATTTCGAACCCGTTGGGTGGTATCAGAGCCCCAGGAATTCTACCAGAGTGCAACGCTTCTTCCAGAAAGCGTCGCTGTTCATCGACGTCGGGTTCCGGGCCTTGCGGGTAGGTCTGGCTCATTTCCTTGGATACATCTTTATGTGCTGGTTCAAGCCGTGGGCGTGGCCCAGGCTCAAAACGGTTCGCATCTTGAGACCTGATAGAAAGCGGCCCGTTATTGTTGATGGCTTGTTGTGATGCTGATGTATTCTCTAGTTGTGTCGTGTTCTCTCCTGGCTTGGCGGTGGATTCGAGCATCTCCTCGTCGTCTGAGAGGGCCTGCTCAAAGGCACTGTCGTCGAAAAAGTCTTCTTCTCGAAATGGGGCGGTCGAGGTAGAGTACAGTCCGCTACCAAGGCCAGGTATCGAGTCGCATACTATGCCAGGTCTAGTTGTTGTTGTTCAGTCTTTGCTTGCAGTAGTACGTCTTGCACAAGGCTGCTCTTTTTGATGGGGCTTACCCGCTTTGACCGAGTGGATGAGGTCGTTTGGAATAATCAATTTCAAAGCTACCCATCTTGTCCAAATCGTCATCAAATGATACCCAGTAATCTATGGAATCCAAGGCCGAGGTATCCGGTTCGACCTTGATCCTCTTCTTGTCGTGAAAGTACCGAGCTTGAATTGAATCGGGCCGTAAGCTTGTCATTGTGTTCTTCTCCGCAGGAAAAGCGGATGACGATGGTGCCTGGAGGGGCGGCGTAAAAGCCATGTCGGCGAATGCAGCAATCGCTGGGTCGAATGATGGTATCGACATATCAGGAGGCGCGGATGTGAAGCCAAAAGCACCCATTCCGGCAGACGCCGTCGATGTCGCCCAGCAGCTTGACGTATCTTGTGCGGGCTGGGATGTTTGTTGGGAAGACGAAAGGTCTAGTTCCATGCTGCCTGCCGATTGCTTTCTAGTGACACTGTCGTCCATTGTTACGGTGAGGCGCGCTACCGCAATCAATGGTGGATGAAATTGAAATTGCAATTTGGGAAAAGGAAGTTGGTGTCTTGTTGATGGGGATGGTGGCCAGCAGGATGCGAGTTTGCCGTCGTCGGGTCTGGCTCGGTTGTTGTTGCTATTGTTGGTGCGGTTCGCCGTTCTCTTCTCGTTCTTGTTCTTCTGACCAATCTTGACTGTGAGATATGCAAGACAGTAGCCGCGCTTGGCCCCGAGGACATGAAGCGGTTGCGTGGCGTTGATAATGGCTTCAAATGCTGGAGGCTTCGGTTGCGCGATGTCCTGCCCTCGGCAGTCGGTCGGTGCCTTTGTTTAAAGCAAAGCCCGGGTTCGCGTCAATTCCAATCGCCGGGGCAAATCTTTCCCGAATTTTCGACTGCAAGGGGAAACACAGCATGACTTTTGGCCGCAGCAGTGTCAGCTGGTCAGCTGGTAAGCTGGCATCGAGAGAAGTCGGGCTTTCCGTCAAGAGGTGCTCAGCAAAACCCGGAGCAAGGTTCTTTCAACCAACAGCTGGCCAAGTCCGTTCCGCTCTGGTGTACGGAGTACCTGGTAGGCAGTAGGCGGCAAGCAGCGAGTCGCGGGTCGCGAGTTCCAAAGAGTGAATGCACCAGCCTGGTTGACAGACAGCCGGCCTATCCGTGGACCGTATCTCGTCAACTGCCAAACAAGAAACCTCCGCCATGCCATCGTCGGTACGGAGTACTACTGCACTGCACGCTGCACACTGCACGCCGTCGCCCGAGCACACACTTTCTGGCCAGAGCAGCTTGGGGTTCGGCGACTCCCGGCTTGGGTTCCCCAGTCGATACAGTACTCCGTGCCTTTTTTTTTTGTCCTTCTTTCTTATCCCGCACGCCCTCCCCTCCGTTGCCAAAATGGCAAAATGGCGTGACATCAGGTTGCTCCACGGTTCATACCTGCGGCAACCCGACGCAAAGAGCCACAAGATTGAATCCGGCCCATGCATTTTTGAGTGGGAGAATCGTACGATTAGGCAAGCCGCTGCATCAAGTCGCCACGAGGGTGGGCCCTTCCCTGTACACCAGAGTCTTCTGCCCTGGGACTGATTGGCCCTGCCCTGCCTTGCGTGGCAATGGCTCAACATCAACACCAAACCAACGTCTCCTCACCACGCCGCACCGCACCAACCCCCCTATATCGTATCGCCCGGTTCAATAATGTTTGGTCCGAGGTTTTCGTCCGGTGGTCTAGTCTCTACCAGTTGTCCGGGATGCAGCCAACAGGCCATCTTTTGCAACTTGGCGGTGGGAGACCTGTCACATTCCAGCTATTTCTTACTGAATTTGTCCTTCCCATTGGAGGGCAGCTCCCTAGGCGGTTATATGATATATCTCATCTGTACTCCGTGCTGCTCCGAACGTGCACATGTGTTGTTGATTAGTAGTTGGTTTATTCTGGCACGCGGTCTGGCCGAAAACTTTATCCCGCAAACTCCATACATCGCAGCCACGCAGCCGCGCTCGTGTGGGAAGACCCGACCTAGCCCAGAGTCGTGGACATCACAGATACTTACTTGTCTCTCCCTAGGACTTATTCGACGAACATGTTCAGGCGGGGCCTTCCAGCATATGTCATAGTACATCGGCTTGCAACAAAATATGAGGGGAGACTTACCACCCAATATCCGTCATCTTGATATTCCGGATTTGTCAACGGGTATAATTAGCAAGCGGATGTCGAATAATGATCCTCCAATATGGCATATGCTATATAGTCATGCCGTTTTACCCAAAGCATTATAGTGAGATCAACAAGAACGTGGCGATTCTGGCCCTCCTTACGTCCTTATAGGTGACACATCCCCAAAGGCACCATTCCGAATTTCTGATGATTATATTAAGCAACCGAACCGACGGGCGAGCTACACATCATTGCCATCCACCAGCAGCCAAGATATGGATGTTTTGGTATAAAATTTGTCATCAAAACCCGGCTTCCGCTGTCAAAGTGATCCAAAACCGGCACAAGTGAGAAAATAAAAGAGAGGACCATGTCAATCTGTGACCGCTGAGGACGCTGCATGATGAACGCAGAAGTATACCGCGTTATCCTATTTCTTATATGCTCCTGAACAACCTATTTGGCCGTATGGGGCTTCGGGAGTGTTTGCCGGCGCTGGCAGTCACTACATACCTCATGCTCATCGATGATATCATGCTTGGCAGAGGTTCCCTTGCAACCGTTGAACAGTCGATCACACCGTCTGACTTGATAGTATCCGACGTGCCCGCATGTCCATCTTTTGTCCACCTGCGTGCACATTTCCGCCTTCTGTGGTAATCCTGATAGGAGCACAAGTCGCCGATACTGATGCTGAGTACGGTTTAAACGGTGTGTATTTGCGTCGTCGGCTTCACCCAGCTCCACCAATTAATGCAAATTGAGCCAACCCGTCGGTATGTTTCGAAGACTGTGGTTTTCTGCAAAGGAAATCGTCTCATCATGGGATGTCGTCACTCCGAGAAATGTCCATAAATTCAAAAGAGATCTCCCAGAGCTGTTAACAAGTGTTGAAGGTTCAAATCATGCCCCAATGACAGCTGTCTAATAACAGGCGTTATCATGAGTCCAGACGTTAAAATCTGTACCAAGTACCAGTGCTTTGAGTTTGGCCAACCATCTGAGCGTGCAGAACATTGGTCGGTACTGCGCTGCGGAAACCGCCTTGAACGACAGTCTTGGGCAACGGCGAGCGAGGCCGAGATGTTCGAGCTGTAGTTTCCTGTCGCGGACTTGAATTTTTCCACAGCCAGCCTTATTAGAAACGCCTCCGCGCTTCAGTGTTCCACCTTTAAGGCCGCGCGGGTCTCTGGCATCTGTCATATTGACAGACTTGTATTACTAGTATGTAAGCTAAACCAAAGCTGGGCGTCCGTTTCGACGAAGCAGAAATTTGAGATATGAAAAATCGCGTCTCCAGTAGTAGGCTGAAGAGCTGATTAGCTATGTTGTGTGCATTGTACATGGGAAATTGTCACACCTACACCGAAATAAAAGTCGCCGGAAGCGGGGGGCGCAGATCCGAACACAACAACCGTTGAAGCCGCATTAACATCTGGTAAATACCACTTTACCTGGATGGTGTAGCTGTAGTGTAGCAGTAGTCGGAGCTATAGCGATATGTTGACTCACTGGACGTCGACCAGCTTTTCCGTCAATGTCAATACCAACAATCAATCCTTCAAACACCGACCGGTTCGATGCTTGTGTCAACGGAATTCGGGAACCGGTGCTGAATTAGATGAACAGAAATGACCATGCCCAAATAACTGAGCATCAGACCCAATTTTTTATTTCGCGTCCAGGCCGATATAGCCAGCATGCAACGTCAGGTCCTCTCCGCATCTGCGTCACCGTCGCGTTGGTCGCGTTGGGCGAAATTTTCAACAGCCTCGCAAGCAGTCGCATTCCATCCAGTGCTGCATCGACTCACAGAGCGCCTACTGGCGAGGGAACTATGTTCAAGTATGACACAGAGACTCAAATGATCGCACGCTCTGCACTTTCGTTCATCTCCACTGGCATTGTTGATTTCGCAAACACGACTTTCTGGGTGTTTTTCGTCTCTTTGCAAGCAAAACTTGCTCGGCATTGTCTGACGGGAGCTGGTGGAAGAGCCGGAAGTGAGGAACGAGAAGGCCCTGACAAGGGAAATGCCCAACTTTGGTTACTGTGTTTCCAGACAGCTTGCGCGTCGTACCTGAAAATCTTTCTGCTCGACCGACCAAGGAAGATGTTCTTCTTCCCGATCCATAATTTCTGGCAAACGACGCGGTGGTCCAGATTTTGCTGGAAGAATCATCCATGCCGACCAAGTCTTATCTAGGAAGACGGATTCAAGCCGCAGTGTTTTCTTTTCTCCAAGGCTCAGTCCAATGGTGTTATCCAGAAGCCTTTCGAGGGTTTGATGGCGGCAACACCCTCTGCCCTGAAAGGCATTTTGCTACAGACGAATTCTTGTTGTTTACAGAGCTTATTATCCGTGCGCTTAACGTGTCATCTGTTGTCCGTGGTGATATTTGGGTCGAAAAAACGATCGGGTGATGCCTGTTCACATTCTAGAAGCTTGATCCCAGGGATCGCCGGAGGGTATTAGTCCAGTTGAGAGATGGAAATAAAATCTTCGAAAGACTTGACCATAGTCATGTGAGACGGGCGGATGGATGACATATGCTTGGAGGGATCAAGACCATCCCTCTCATTTTGAGTTGAACAATAGAGAATACTGGCATTCGACTCTTTTTTTTCGCAGTTTCACAATAGGAAGGTGCGCGCACAGCAACATTTTGCCAACTGGCAATTGTTCATGGTCGCACCTTCTCTACTTAGTGTGTGCACTGGGGACCTTTTCAAAGCTCGCACATTATTCTACGCGTCCAATTCTTTTTTTTCCTTTTGCTTCTAAGGCTTTTGCGTAGCTCTAGTATCGACGAGGTGGGAAGCAGATGAGTAGCCATGTCATGATGCTATGACCAGTCTGACGTCGATAAGCCGTTCAAGATGCCGAAGCCAACAGGGCTCATTTTGCGCAATGGAGCAATTCTAGGAATTGTTGTACTTTCGCTGACTGGCATGACATCAGCCTTGGGTTGGCGTGGTGCGCAACGAAAATACAGCAAGTACATATCTTCGTCGTCAAATGCTGATGATTCATACTAATGCTAGCCAGAAGTTGATGAGCATCCCGAAGAAGCATCGCAGTACTCTCCTCCCTCGCTTTATGCAAGCCGCGCAAACCCTAGTGTCTATGCAACGGCACTGAGTGAGTTGCAAGAATTGGAGTCGGAGCCTTTTTGTCACAGAATTGCAGCCAGATTGCTGGTCAATAATTGTCAACTTCTGGATGGACGAAATGATGCGACGGTGATAACCAACACTGGAAGAGCGGCAAGAGACTTCGTGGACTTCTTTGCTGCCAGCTTAGCAATTTGTGACTTGGAGAGAGCCAACTTTGCGATCCCGCCAGCGTGCCATAAATTCCGGGAGCCAGTGTTGGCAAGTCTCCCATCGCCTTCCAAACCAGAGCTCCATGTCATAACTAGTGAGATTGATGACTGTCTCGAAGGCCTGGCGCGATCCGACTCGGCTTGGAGCACATGGGTGAGCTATCGGCACAAAGCACTTGGATTCTGCGAGGCTGCTCGAGTAGACGGCGAGAAAGGTATTTGCCTAAGCTTTTTTTGAAAAGAAAAACTCAGCTAATTGTCCAGATCATCATATTTTCCTCCATCAAAAACTTGCAAATATCCTCGAGAAACTCGCAACTGAGGCCGAAGTCGAAGTACAAAATCGGCTCAACAAGCTCGATCAAATGTTCCAAGAGTCCAGCGACAAGGCGAAGATTTTGGCAGCTCACGTAATGGGACTCAACACAAGCTTGCAGTATTTTGAACAGGCCATTACCAATTCAATTTTGACCAAATCCAAAGTAATTTGATGAAAAAGCCTTTATTTACGAGTAAGAAGCTAACACGTCCCAGGAAACCGAAATTGTCATCCAAAAAGGCTTGAGCGAGGCACAGTCTCTCCAACTCTTGATGGAAGAAGTAGTCCAGATGATGAGATCGAGAGAAGATGAACGTGCTCAATCACTTGAGACTGCAATGGAAGTGGCTGCGATGCAGATTCACCGAGATGCTAATGAGGTCACAAGGATGTTGACAGCCGTCGCAATGTCAACACTCACTCTGCAGGCACAACTAGTAAGTACGAATATTCTGGCTGAGGAAACATCCTAATTTGGGATAGGACAAGTCTGAAAGCCAACTATCTTCTGTGATGCATAAGCAGGAACAAGTTCACGGAGTATGAGCCACGAATTTGCTTGTGTTGTGCTTGTCTAACTCTGACAGGGAATGGAGAAATTGAACCTTCTAGCAGACCTGGTGGCTGATAAAGACAAAGCTCACCAAGAAATGCTCCAGTCAGCACAGAATAAGACCGCTGACCTACTGGCATCGCTTGAAGCAGCCTCACTTTCCATGGGTAGTCTGCGGTCGTCATTCACGGACACTGGCTTGGCTGGCTGGTGGCCGTATATAGTTTGTCCAGCTGCGTCGCTGGTCCTCGGATCTTACGGGCTTCAACCGTCGGTCTCGCGAAATATATTACTCTTAGGCGCTGGTAAGTAGTAAATGCCAAGATGCATACGCGCACAGCCCCAACTTACAAGCCGGCAGGCGAAATCGCCGGGTTCTTCATGGCGTTTGCGAACAATCACGGGAGCGAGATTTTAGACTATTTGTTTTTCGCCGGGAATTTCACATCAAGAAGTGGCCATATTAACGAAACTTTGAATGGTGATTCGGCAACCTTTTGATGTGCTGGGCGGCGACGTTGGGATTTGAGCATGGATGGGATTTGGTTCGCCAGACGGGTCCAATATTCTTCACACTCATCTACAACTGGCATGCCCCAGCCGGATTCATTTGACAACTGGGATTGGGTTGGCGTTTATGTGTTATTCGGGCCGTGCCCTGATAGGGGTGAGGTGACCCGAGCCTGGGGTTGATGGAAGCGTACGGAGTACACGAAACGCATTGGCATTGCTCATCAAGCGGCGTTCTGTGTACAGGCTGTTCCCAAGATAATCAATATTAAACGGCATCCAATATCAAATGGCTCGGAATCGTGTGCTTTTCAAGCCATCTCATCAGTGGAGAAACACAACAGCCACTAGACTCGCTCGTGCTCGTCGTGCAAGCCGCACTACATGGTCGGCGCCCGACGAGCCCAGCCTTGACAATTCGAGCTCCAGCCATTCATCAAGAGCCAAGACGTGGTCAAAAGCCGCAAGAGAGCGACAGACTGAATGACAATGGCCGCAAAGATCAAAGTGGCCGCCATCCAGCTCTATTCCGAGGTACGTGACCTCCCAGACCTCCACCACGCGCCCACGTCAGCGTCCCGGCTCGTCGCCCTCCTCGTCTTCTCACGTACGACGATGCCTCGCCAACGCATCGCCCCTCTAGCCCCTGGCGCCCGCGGCCAACTTTGCCCGCGCAGAAGCCTACATCCGCGACGCCGCTTCGCAGGGCGCCAACATCGCCGTCCTCCCAGAGTACCACCTCGCCAGCTGGGTGCCCGACGCTGCCGCGGCATTCGCCTCGACGGCGGCCCAGTCCGCGCCATGCCTGGACAAGTACCGCGCGCTCGCCCGGGAGCTCGGCGTGGCCATCGTCCCAGGGACGCTCCTTGAGCCCGGGACGTCGTCCGGCAGCGGCAGCGGCAGCGGCAACGGCAGCGGCCTCGCCAACGTTGCCTACTTCATCGGTCCGGATGGCGCCATCCTCGGCCGCTATCAGAAGAAGAACCTCTGGCACCCTGAGCGGCCGCACCTGGCGGCGGACATTGAGACGCCGCACGCCGCGTTCGACACGCCGTGGGGCAGGATGGGGATGCTGATCTGCTGGGATATCGCGTTCCCCGAGGCGTGCAGGGCGCTTGTGGCGGATGGTGCGAAGATGATCATAAGCCCGTCGTTTTGGTTGGCCGACGACGGTGGCGAGGGCTCGAGCTTGAATCCCGACTGCGAAAAGATGATCTTGGACAATGTCTGCATCACGAGGGCCTTTGAGAACGCGGCTGCGATAGTGTACGTCAACAGCGGCGCGCCAAAGGGCAGTACGAACGGCAGGGACGGCAGAGGCAACACGTTTTGCGGCGCGAGCCAGGTTGCTGTACCGATTGTAGGGAGGCTGGGTGGCGGAGGGTCCATGGGCCCGGCCGAGGAGATGAGGGTTTTCGACGTCGACATGGCACTGCTGGATGTGGCCGAGGGTGTGTACAAGGTCAGGCGAGATATGGCGAGCGAGGGATGGCATTACGGGCCGTATCGTTTACCATGAGGGAGGGCAGTGGCGAGATGGTTGGAGATATTCATTGCGACTCTGGATGGGTAACCAACGTCGCGCAAGGGGGACAAACAGTATCAGAGTGTCGTGGACAACAGGGTACCTATCAGCATTGACGGCCACACCGTGTGTGCGCTACATGACTTATCGTGTACAAATCAATGTCAAAGTCTGCTGCTTTGTGCAATCGAGTCTCAGGACACCAAACGAGGCCTCCAGGCCTACAACGAGTAAACGCCGATCAATCCCAGCGCATGCTGGCTTGCGCCCGCAGGAATCGCCGCCTGAGATCGACCGCTTCCTGGGTGTGTTTGTGTACAATCCGATCAAGCTCCTTCTCCGCCTTGTTCAACGCCCTCGTGCTCGCAGAAGACTTGCGGCGAGCCTTGACAGCGTCCGCGTATCGCAAGCTCTGGTCATCACGGTCGGTCCAGATTCCCTCGTAATTCGAAGGCACGTCTTGTTTATTCTTCAGCATTTCCAGGAGTAAGCTCGTGGGCCAGCCCGGCGTCATTGTGGTGCGCCTGAGTGATTCGATGACAATGGGACGCGAGTAGCCAAGAGACTCATAGTGTTCCATCCAGTAGCGTATGTCTTGGCTGTTCCGTTCTTCTTCTTCCGGGTCTTCTCGAACGGACGCTGACGGTTGCCGGGCTCTTGCTTCAGCTTGCTGGGGAGATGATCGCTTTAGAGGTGACATGAAACTTGCAGGCAATGTTCGTTTGCTCACTTGGCTTGTTGCCTTGCTCTTGGAAGTTGAAACCTCCAGTTCCTGAGATGAACCCGCGCCGCCAGCCCACTGTTCGTTTGGCTCTCCACGGCCTTCTCCCAAGTTTAATGGAATGGGGGTTACGTCCAAAGCCTCAGAACGCAGCTGCTGTGAAGGTGTCACGTCGAGCGTGCTTTGTTGGGCGTCCAGCTGTGGAATCCGTCTGACTTGGGCCTCAGCCTCATCATCATCGTCAAGTTCTTCATCCTCAATAGCACGAGGCAGTTTCAATGGGGCAGAAGTCTTCTTAGAGCTAGAGTATGCCTGTCGTGACTGCTTGGCTTTCATAACACTGGGTGACTGCGTCGTCGGAACACCTGTTATGTCATCCGGTGTTGATGGTATTTCTGCGTCGCGACTCAGTCGTCTCCGCTTTGATGAGCCTTCTAGCCCAGGCGGAATGTGATCATCCAAAGACCTCTTTTGGTTGCGGCGTTGAGGGGGGTTGGGTGACAGGGGATCACTTTCGGGAGGTAGGGGCCCGGAGCGTTGCTCATCTTCGACGTCTTCATCGAGGTTGGAAGCAAAGCCAGCCATGGCTTCAAAAAAGTCCGCCAGGTTATCCGTATAGCACTGTTGCAGTTCCGCTGCTACGCCAGTGTTTTCCACCCAGTTGTATTTCAAGTCTTCGGCAACCTTTATCCAATCCACTTCTCCTAGTGGCACCTTTTGTACAGCGACCGCCCGACTCAAATCCCATAAATCGACGACTTTATCGCCAACACGTGGATCTGGGTCGAACTCGACTCCAGTTTCCTCGGCGAAGATGAGCAAATCGGCGTAGAATTCACCCTTCATTGTTTCTTGGGTATCGACATCGCTCTCTCCAGATTTTGTTGACGAAATGGGTGCCTTCTCAGCTTGCCGTTCCTTTCTCATTGCAGATGCAGAGGTGATTTGGACATTGTCGGGACTGGTAGAAGTCGGTTGATGCGCCTGCAGCCGAGAGGTGCGGACTACTTGCTTGGCTGGTGCCTTTCCGGGGGTTCGTGCTGGTTTGGGTAGCTGTTCGGCCTGTCGTTTTGGACCAGCTTGGTCAGAAGCTGGCCGAGTGGCAGGTTTTGTGGCTTGGACAGCCAAGTCTGCGGCAGACATGGCCAGCCTCTCAAGGTCCGCGATGGGGAGATTTGCTAAAGACTTGACAAATCTGCTCCTCCAAGACTGCCACGTATGCCAAGGATGCTTCGATTCGTCAGTACATTGACTGTACTGTGAGCGAGCTAGCGAGACTAGAAACCCACCGTCTCGGCAAAAGCTTGAAAGATCTTATTGCCGTTGCGACCTTGACCGTGAGTCAACACCCAGTTTGCCAGGGCAGCATCGTCAGCAGCGGAGAATGGAGTTCGCGTATGCTTCACCGGCGCGCTGGGACCAACATGAACGCTGGCAGTCTCTGGGTGGCCAAATATACGATACCGATCCGTCAGCTGTGCATACCCATGCTCGACAGATTCGGTGATGTACTTCCATGAATACGAGTCTGGGGGGGCATCCTTCCTGGCATGATCCGCGATGAGAATATGTGCATCTTTTTCGAGTGGCACGACTTTACCGTCGTTGTTCTATGAGCTGGTTAGATGGGGAAGCCCCTAATAGCAGTAACAACACTCATTCTCGTGCTTACTGTAATGTGGCTGAGAATGGTGTTCCTCATCGGCACTCGCTGAGCAACCCAGAAGACCATGTCCTTGAAAATAGTCCCTCCTGTGGCGCTTTCAACGCCATTGTAGGTGACGCTCCGAGACATTCTGGGGAAATCAGCCGTGGCGAAACGTCGTGCAATGTACTCGGTATACGCTTATGTCGTCGTGTCGTGGAGTTGTGAGCCTCGTCCAAGGTGCTGTAGGCGATGACCCGATATGTTTGCGACGAATAGTCGCCACCGCATCAAGGGTATAAGAGGCGCTCTTGCTTCATCGTGAAAGGTCAGGTGCAATTTCCAAGAAATGTCCTGCTTTCCTTCAAACCTTGTGCGCCGGCTATCATGAAGGCAAAGGACGCGTGACGGTCGTCGCGCGATCACGTGGGTCACGCCTGCTCTTTGGCGCAAAGGGGCCACAACAAGTACCTAGGTACTGAAGTACCCACGCAGGGAACCAAGGTACGTTGGTACTTGCGAGGTCATCGTCAACTCGTTCAAACTTGGACCAGTTGACCGTGCAAACTTCCACCTTCAGGAGAGCAACGCTCACGAGACCTCCGACACCAGGCCGCCATGATTCGCAACGAGCTGCGATGACACTGCTACAACCCAGGTGCCTGCTCCGTTTCGTCGCATCATTCACCTGATTGATGCCCAGGCCGAGGCTGTCACGCCCGTCTGTCGCCTGTAGCTGGCCATCTTGCCCGGCCGCCCCCGGCCCATCATGATCTCTCTCAAATGGGCGCTGACGTTTGTTTTCGTCGTGAGCTTCGCTGTCTTCGTCACCTTTTTCGGGAGACTGCCTATTTTTCGGTGCGCAGCTCGACCCTGGCTTTCACGCGCATTTACTGTGAGACTCAACGCTGATTGCTGCCTGATTCAGACGAACCCCCATCGGGCTCTTACACCGTCTGATATGGATCCATATCCCCAACACGCTCCTGTCTATAGACAATAGACTTGCCTCAGGAAGGGTCACAAGGTCCCTGTCTCGCGTCGGGGACCTTGTGATGCATGAGCGGCACCCAACTGTAGTTGTACGCATCAACGACCACAACTCCCGTCATGTCACCTCCCGCGACGACAAACACTAACATGGTTCATTGTCTCTAGATATTCTTCCTCGCCCTGATGATAGGCGGGGAATATCTGTATCTCCCGTCTACATGGCACCGCCTCGGCCCTTTCACCAAACTCACCGTCATCATCGCCGTCGTCCTCCCCTACTTGTTCCTCTATCTGTCTTGCGTTACCAACCCGGGCTACATCACCGAGGAAAACCACTCCTACCACATGTCGCTCTACCCATATGACCACGCGCTTTTCCACCCTGGGGCCGCGTGTAAAACTTGTAGATTCCTCAAACCACCGCGCTCAAAGCATTGCAGTTTATGCAAGCGGTGCGTAGCAAAGGCCGACCACCACTGTATATTCATCAACTCGTGCGTGGGATACGGCAATCAGCACTGGTTCATACTGCTCCTCGTCTCAACCGCTGTTCTGTGCACGTACGGCGGTCTTCTCGGTGCCTCGCTCCTCTCTTCGTCGATTAAACAACAAGTCGTCGACTGGTCGCCATGGTCGCCGTTGAAGCACGGATGGGCCATGTACGTTGTCATCTGGGGCTGGGGCATCCAGACAAACATCGGTCTGGGCGCCACGACGCTGCTGGCCGCCTTGAGCGCCCCCTTGGTTTGGGGTCTTGTCATATACACAATGTATCTTGTGTACTGCGGCACAACAACAAACGAATCGTTCAAGTGGTCCGTCTACAAGGACGATATGGAAGATGGCTATGCCTTTCGTCGACTCATGCCCCTGAAGCGAGAGAGGGATCTCGTCCAAGAGCCCATCTGTCGTAGGTGGCCGGCTGAACCGGAGATGGTTTTGGCAGCAACAGATGACGGGAGACCTCCGCCGGCACAGAGTGCGCTAGCTGGCGAGGGCGATTGGGAAAGAGTGTGGAAGTTGAAAAATGTGGAAAATCTTTACGATTTAGGACTCTGGCATAATCTGAGAGATGTTTTTGTCAGAGACTGCGCATTTGGGGTGAGGGCAGACGATCCGCCATCTGAACGGGGGATGCGGAGGAACTTCTCCAAGAGTAAATAGCGAGTAGTTGCATGCTAGCCAGGGCCGTGGCGGAAAATTTTCGAGGGCAGACATGTCTCGTCTTGTCATATACATTGGGTCTGTGTAATACGATGTAGGTTGGACAATGGACCTGGCGTTATGCTTCGCTGGAAAGCGCAAGTCTGAATACACCATACTACTTTCTAATATAGTTTCAAATATGTCTCATCAACATCGCTCGTGATCGTCGTAATCCACACGCTTCTAGATCTTGATTAGACCTTTCAAGACAAGAACCAGTAGCTACCAGCTCATCCGCCACCATGGCAGAGACGCCTAACCCCGTTGTCCCGTACCCCCTTTCTAGAGCGTGTCGATGTCACGTGTCCATTTTGCCTTTTGAATTTTGAACTTCTTTACAGAATGGTACCGAATCTGTTCACCATCTGTTAGTACAATTGACCTTGTGTTACTGCCACTGATCTACTTACCCAAAGGTTTGTTTGATGCTCTTTACGTAGTACTCCAGCCAGTTCCTCTTGGTCACTTCCTCCTGGCCGACCGGTACGCCTTTCCACTGCACACGCATCACTGTAACGTGGTCAACATTATTTTGGTCAAACTCGATATGGAGGTTGGAGAAGTGGCCAGCAGGCCATTGGCTAAGACGCCAGCTCTGGACAATCTTCTTTCCTGGTTCAAGCTCGAGGTATTCCCCAGAGACGTTTCCGCCAAACAATTCGAACTTTCCACCCTTGTTGGCGCCCTCGAAAACCTTTGGAGGGGAGCGGGTGAAGGCCGCAAGCCGCTGAGGGTCAACAAACGTTTGATACATCTCGTCGGCCGTGGTTCGAAACTCTTCTTTATCCGTAACCGTTGTTGTGTTGACAATACCAGAGGTGCTCGTGGGAGCACTGGGATGCTCTGTGGGCTTGGGTGAAGAAGTTTGAGGGTGAATCTTCGGGGTCGAAAATCCGCTAGAAGGATTCGAACCGGGGGCATGTTGAATATCCTTGCCGTGCTCTTCGATAAGGACAGACGTGATCAGCTTAATCTTCTGTTCCAGCTCTTTCACGAGCTGGCTGCTGACAAGCTCCTTCACGGGCTCGTTCTCCTTTGAAACGGCATCTTCGAGTTTTACCTCGAACTGGACGGCGAATGAGTGATGTGCACGGCAAGCGACTTCGGCTTTCATGAAGCATCGCAAAGACGCGGACAAAAACGTACCGTATAATCTTCGATATCCGGCTGGACTTCAGGGAACTTGATTGTGCCGGATACTTTCTCCGCATCGGGGGCGGATCCTACGACGAGAGTAAGCCAAGGCTCTACTGCTGTTGCACACTACACATTCACGCATCCTTACCAGTGAATCTTAGGGTGAGTTCCAAGTCAAAGACCGTTTTGACCTTGCCTTTCCTCTGGTAGACTTCGGCTTCGCCCTCTACGCTCTCAACTTCGATGATCTTGACTTCTACGTCGCCTTTTTGGGCACTAACTTGGTCAAGGTTGTCCTCAAGCCATTGTTTCGTCCAGGCAGTGACATCTTTGGTCACCCAATGCCAGTTATTAGGGTTGTGAAGTACCATCGTGGTGATCCGTTTCGCGAGCCAATAGCTGCAAGGAGAGCACAATCTGCATGTTAGCTTCTGCGCTTCAAAGAGTCCCGAAATGCCAGAACAAAAGACATCAAGAAGAAGGAAAAAATAAATCCACAGTTTCAAAAATCAGAAATGGTCTTGGACCACAGCAATGTTGGTCATCAATGAAGGGAGTACAAGTCACTCTATGACTGGTGCCAGCTGGTGTATCATCACAAGAGACGGCGGAAGGGGGTCGATGATGCGTGTACATTGGAAAATTGACGGATGTACTTACGTGGTGGTAGATTGACAGACGCAGGTACGCAGCAAGGAAGATGTGTAGTTACTGGTGCCGTGGAATGAAAAGGTTTACGTTTGAGATGTCGATGTTGCAAAGCTCAGAACCTCGTAGAATTTTCCGAGAGCCGGATGTCCCCACCATATTTCATTATCCAAGCAAAAAAGCGGGTCGCGTTATTCAATGTCGGTGGGCTCCACTCCTGCCAACTTGATGACCCGACGAGGGAGATCAGAGTACTCTGAAGAAAATGGTAGCATTGTCGTGAAACATCTAGTTCGTTGAGATAAATCGAATATGTCTATCTGGTATAGTATGGGGAATGACTGACATTTTATTGTTCAGGTTTTCTTTCATGCGACTTTTGACGAACTCATTCGTGCCGGCACGATGGAAATGGAAGGGCCATGATGACCGTCGTTGTCCGAGACGTCAATAGCAAGGAGACTCTGGATGATTTCGCCTGCGATTGCCATGTGTCATCAATCAGTACGAGTGCTGGTTGAAACGGCAGGCAGGAAACTGTCGTTAGGATCGATGGTCCGAAAAATCCAGCTTCGACTGGTCACTTTGCAACAATAAGAAGTTTGTTGGATGGGATCCGTGTTAAGCAAGTTCGTTGCAGCCATCGCAGCTCGACATTGACTAGCTTTGACCGCTGACGTGAAGTGTCCGGTGCTAGAAGTGCAACGACGCGACAATGGTGCGAGATGCCAACGCAAAGTGGGTGTAGATTCGAATTGACTGTTGCTGGCGCGAGATGTATGCAGACTTGACCTGATGAACGGCATCCTCAGCTACCAGAAAAACTAATATCACGACCCCAAAATTACCACGGCGATATCCACCTCGAGGGCAAAAGACGCTAGTACTCCGTACTAAGCGCCCAACTCCAAGTCTTTGCATCTGCATTGACAAGGATGTGGCCAATCATGAGGCCATAATTCCTGCGTCTGGTCCCCTGCGGAGGAACTGGCCCGAGATTAATAACGGTCAGGTTGCAACCAGACAGAAGATGAAGCAGTCAACAGTATTGCTGATGAGGCATCCACACGACCAAGAGCCCCGCAAGCCCAAACGTTGCATCCTCACCATGCAACGGGCCAACGGAAAGGCTGGGACTGATTACTCTGCCTGGGGGTATGTAAGTTATGACCTTGACTCTTGCATCGTGCCCATGGGTCATGGACTCATCATGGCTCATATGTTTAGGCACGGGAGGGAGGACAAATTGGAACATGGGCAACATTCAACGACAAGCCGGGATGGAGAACCAGCCAACGCCCACTAGGCGCTGATCATGGCGTGATGTGCGCATTGTTGCTCCAGGGCTGCCACCCAAATAACGAGAGGATACAAGACACAATTGTCTCGGCTGTCTTTGATGCCACGACTGCGCACGACGGCCGAGGGCCAGAGCGGCGAAAGCTACTTGGCAACGCGCGGTACCATGTCCGACAAGAAAGCCATGATAGCCATGCGGGAAACTGCGGTGCAAAACGATGCGAAATTGACGCCCGCCCGTTGTATCAGCACGGTAAACATATTCGCATCGTTGGCTGGCTCATCTGTGGAGGAGTAACTATTTAAATTACCGAGCATGGACTACAGAACGTAGTAGTATAGTGCTGGTGTCCATGTCTTATTGCAGAGGATATTCGTGTGATGGCGTCAGATGGAACACTGGTTTGCAGGACAGGCGACCAGTCAAGGTCGTGCGAGGAATCTCCCTCTCCCACACCCCTCAGCTCATCATTACAGAGTACGGAGCACGGCAATGGTCAATGTGGTCAGCATTCAAGGGAGGCTCGTCTGAAAAGCAGTGCTACCGACGGAACTCTGTGGCCGGTTGGTGCTACGTACTGGTTGACGAGCTTTTACCCCATCTTCAACATTTTCTTCGCTGGTCAAAGCCGAGCCGAGCTGGGGCTGGGATTCGCCTTCTGAGTTCTCCCCACCGCCGGGTTCTGGGGTCGTCGTTCATGACTGATCAGTGATCGCATACTGCCTGCATGCCTCCAGCAACCAACCGCGTCCTTGGCCCCTTCCAGAGCCATCTTCTGTTGCTGTAAATAGAACGGCCTGGCAGGGACACCCGCTTACACCCGCTCCCGAAGCGATTGCGTCTTCGCAGCAACCGATTTGGATAGAGCAAGGGCGTGAGAGGTGATGCGTCGTGCACACCGGGTCGCGGCCAGTCCCTCGATCTGAGTCCTGCGCCCTGCGTCCCGAGTCCCGAGTCCCGAGTCCCGAGTCCTGACCTGAGCTTCAGATCCTGAGTCCTGACCGGCATGCTGAGCGAGCAGTGAGCACCGAGATCTGGCTCGCACCGCGTCACGTTGCCTCTAACCGCCGGCAAGATTGCTCTGCTGTCCTGACGGCAACCCTCCTCACCGGCGTCCAAGGGCCCTCTGTTCTATTTTCAGAAGACGCGGGGAATCCACCGCGCGAGATCCGTCTCGTTTGAGACGCTGCAGGACCCATGGCCTCGCCCCGTGATGCAGCGCGACTTCGTCAGGGCCTCAACCCCCTCGCCACGAACTCGCTGCCTCCTAGTACGTACGGCAACCATGTGAACTCGCCCATGTCTGCCGCATCTATGGCTTCTCCGTTTCTGCAATCGGCGCAGACGCCTGCCAGTGCCATCCAGCCATATAATCCCCAGGAATGGGTTCCGTCACCAGCCCCGATGCCCGACGTTAGGTCTCGTCACTTGCCTGTCGATGGAGGCCAAGGTACGGCGTTATAGTTTTGTTCTCTCAATTCGCCAGCTTGTGTTGACCTCTTCTTAACTTCTGGATATCCTAACATGAGTCTGTGTCAAGCGTCGGCGGCGCCTCCTCCTCCATACAGCCCTCCTCGAAGCAGGCCGCAGCGACCGATGAGCACCGCCTTGGAACACGTCTTTGCGCGGGGCTCGACGCCTCCGCCTCCGTCCAGGTTAACAATATCTCCTCCGCATCGGCCCTCGCCAGAGCCGCCAGTGAATCCTTCGTTTCCTCCTCCGCCTGGTGCTGGTGGAAGGGGAAGCTCAAGAGACCGCCGATTTGGATTACCGTCTCTTGGGCGCAGGAACGATCATGAGCAATCGCAAGCCAGCTCGCCTGATCTCCAAACAGCTGCCATGCATGTGAGAAGAGGCATGGGCCCGTCCATGTCTCAACCTGAACCTGGACGTATCGTAGCACCTATACCGAGCACGCTTCCCCTCGGGGTCCCTCCAGCAGCTCGAAGGGCGGCCTCGACTGGAGCAATTGATTCTCCGACATCTCAACGATCTCGGTCAACGTCGCAAACGAGGTGGGAACCTGGGATGCCGCTTCCTCCGCCGCCACCCGGACCTCCACCTTCGTCGTCAAGATCACAGAGCGTTCAAAGCATAGGCCGGGCCAGCGTTCCAGTTATCTCACCTCCAACCAGGCGGCCACCACCTAGCGGTGTTACGACTTTGGGGCCTGTTCCTCCCACGCCAGCGGACTGGGTCGATACTGATGCAGAACAAGGCCGGCCGAGGCAGCCTTTTCGCGGGCGGTCTCCTGGCTTGGTGGTTGATACCGCGTTTGCTGCTAATGCTACAAATGTCCCAGAGCCGCCCGGGTCATCCAGTAGCATGGGAAGTTTGAATAGAGCCATGGCGGTACGACATGACAAGACAATCCTTCAAAGAAGAGCTGAGAGCCGAAGCCGCCACACATCACATCGCTCCATTGATGCTGTTGCACAACCGCATAATATTTCAGACATAGTTGTCCCCTGCAGTTCTGGTGGCACTGTTCCAAGGTTCATGGCTGGAAGATCGACCCCTCGTAGCGCAGGCAGAAGGGACATTGAGTTGCTCCGAACAGGCGACTCATTGACTCTTCAAGATCATTCTCGAAATTCAACCCCCCGAGCGCCAGCGTCCGGCCAACCTGAAGCCGCTACACCCCCCTTTTCTCCATATCACGGCAAAGGCTTCCAAATGCCCGCAGTCTCCCCGGCCCTGGCTCCCAAGGCTCTTCCAACACCACCTCCTCGGACACGATCAGCATCTGGCTCACGGCCAAGAGTCTCATCTCGCCCTCCAATATCGGCATTGACCCCTATTTCTAAACACACAGTCATTGGCCAAACTGCCGAGCAATTTGCTGCTGCTACAATTGAGAGGTTTCGATCATTCGCCTCAAGTGAATCAGCCGCGGCGTCGGATGCTGATAGAGTTCGCCTGTTTGCCGATTTCATTGTAAACGAGTCCCGAGTCCGGCGAGAACGATATTCGTCAGCCATTGGAGAAATGGGTTCAGAAATCTTTGATCTTACTCGCGATTTATTTCGCCCAATGGTCTCCTCGTCGCGAAGGGAGTCTGGAGGGTCTCGAGATGAATCGACACCAGCGTCGACTGATCCAAGTCATTCCCAAAGGGGCTCAGCAAGCTCAGTCATCCGTGGTGACGGGCTGTCGTCCTCAGCACCGGCTTCTGCAAGTCTCTCCGCATCGCCTGGCAGCGCCCCGCCACAAGGTAACTGGACCAACAACTATATGCCGTCTCTTTCCCCAATACTCAGCATGAGCGTCAGCGACAACCATGAAAACGGAAGCTCGCGTGGACGACCGCCAAGCCGATGGTGGGAGACTGATTCTCAGGGAGAGCCTCGAACGTTTGAGAGATCCAAACGAGAGTCCAAGTACATGGGAGTTCCTAAAGACCAGTTGGTTGAGGAGGAGCAAGGGACAGGGGCTTATACCGGAAGCAGCGAATATGAATCATCCATGAATTACCCCCCAGAGAAGACCGGATGGCACAGGCAAGAAGAGCCGTCACCCTGGACGCCGCAATCGTTGCGGCTTTCTAGCGTAATTCCTGCGGGCTCAAGTTCCTCCCAGTCGTCACACAATACGCCCGACGCAGTGGATGTCTCCCGGCTTGTCACTTTGCCGCCACCATACCCTAGGCATTATCCTGCTCTCAATAACAACCACCCGGAACTGACAGCAACGCGGACAGCCGTTAGAGCTTTGAATGAGCTGACAGAAATCGATAAAGTAAAGGAGAGGTTCGAAAGCGCCAGCTCCAAGCGTCGCGAAGAGTTTTCCAAGGCAGCGTCTGAGCGTCGGCACTCGCTGATGGCCAACTTGCAGAAAGAGATCAGCTCTGGAAATATTGGTTACGCTGATGCTGCTGCCATTGAATCAGACTCCCAACAGCAAGAGAAGAATAAGAAGAAGGAGCTCGAAAAGACGGAATACGAACAGTTCCAGAATGAGGTCATTCGCCCCATCAACGATCTCTTGACTGCCCAAATTTCAAAAGCCGACGCGCTTTATCAAAATCTGTCGGAGCACCTTTTCGATAATGGTCGAACGGATGCCGATATGCCGCAAGAGGAGGGAGATGACCGACCTGAATTACTTGAGAAACTCACCCTGCTGAAGTGGATTTTCGAGACCCGAGAATCATTGCACAGAGCTATTTACGATATTTTGTCTGACCGAAATACTCGATATCGCGAGGTGGTGCTCACGCCGTATCGCCTTTCTGGGAATAGTGAGAAGCTCAGGTCTGCAGAGGCTTTCTTTGCAGAGGACGCAACAAAGCGAGAGTATTCCCTCGCCGTTGAGGTTCTAGATCGGGCCCGACAGTTTAGAACCACCGTTGAGGAGGCTGTTGAGCGCGGAGTTGCTCTGCAACTCTCGGCATTCTGGGACATTGCGCCGCCCCTAGGCGAGTTGCTCGACAGCATTCCAGAAGACCTTGATGGGTTCAACATTCAGATTCCGGCCTCGGAGTTTGAGGAGAACCCGGCGTACCACGACCACCCGTTGCAGTATCTCTACAGTCTTTTGACGCATGCCGAGAAGAGCACGCGCCAGTTCATCGAATCACACACCAACCTGCTGTGTCTCCTGCACGAGGTCAAGGGCGCAGCAGTAAAAGCCAAAGCAAGGGTCTTGGAAACGCAAGTCACTGAAGCTGACGGCTCAGCTATCAGTGCTGAGGACCGACAGCAGAGAGCCAACAGCATGAGGCAAAGCGAAGACCGCCGGTTGACAGAGGACCTCCAAGAAAAGGTACGACTGGTTGAAGAACAGTGGAATAGCGCTCTTGGCGAAGGAATCAGGACGGTCAAGGACCGTGCCGGCGTGCTGCTTCTAAGTACTGGCGGGTGGGACGAGACTTTGGAGGAGGAGCAGTCGTTCCTGGGGTTAATGGGCCAGACGACTGATGAAACACATACATGATCTGGGGAGATTTGGGTTGCTTGGACATTCGAACTTTTGTTGATAGATACCCCCTCAAATAAGGATGACGCTCAGCCTGTGATGGGACTAAAATCGCACGACTTGAGCTGCTGTCACGTTTTTCGGCGGCTTTGACACGTACGGTGGCATCTGTTTAAAAAAAAAGCGGCATGACGGGTATCAAGTCGACATATCAATTGTACACTGTTTATACAATCTCCGTGGGCCATCTGTCTCTTCTCCTCCTACTGTACATGCCTGTCTCCGTGTGCGCCGAAGAATTCTGCTGATGAGCAGGCCGTTCGGCCCTAGTAGTCGTTTGACGCAGATTGTTCATTTTTGCACTCGGACCTTTGAGCGTTGTTGCACGAGGTTGGCAGGAGGGACGAGGGACCAGGCGGCGCGTCTGGGCACCGAGACCCGTCCTCGGTGCCTCTGCCGCGGTCCAGCCTCGGAAGAAGCTTCACTTCCCCCGGGCGAGGAGGGCGTGGCGCATTTGCGCGCGGGGGGCCTGGCAGCACGTCAGGATTTCTTCCGCTTGCCATACAACTCGGGCAGGTCCATGCCGACGCGCCTGGCCGTCAGCCGCACTCTCTCGTCGTCGGCCATGTCCATTCCCGGGTTGTAGCGCTCTATCAGGGTGACGTAGAGCCTCTGGGAGCGCAGATAGGCGACGATCTGCTCGGCTTCGGCGTGCGAGGCGGCAGGCGAGTCGGTAAATGAGGCGCGGAGGTGGTTGCGCAGAGGGCTCCTTGGGGAGGCGAGGACGGGGCGGGGGGGCAGCTCGCGCAGGATGGAGCGGTAAATGGACCGCAGGCGGGCGGGGGATGCCGTCGACGACATGACGAGATGACGAGATGCGCTTGCGGCAATGGCTAACGCCTGCTCGGGGCAGGGAGACGGTTTTGCTGGTGGACGATGGATGGAGGTTTTCCCATCTCGGCCTGCACCCGGACGGAAAGTGCCCACGGAGTGCGGCGTGGCTGTTGATTGGCTCGGGATGTCGGCATGTGGGGGGCCGCGCTGCTGCAGAGGCCCGAGTCGGGGTAGCCCATGCAACGGTCAACTTGGGGAGTTCGTGTTCGATATTGATTTTGGTGATTTATTCTTGCATTTGGGCAATGGTGTCCCCAGAAAGATAGATACTTGATCGTTCACCACTAGGCTACGCAGGGCATCTCGTCACCCCGTCGTCATCCAGCTTCAGACCGTCTCGCCATCAGCCTCGGCCTCGGCCTCGGCCATCCGCTTCCTCGCGCTGGCGCTCCTGGTCCCTCGCAGTATCGCAAACTCTGCCCTCCCTCGTCTCCGTCAACTCGCTGGCCATCTCCTTGGTCGCGTCCACCTCTTCTCGACCGCCGCAATGGTGACCGCCCCGCCCTACACCCGCGAACTCGAGGTCGCGCAGCTCGCCGTCCAGCGCGCCACCATCCTCACCAGGCGCGTCTTCCATGAAAAGGCCAAGGGCACCGTCGACAAGAACGACAAGTCCCCCGTGACCATCGGGGACTTTGGCGCCCAGGCACTCGTAATTTCCGCGCTCAAGCACAACTTCCCCGGCGATGCCATCGTCGCCGAGGAGGAAGCCGCTCAGCTGAAAGAGGATGCGGGCCTGCGCGAGACGATCTGGGGCCTTGTCAAGGACACCAAGCTGGACGACGACCAGGCGGAGCAGACGCTCGGCGGGGGGATCGAGAGCGTCGATTCCATGCTGGAATTGATCGATCTTGGAAACAGCCCTGGCGGTTCCAGGGGCCGTGTCTGGACCATTGACCCCATCGACGGGACCAAGGGGTTTCTAAGGGGCGGCCAGTACGCCGTGTGCCTCGGATTCATGGTCGATGGGGAAGTGAGAGTCGGCGTGCTCGGCTGCCCCAACTTGCCGGTGGATGACTCGGCTCGCCTGACGGTAGATATTGGGTCCAACGCCACCGACCGAGGACGAGGCGTCATCTTCTCCGCCGTCGAGCACAGGGGAGCGGATAGCCGACCGTTGACGACGGGCGCTCTCTCCCCGGACAGCAAGCACATTGGCATGCGGCCCGTCGAGGACCTCGCCACCGCTACGTTTTGCGAGTCCGTCGAGCCGGGACACTCGTCGCACCATGATCAGGCCCTCATCTCGCGGAGGCTGGGCATCACAGGGCCGTCGGTCAGGATGGACAGCCAGGCCAAGTACGGCTCGATTGCCCGTGGTGCGGGGGATATCTATCTCCGTCTGCCCGTGAAAGCCAGCTACAGCGAGAAGATCTGGGACCACGCGGCCGGCGACCTGATTGTGCGGGAGTCAGGGGGCCAAGTTACAGATATTCACGGAAAGAGATTGGATTTCAGTCTGGGCCGGACACTGGCAAACAACAAGGGTGTCGTGGCTGCTCCTTTGGGCGTCCACGACCGAGTGCTCAAGGCTGTGCAGGAGGTGTTGAAGATCGGGCAATAAGTTACACGGCGACGGCGTTGAGGCGAGAGGAAGTGAAGTGAGACTAGCCACAGCAAATGGCGCTGCGACGAAAGCAAGTAGACGAGAAATGATGTCATTTGGATGAAATACCCAAACAACCGCTACGACACGTTCTATATGAGATTTTCCATGGAACTGCCCAGACTAGTGGTACACCCACCTATACATGGTCCAAACACACGCCCGGTTCCACCGTCGACACAGGTTGCGGCACAACCGCCCGGCCCTCGGTGCGGTCTACTTGATCTTCTTCTGCTTCAACTTGATCGTCTGATCATTGATAAACACCCCCTTGCCCTTGTACGGCTCCGGCGGTCGCCACTGCCTCACCCTCCCCGCAAACGACATGACGACCTCGCGGTCCGTGCCCTCCAGCAGGATCCTCGTCGGCGAGGGCGTCGTCACCGTGACGCCCTGCGGAATGCCCTCCTCGACAGGGTGCGTGAAGCCCAGCTTCAGGCAGAGAAACTTCTGCCCCGGATACTGCTCCTTGGCGCCGCGGCGCTCGACGCTCGCTCGGTACCCGACGCCCACCAGGCGCAGGATGGCCGTGTGGCCCTCCGACACCCCCATCACGTAGTTGCTCAGGTAGGACCACGACGTGCCTGCGCGAGAGCCCAATCGTTAGCAGAGGTCCCTCCTCCCCTGGTCCGGATTTCGCACCGGCGACGTGGGAAGATCCTGGCCCAAGACGTACCCCACATCTCCTTTTGATGCTTGACGTCGGCATTCTCGACGCTCAACAAGGCCGTCTTGTTCTCCGGGTCCTGCTGCAGTATCACGAATTCAGGGACGTCGAGCTCCAGTGATCCTATCCTCATGTCACGTCAGCTCGATCCCTTCGACGATTTGTCACCTGGCCCCGCCAATCCTTTTGTGAAGCGCGGCCATGGATGGGGCGCCTGGGCTAACCTAACGGCCCCTTCACTGTGATGGTCTTCTTAATGGAAGGCTTGTATGATGTCGCGACCTTGGACGACTTGAGATCGCTCACCGACAGTTCCACGCCAGGAGGGATAGAAATTGGCGTTCGCCCAAGCTTCGAGGGTCGCTTCGTCGTGGTCGAGAATTGCCGTTGCGCAGACGTCTGCCATGCTGGCACCAGGAATTCCATTAGCGCTTCCGGCGCATTCATGCGCAGCGCATGACCAAATGCCTTGCCCTTGGCAGGGACAAACCTTGAGGCCATTGGCATTCGTCTTTGCGTGACAATGGATGAAGGTTTGCGTGGACAACCGCTGATCCCAGGTCAGCTTTGACTGCGAGTCAACTTTTTGGTCGCTTAGTCATCCGTCACGTGTGCCTCTGTTGGGAACATAATAAGTTAACCACGTAGTTACCTTGCACATCTACCCAAACATTGCATTCACAGACATAACATTTATACCAGCTTTTCTTCCGAGATAGTAGAATTCATGTTAATATTACTCTCTGCGACTTAGTGGTCGATTTTCTGCATACGATGCTACAAAAGCGGCAGCAACGCTCGAGAATAAAGTCATCTAGAAACCCCGTCTGGTCGAAACTACATCGATAGCACGAAGTGAAATCCATGTCGCCCGCATCTTCAGATGGGACACTCTGGTTGAAAACAAATAACTTGTCGCAAAGTCTCTTACTCTAAAGGCTCGTCAACTGGAGCCTCTTCGTCGTACTCTTGTTCCTGCTCATCATCAACACCAGCTTCCTGATACTGCTGGTATTCAGAGACCAGATCGTTCATATTGGACTCGGCCTCAGTGAACTCCATCTCGTCCATACCCTCACCAGTGTACCAATGCAAGAAAGCCTTGCGACGGAACATAGCAGTGAACTGCTCGCCAACACGCTTGAAGAGCTCCTGGATGGAAGTAGAGTTGCCGATGAAGGTAGAAGACATCTTCAGGCCACGGGGAGGAATGGCGCAGAGAGCGGTCTGAATATTGTTGGGAATCCATTCGACAAAGTAGGTGGAGTTCTTGTTCTGCACGTTACGCATCTGATCCTCGACCTCCTTCATAGAGACCTTGCCACGGCTGAGACAGAAGTTAGTACACGGCTTTTTATGATATACATAGGATTGATGCATCTTACAAAATAGCAGAGCAGGTCAGGTAGCGACCGTTTCGGAAGTCAGAAGCTGCCATCATGTTTTTGGGGTCGAACATCTGTTGGGTGAGCTCAGGAACGCTGACAGCGCGGAAAGAATGAGCACCACGACTGGTCAGGGGGGCAAAGCCGACCATGAAGAAGTGCAGACGAGGGAAGGGGACCATGTTGACGGCCAGCTTACGCAGATCAGAGTTCAGCTGACCTGGGAATCGCAAGCACGTAGTGACACCGGACATGACGGCGGAGACGAGATAGTTCAGATCACCGTACGAAGGGTTGGACAGCTTGAGAGTGCGCATGCAGATGTCGTACAGAGCCTCATTGTCAATGCAAAAGGTCTCGTCTGAGTTTTCGACCAGCTGATGAACGGAGAGGGTGGCGTTGTAGGGCTCAACAACGGTGTCGGAAACCTTGGGAGAGGGAACGACGGAGAAAGTGGCCATCATTCGGTCGGGGAACTCCTCACGGATCTTGGAGATCAACAGGGTACCCATACCGGCACCGGTACCACCGCCAAGAGAGTGGGTGATCTGGAAACCCTGGAGGCAGTCGCATCCTTCAGCCTCGCGACGTACAACATCAAGGACGTTGTCGACAAGCTCAGCACCTTCAGTGTAGTGACCCTTGGCCCAGTTGTTGCCAGCACCAGACTGGCCGAAGACGAAGTTGTCAGGACGGAAAAGCTGGCCGAATGGACCGGCACGGACGGCGTCCATGGTACCGGGCTCAAGATCGACCAGAACAGCGCGAGGGACATACTTGTTACCAGAAGCCTTTTGAGAGGATGCCGCGTCAGTTGACGGTCTTCAATGGGGGCAGCTTTTGACTCTCAACGTCAACGGTTTCAGCACATTCAACTTACCTCGTTGAAATAGACGCTCATACGCTCCAGCTGGAGCTCAGAGGTGCCGTTATAGACGCCATTGCTGTCCAGGCCATGCTCACCAGAGATGGTCTGCCAGAAAGCGGCACCGATTTGGTTACCCTATCGAAATCTGGTCAGGTCCCCGGTCCGTGCTCGTTTGATTCCAATGCGGCGAATTCGTTTACTTACGCACTGACCGGTCTGAAGGTGAACCTGTGAGGATTGAAAGAAAAAATCGTCAGCCCAAGTTTGATCGTCATGATGCATCGCGTTCCGCCTCGTCCCGATGGCCAGTTGGGTGTGAAGGGGCTTGGCCTCGCAACAGCGGGGTACCAAACTCAGGGGCAAAACGGGATTGGAACGCGTCAAGGAGGGGTCCAAGACAAGAAGAGAGAAAGACTCACAATCTCACGCATATTGGCGGAATAAGGTCGTCAAAGGGAATTCCTGAGTGAGCAGCGAGGTTCTGAGAGAATCACGATAGCTATGCAGAGCTTCACAATCCGTAATGGGGTAGTGTAGGGAATGAGGTAAAATAGGCCGGGGAGGTGGTGAATTTTGTTGGAGATGGATTGGCAAGCGGTTCACCGCCTGGTAGCCGCCCCCGGCTGGGGAGATGGGAGGCAAGTGCAGCGACACGTTCAGGGAAGCGCCTGCCCCACCCTGCCTTCACTTTCGCTTGTTTACATAGTTAGGTGGTCTGTGCACCCCCCGAAGGGGCAAGGCGGCAAGTCAGGCACCGGGCTATGAGTGGCCGACTAGTCTGTATGTACCTACGGACGGTACTCCGTACTTCGGCTTCATGGGACGACATGTTCCATGCCCCACGCTCTTTTGGCACCAGAAATATTGTCCTCGCACTTGGCCGTGAACATCACCTCCCTTCCATGGCATACCGAATACGGAGCACTACTTGGTAGAACATGATTCCGTCCCTGAAAGCTGGCAAATGGTCGTCCATCGTCCGACGGAGTACCCCATAGCTTGCGGGAGATGTGAGGTCAATTGATGAACTTGACCCACCACTCTGCAATGTCTCATATCGACAAAAGACGAGTCCATACGTACTTCCACGCAGTACTTCACCTGCGCGTCGTCAGCACACATGCAATCTAAAGCCGCACTCGATCTTCTCCTACGACGACTTCTATTCGTTCCTAGGCCAGTGAAGAGGGGATAAAGCGGCGCATATCTACAGAGTACGCATACACGCATCTCAGGCCGTCGGCCTGTCCAAACCTGGTGTCGATCGAAGATGTCAGTCAGTTGTGCCGCATGGTTGGTCTAGTTCCAGTCGTCCCGGCCATTGAGCATATGCTGATTCGATTCGGCGAGTTGCCAGGCTAGAAGGGCATTGCACGCTGCCGCGTATGTCACCAAGTTTTGTATTGAAATCGCAACAGACAGTGCCTTCCAGTCAGTTGTTGGCCACAGATCCGATCTGCGCATCTATGATGACTGAATCACCGGACACAACCAGGCCATTGAGCAATCATCTTGGGCCTTTCCACAGCCATATTGAACAATACCAGGATGGCCATCGTCAGGTGAGCCAACCACCACTTGTCCCAGTTCTGTCGTTCGGTGGTATGCCTCCGCCGACGCCAGCCAAAAGGTCAAGTTTGGGCCCGAAACGCCGTGCACGTAGGACTTGCTAGAGGGTGCTGAACTGGTGCCGACTCGGCCTTATGGGTGACACGCAATGGCATTATTATGTGAGTTGATACACCCCGACACCCCGACGTGTATGAGTTGAAGTCATTGGCCGGGTTTGAAAGGCCTGGACGTTTGTCATCGAGCATGACCGCAGCCGCCCCCCGTTCTTTCGGCAAGGCGCAAGCTCACCCAGTGGTACGATCCGGCCGGTCTCTGCGTGTCTTTTCCCCTTACTGAGGCCATACTACGAAAAGATACCACTGTGGGACGGGCTTCGTTGATCAGCTGCTCACGGTTGCGAGAGCAACTTGCAGTTTCGACACAAGTAATCAGCGCGAGACCGCATGCTTTGACCTCTAGTCGCGAGGTTCTTCAGTCTAATGCGGTAGTCAAGCAGGTCGCTGCTTCGGCAATACAAAAGTGACAGTGTCAGCCGATGATACGGAGCATCTATCTGGCAAGGAGCTGCAGCCAACTTACTACCTCCCAGACTTCACCCAGCCATCTTGACAATGCTACCGTCTTCTTTGTTCGATAGTCCCACCTCTCAAAAAGGTTCAAATCGTGGCCGCCACGGGGGTCAGTTTCATTGGCAAGATACTGGATGGAATCGATGACGTATCAAAACACTCCTTGGGCACCCAAACACCCAGTTGCCAGTGTCACTCGCCGAAAATGCCGAATATCTCAAAAGTCCATTACGGTATCTTGAGAACCGTTGTCATGTACCCAAGACATTGAAGGGGGGGAGAAAGTCGCTGACTCTCCCGTCCAACCTGTCTTATTTCTGGCCTCTTTGGTGCGCGGTTCCAGCAGTGACGAGACTTTTTATAACCTGCAGGCCAGTTCATGCATATTCTTCGCATTCTCATTCGTCCCTGGTAGCTAGGTACAGACTGCCTAATGGGCCTTTACAACACCGGCCGCGTCCGCCTGAGCCGAAATCTTCTTCTTGTACGCCTGCACGTCGCCATCAAACTTCTCTACGGTTCCCTTGTCGCACACCCACAGTGACGTACACACCATCTGCAACATGGTGACATCGTGAGACACCATGAGCACACCTCCCTGGAAAGCCTGCAGGGCTTCTGCGAGGGCGTCCATAGCCTCAATATCAAGATGGTTGGAAGGCTCGTCAAGGACGAGGATGTGGGGGTTGGGAAGGGCCAGGCAGGCAAATGCCACCCTCGACTTCTGACCTCCAGACAGCAGAGCCATCCTTTGTAAGCCTGTGGTGCCGGTGATGCCAAAGGCTCCCAGTTGTCTTCGATATTCCTCGTCCGTTTTCCCGGGGTAAGTTTTTGACATGAAGCTGACGGCACTGAGTGTCAAGTCGAGGGCATCCACGTGGTGCTGGGCGAAAAATCCGATACGTAGACGTGGGTTGGACGTGACAATGCCCTTGGACACTTCCAGCTTGCCAATGAGGAGCTTCAGGACAGTCGTCTTACCGGCTCCGTTGGGGCCTACGATACCGATGCGGGAGTCTAATTGAACGTCCAGGTCCACGTTTCGCAACAAAGGCTTGTCTTTTGTATAGCCAAAATCAACTCCGGACATCTGAATGATGGGCGGCGACAGCTTCTCCACGTCGGGAAAGGTGAACTTTACACTGTACTCTGCCTCTGGCGGGGTGAGAACAGGCATCTTTTCAAGCTTTTTGATGCGAGACTGAGCTTCGGACGATTTGGCAGCATTGTAACGGAACTTGTCAATAAATGCTTGGAGGTGGGCTCTCTGTGCCATTTGGTTCTCGTACTCCTTCTTGGCAACCTTTTTGCGTTCCTCGCGAGTGGCGTAGAAGGAGTCAAAGTTTGCACCACGGTAGTAGTCAAGCCTCTCGGAATGTTGGTGGATGATATCGGTCGCTACCTCGTTCAGGAATGCCCGGTCGTGGGAAACGACAAGGACGGTGCTAGGATAGCCCTGCAGGTAGTTGGAGAGGAAGGTGATGGAGGGAACATCCAACATGTTTGACGGTTCGTCGAGCAACAGCAGATCAGGCTCGCAGAACAGTGCACGCGCAAGCGCCAGACGCATTCTCCAACCGCCCGAGAACGTCTTGGTGGCGTACTGTTGCCTCTCGGGAGAGAACCCAAGGCCTGCCAGAATACTGGCCGCTCGGGACTCTGCTTTGTCGGATTCCATCTCGGCCAATTTGGACTGGATGTCTCCCAGTTTGCCATCCTTGGCTTCCTTTTCACGATCGAGCTTGGCTGCATCGGTGGACGTGTCGGCAAGCGGCGCTCGCCGGGCTTCCAGCTCAGCCAAGCTAGCAGTGAGTTCCTACACGACACATTAGTCCCTCTGCCATGGAGCATACTCTTGGCGTGACGTGGTTACGTACCTCCTGTTCTCTCAGGAGAACCTTCCTCCAAACGTCGGCATCAAGAACAGCTTGCAAGGCAGGTGTATCGTCGCCGGTGATCTGTAGAGTCCCGTTGGCATCATTTCGGGTCTCTCAAGCCTCGACAAGTATACACAGTGGCCGACTTACTTCTTGCTCCACGTGCAGGATTGAAATGTGCGTAGGAATGGCAACCTCTCTCCTCGACAGAGCCCGCAACAGCGTGGATTTTCCCACGCCGTTATTACCGACCAGGCCGTACCGGTGACCATATGCAAGCGTAAGAGTAGTATCCGTGAGAATCCGACTCCCGCCAATCGAGACATCAATGTTGTCCAGTTTGACGTCCTTGCTCTTGTTTGCGCTGGAGCTGCCCATTTCAAGAGGATTGACAGCCATGTAGAACTCCTCGTACGACTGCGTATTCTCCGGCTGATCCAGAAGCCTCGACGCCTCATACTCCACAATCTTGAACGTCTTCTTCTGCTGCTTGGCGGCAATCTTGCGCTCCGCCTTTTCGAGCTTCTTCCGGTCCACCTTGGACTCGACTTTTCTGGCATTGGCCTGCTCCAAATCAACACCGCCAGTTGCCACTGCCAACGTCGACGACATGTTGCGCTGCGCGCTGACTTGGATGGTCTGGTCCAGCCTCTTGACCGTGGAAGGTCCTGTTCGCTGACCACCGTTTGCGGCCGCGTACTTGCCGACCCATTTCTCCACCAGCTGCTTGATTCTTTCTTCGGCGTGAGGGCTGAAGTCCCCGGAGGCCGACAGGAGCAGCTCCGTGATGGTGGCGGCAGCTTCGCTGAGGGGCGACGGGCCGGATGCCTCCTCGTCGTCGGTCCGGGTTGTCGAGGCGTGCGTCAGGTAACCGGCCGAGTAGTCTGAGACTACGGGGTCGATGTTTGGAAGCACAGCTCTGATGTCGGCTTCCATCGTGTGTGTCGTCGGGCCTTGTGCAATTCGCACCCGGCGTCGCTGCTTTGGAGCTTGAGCTGGAGGCTGAAGGCTGAAGCGATCCAATGTCAATCTGGGAGTTTTCGTGTCGGCCATGCCCCGCCGAAGCGGTCGGCGGTGGGGTTCCCTGACGGCCCGTTTCGGTCCGGCAGAACCGTCGGCGGCTGCTCATATGACCTAACCTAGACCGAACTGCCTCGCCCATGGCCCAATTCTCGAAATATAGTAGAAACTAAGTTGTATGTGCCCGGAAGGCTTGTCTCTTTTTGTGTTCTTTCAGTCATCAAGGATATCCGCTCTGATTACTCGTCTTCATTATGACGTAGATCTTCGCGATGATTTAATTCCCGTTGTGATCATGATATCGACCTGTTCTATATCGAGTAAGACGTGGGGGTCAGACCGATAACCAGGCGACTAAAACTTTCCGACACTCTGGGGTCTACGAGCTCCAGAGTGACTAGCGGCAGTCGGAATAAACATTCTGTGCGCATATGCCACATGTGGGATCATCAGACAGAGTATCGCTGCCTCGAGCGGCATCCAGTCGGCGCCTTGCTATCCGTCACGCCACGGTGCAAACTTTCTCGCCACAGATTTCGGGAACCACCGGAGCTCGGAGGATGATAGGCCATCAACTGCGATTAATCTAGTCGGAATCGAAATCTCATAGAAAAGCCTATAGGATGTACGTTATGATGTGTTTCACAGTCGACACGTCCACGGGCTGACCGGCTTGTGTAATTACTTCACGTAGAAATTGCAGCTCTGGTTGGATTATCTGGCCTAGACGAGCAGAAAAAACACAGAGAACCAGAGACAAAGACGGAGCAAATCACACTGATCACAAGACTCGGGGATGTGACCGGCACGAATAACTCAAGCAGCGTCGAGAAATATCCCAGTTACCCTAGATAAAAAAAAAGGCAACCCGGTTCCGAGCAGCTCTTTGCCAGCCCATTCCTCAACTCACTGTTCGGCGTTGGCCATGGAGTAATTGGGAGCAAGCCTGCCAAGTCGACCGAGTACCATGGAATGAATGGTAGTTCGATGCGGCCCACGAACCCAGCCGAATTTCCGTCGACATGTCCCTTTTGTCATTATACTCGCACATGTCACAGGCAAGCAAATTAGTTATAATCATGCCAGTCCGAGTTCGGTAAGCCACTCGAGCTCTGTGGACCAATGATATGCCACAACAAACCTTAATTTACCGTCACGTCGACTTCGCGTACCGTGTCGCGCTACCCCGAGCTGCCCAATCAAATAAACCCAAGCGGCGTGGATCGATCCAATAATAGCGCCTGTCGAGCTACCAATAACCAGAGCGGCGGGAGCACCGTACGCCAACTTATGCAAGTCACACACACATTCTTGCCAGATTGGGACGTGTGAGTTGTCAATCCGCCAGGGATACTCCTTGCTGAGTGAAGAAGTAGGAGCTACGGAGTAACTACTCGCTCGGTTGATCTTGGCAGCGACAAGGTAACTTGCCTAGGTAGGCAGTCAGTACCGCGTCCTTCCGGAATCCTTCTCTATGGCTATTGCTATTAGGGCTACTAAAATTGCTATTGGGGCTACCGCCCCACCTAGATTTCAGACCCACACCCTTTAATGCTACACCCCTCTATACATTTTTACATACAACGCCCTGGCAACGCAGCAATTATTACGAAAATCGCAGCGTACAACTAAAAAAAACGTTACACGCTGCAGCTGCCGCTGCTGCTGCACGAAGCATTCTTCTTGCAATAACATAATATCGCTAAAAGCTGCTATTTTTAACCTCTTTTTTATTAATAATATTATTACAATAAATACTAACTATATTAAGATTTTTAATAATAATTATAATAATTATAATAATAATAATAATAGCAATAACTTCTTTGCATTGCAATTTAATAAGCCTGCTAATAATTATAATAATTATAACAACTTAATTAACTAACTAATTCCTAGAATGCCTTTACTATAGACTTATAGCAGCTTTAATAAGCTTTAGGGCGATTTATAGGCTTAGGCAAAGGCAAATAGTATAGCATTTATTAAAAAGTCTATAACTAAGTATATAGATATAGGCAAATATTGCTAGCCTTAATTTAGCTATATTCTCTGCAACTATAATACTAAGAGGCATATAAAGTCTTAGGGAATTTAATAATAGTTAATAAAAAAAGCTAACTGTAAATTTAAGCTTAAGCTAGTAACTACTAAGGAAAGGGGAAACTAGTAGTAGACTTACTAAGTAGTTAATAGTAATTATAATTATAATTAAACTCTTAAGGTATTAGCAAATTCTATATATTATTAATTTATAATAAAGGAGAAAGAGCAAATTGTAAGCTTTATAAAACACTAAGCTCTTTTAGTATAAGAAATTAGTAAGATTATATATAAAGAAGCTTATAAGGAGGGGAAAGAGCTTTATTTCTAGCGTAAGGACCTCTATAATTAAATTGCAAAGATTTACAAGAAAGACTTTAAAGGTTTTAATTTAATATAATAGGCTGTAAAGTAGCTCTAAGACTACAAATTGCTATATAGCGTGAAATATAATAATAAGAGTTATTTTAAAGCTGCTATATAGACTTATAATAACTATATTAATAATTAGAAGACTTTCCTAGAATTTATTACAATAAATAATATATTTAAGACTAACTACTATAGCCTCTATTTATTTAAAGTAATTATAATTACAGATTAAAATTTAATTATAAATATTGCCTTTAGGCTACTAAGCTTATAAGAAGAGGATAGCTACTAGTAGCTTCTATCTAAGCTTAATAAAATTTAACTTTAATACTATATTATAGAACCTAAAGTTATTATAACTAACTTAGAGCTTGCAATAAAAAATACTTTAAAGGCTATTTTCCTGCAGACTTAGCAGCAGCTTTATGTCTAGTATATTTACATAAATATTAAGGCTAAAGTTTATTTAATTTAGAAGCCTTCTGCTAATAATAATAATTCTAACAAGCTAAAGGCCTTTAATAAATGCCTTAATAGAATAATTAAAGCTGTAAAGGCTCTTATCTATATATTCTAAGTAGATAAGTTTAATTTAATTTAGACTAGAATAAAAGAGATATATAAATTACAGCAAAACAATATTATTAAATATATTAAAAAGACTTACTATAGTTAGAAGCAGTAGTAGGCTTACTGCTATATATAATATCTTTAGAATTTTAGTTATATAACTAATAGCTCTTATAAAGCAGCATATTGCAATACAAAGTTCTATATATATATAGGTATAGAAGATCTCTATATACTATTTAAATTGCTTAATTAATTGCTTAAGAAAAAAGATTGCAAATATTATTAATAAGCAGCTAAGTAGGAGTTAAAGTAGCATAGCCTATATAAGCATAGCAAATAGCTTAGTGTGCTGCCTATATAAATATTCTATAAAGCTGTTAATCTCTTAGCTTATTAGCATAAGCTTGCTAATACTAACTATTATAATAAACAAAAGCTTTAACCTTACTTAGGCTCTTTTTTATAATAATATATACTGCTTTATATATATAATATTATTAACAAGCTATCAGCAAAAGAGCTGCTAATAAAGAGCAATATTCCTTCTTATTAGTAGCTTATAAAGCTGCTAGTAAGGCAGTGTTATTATTCCCTGTAATTTATTATAGAAAATATTACTAATATAGACTTACAGGATTCTAATGCTTAATTTCTTTAAATCTAATATTCTTATAAAGTTAATTAAGCTTAGCAGCGCCTGCCTATATTAAATAACAAGGAAAAACACTAAAATATAGATTAAAATAATAGTTAACAGCTTACTTAATTGCCTTAACTAAGCTCTTAAAGAAGCAGCTACTGCTGCTAAGTTAATCTAAGCATTTATTAATTTGCAATATAAGCAGACTTTATAGAGCAAGCTGCAAGTTAATAATGCTGCTAAAGACTTAATATTCTGTCTATATAGTAATTAGATAACTATATAAATAACAGCTAAGGTAGATTAATTAAGGGACAGGCAATTAAGCTAGATATTAAGAAAATTATCCCTTAAATACAGCTAGAAGAGCAGCAGCAGCTTTAATAAATAACCCCTTAAAAGCTAAGGCAGCAGCTACAACCGCCTTAGAATAATTAACAGGCTGAAAAGTAAATACATTAAATAAAAACACTAGAAATTGCATTTTTAAGCAAATTAGAGCCTGCCTATGCTAGCGCTATTAAAAAATTTACTAATATTAATTAACTACTTTTATATTTAATTAAGGGCAGCTGCAACTATATAGGTGTATATAAAAATGTATATAGGGGTGTAGGAAGCTCGCTACTAGACCGAATTTAGATAGTGGTGGGGCGATAGTAGCCCTAATAGCGATTTTAGTAGCCCCAATAGCAATAGCCTTCTCCATCAGTCGCCCGGTTAGAGTGAGCGGTCTCGAACCTCGCAGCCAGCGGGCGGACCGTTGAGTGGCCATGTCGGCGTCCAGGTACATATTCTGTTCGTCCAGTTGCATTTTCCTGCATACCCCGGTGAACCTTGCGTGGTTTTCCTGGCAGCAGAAAATAAGCGCATATGATTCCTTATGTCTGTCTCCTTCGGTAGAGACAGCTCGTCTCAATTTACTCCTACTCTGGGAGCGGCTACATATTCGGCCATTCTCATTTTCGACAGCACCTGCATTTGACGAGGTGAGAATGCAATAAAATTCTTGTCCCGGGATTGCAAGTAAATCACTCGTCTTTGCACTGAGGCTCGTGCACTTGGATAGCACCACGCCACAAACAAATCTGTCGTTGATCCGATCACAAAGCTGCCACCATGGGTTTGCCAATGGTATGGAATTATGATCACGTTGACTGTGATGTTTTTGGCTGTGAAATAGCGTAGCTGTCGTAAGACGGAGACAGTTCCCCTGCTGAATGCACACGTAGGTGTAGCCACAGCACCACCAAGTACGGAGTAGTATTAGCAGGCAATCCAAGCTTTC